AGGTAGCCTGCCAGGTATGGAAGGGGTGTAGGAGAGGCGATCCCAGCCGAGGCCGGGTTGCCCTCTCTACATATATCCTACGACCCCATCTGAGGTCCGATTTGGGACGCAAACGTTGGGCCGTGCAAAAGTCATTCTGGGGGCACGATTTTGTATGGGTCGAGGGCGGTGGCAGAAAAATCCCCATACAAACTGGGCCGGCACATTCGCCCGTTCGGACGAACAAGCGGGCAAGGGCCAGTTGGCTTCTCTCACGGACATACCCGTTTGGAAGTGCTAGTCGCGTTGTATAGTGTTGAGCGCGTCAAAATAAGCTTCATGTCACGGCCCAGGCCGGACCAGGTCACGGGACTAGCCCTAGCCCTGGCCACGTGCCACGCTAGCGCCCACCGGATATATCTTCCGGCCTCGTAGTCAGTTTAGCAGACCACCCTTAGTTTTCTTTAGCAATCAACTTGTTGCTCAGAGTTGATCCCCAACAGTATCGATGTCTCTGATATATATCGGAGGCATCCATATCTCCAAGCACCACCACAGAGAATCACAGAAATATAGAATTATTATATTAAAAGAAGCCTTTGCATTTGCATAGAAGTATAGGGAAACCTAATTTAATAGGAAAAACCTAAACCAAGGCGTGTGAAGATCCTCATCCAGACCAAAAGCCCAGCTATACATGACACATTCCCTAAGAATAGTAGAGTATAGTTTGGACATGCTAATAAAAATATATCAGTAGATAATACATGTAATATGATTCTGAGGTCATACATAGATAAGGTTTTGCTGATACTGCAGCACTGGAAAAGTCCAACAGGGCACTCACTAGGTTTGATTAGTATAAGAGTATTCTTGAATAATCAAAGCATTGGGGGGTTGGGAGAGTAAAGGGTGGTTAACCACATACCGGCTATCCATATCCCATCTCTGTCAGCCTATATTCTCAAGTCATCTTGCAGGCGGGAAGGGTTAACCACATACAGTCTATCCATATCCCACCTCTGTTAGCCTATATATTCTCGAGTCATCTTGCAAGTAGAAAGGATTAACCACATACACCCTATCCATATCCCACCTCTGTCAGCCTATATTCTCAAGTTATCTTGCAGGCGGGAAGGGTTAACCATATACCTCCTATCCATATCCCATCTCTGTCAGCCTATATATTCTCGAGTCATCTTGCAAGTAGAGAAAAGGCACGTACTTGTCTCTTTTTAATACTATTCTCATCTTGACCATTCAATTACGCGGGCCCTGCTGCCACAAAGGTAGCAAAGATAAATATATAAAGAACAGTCAATGCCTTCATCTTGTTGATACTTGGTCTGGGTTTTAGGAGTGGATCAGAAAAGAGTTACAAATTAATCAATAATATGATTATAGTCTGTTCATGGAAGAGATCAAGATGCTAATATATATAGGAGCCTGAGACTGAATAACTATTTATGTCCGGAAATTCTGTAAGAACTAGCGGTGAGCCCTTTAGGTATTAATACTGATTAAAACGCCCTTGCATAAGAAAAGTACAAGATATCATATTAATCTTAAAAAAAAACAACTTCCACGCAGAACGAATTCTCGAAATCACGCCGTGGAACCACGTTCGATTGGCCCCAAATTAAGGCAAGTTTCTCGTGGCGGCCCGCTCTATCGATTGATATCAATATCGACTGGTATTTGTCGCTATGGCGCCGCTATCGAAAGAATGGCCGATTCTGGCCACGTCGCGAGAAAACTCTGCAACCATGCACGACAGCGTTATGAACGTCTACCATGATGCCACCAACCTGATCGAATCTATCAAGGATTGTAATGACCTTAGGATCCTTAAACCCCTTCAGGAATTCCTTCAGAACACCCAAAGGATTGCCGATGACCTCCTGAAGACCCCCCTTGATCGGGGTTGGGTGCACGTCACCGCCAACATCCAGGATGGTATCAACAATATTCAAAAGAACCTGGCTGCACTGCAGAACACCTCCCAAACGACCTCTGCAAGGGTTCAATCCTACGCAGACGCGACCAGGGGGGCACCACCACCCACACATTACTGATCGTCTCACGATTCCAACAGCTCCAGGGGCGCCGCGCCTTCAGAGCTGGATAAGGATCGCGAGGTCATCATCAAGCTAAGCACAAAACCATGAAGAAATACCGCTCCTACACCAACCGCACGGCCCTAGACAAGGCCAACAAGGCCCTGAACAACGCAAGCAGGAACACCAATAACCCCCCCCTGGCCAGCGTCCAATTCGTGGCCGCCCGGCAACTCAAGTCAGGTGATCTAAGCCTGACACTTGGCACCGCCGCCCATGCAGAAGTGGCGCGTCGACACCCCAACTGGGCTAAAGAGATTGACCGGGACGCTAAGGTCCGGATCCCTACCTGGGGGTTGGTTGTTGACAGGTTCCCGGTCAAAGCCATGAAGCTACCGGAGGATATGGACCAGGTTACTGGGGCCAGGCCAGGCAGACCCCACAGCACGTTCTATTAACCTGCGAGAGGTGGCAGGTGGAGCGAAGGGAGATGTTTACCAAGATTGCCGCACGCACGGATATCAGCCCACATGCAGACTATAACACGCTGGTGTTGGATCCCAAGGCTGTAAGATACGTGGCTGAATTCATGCTAAAAACTGGCCCGTTAGGTCAGTTCAGGGATGTAGGTGTGGAACTAGAGCCCCCGGAGGCCCCGGACCTAGAACCCCTAGGGATCCCGGGGTAGTTTGGCCACGGGGACTCACAGGTCATACAAGACCTGGAGGGATACTGTCGGAACTGCCCGGCCCAAAGGCCGGGTGTGAGGCCGCAATACTAATATAGCGGCTCTCTAGGGATTATAGAGGCGTGATACGTGGTTGGTGGAAGGTAGGTCTGTATTCAATAGAACTAATCGCTGGTTCTCCTAGTTGAGAACCAGCGGCGCAATATGTGTCTGTATGTCACGTGGTGGCCGCTTGGCCACCGTAATATGCCTCAGGCACGCTTGTATAGCGTCCGCAGATGGCGGCGCATAACAACGGGCCCACGGTGGTCTGCTACACCACTAAAACTACGAACTAAAAGCCAGCCAGGACCTATACCGGGAACCAGGCTCGCTAAGGAACATAACGCTGAATAGCCACGGAATTAGGTGCTGAAGACGAGGATAAGGATGCCTCAGCAAAGCCACCAGCAACCGGGTCCGCCGGGGGCCATGATGACGAAGTAGGAGGGAACTATATAGGAACTGAAGGGCGCGGGGGTGTCGACGTGGTTGCTACTAGGATGGAGAGCTAGTTGTGTGAAAGGCTTCAATCATTACTGTTTTTATTTGTATGGGATTGCTACTGTATTTAACACGGCGTTGATGGCTTCGAGTTCGCTTCATTCGACGAAGCACCTGCATAGCCAGACCAACTGTCGAGCTCTAACGGGTATAAGAACTTGAATTGAATTGAAATGAATTGGTGCCGGATTCTAAAGCCGTCAGCTACGTGGCTGATTGATTGATTTGATTGATTGATTCAAACACGGATCTGTCAGCTTATGGCCGAGTGCCGGAAAAGGTCCCTGTCTAGCGGCGAGCTACTCCGCCAGGGCAATCTAAATACATGAAGCTATTCAGATCTCTCTACATGTTCTATCCCCTGTTCACTCTTGCTGCCACACGCGCCCCTTACGTGTGGGTTCCCCCAGGCGTACCCCTTGCCTCACGCCTGCAAGCACCTCCCAAGTTCCAGGCTGTGTCTTCGTGGGTGTCGGCCACTGCCAGCCCCTAGGGGTTAGCAGATCTGTTGGTCTCTGCTTGATATGAAAAGTCCGACTGCCTGTCGGTAGTCCCCTTCTATGCCTCTAGTAGCGCCTGTGTCGGCTCTACCGGCGCCTCCGTTGGGTTGGAATCGTGGTCTTTAATACTCGTAAACTGGCCCAGGAGTCGGGTTCGTATCATGAATTCCGAGGCCCTGCGGGCGAGGCCTGGCTCGTTACTAACCCCAAGCAGTTGCCGGTAGTCAGTAATTCGCCTGTCCTCCCACAGTACACTTGATCGTAGGTCAGCGTGGCGATTACACGCTGTTAAAACATGTTGGACAGTCTGCACTGCCCCCCCGCAGGGACATGCAGTCGTTTCCATGGCGCTAAAGGTGCCCAGATAGCCCGCGAGTGCTATCTTGCCTGTCTGCATCTGTATCAACACCGAGCTATACGCGCGCGGAATGCCCTCATGCAGTTCCAGCACCCGTTTAGTGATATCCGGCAGTATCTTTCGTGCGTGGTCCCCGTGGTTGTTGTTAGTCCACAGGCGCTGCCAGGCTTCCTGAGCAAGCTCGCGCAGGCGCCGCTTTGCCGACGAGACCAGCAGGTGCCCAGGGGCCCTCTGCAGCCTCGGCGGCGCCGCGTTTCCTACATTCGCGGCTCGCTCCGCTGCTCGCTTTGCTATCTCGTCCGCTCGCTCGTTGCCAGGGACGCCTTCGTGGCCCGGTAGCCAGTGAATTCGGACCGTTCAGACCCGGCTACGTGGCTGAATGGAGACCGCGGTATCCGATTGGTGGATAATAACAATACTTTTCTCAAGGGCATGAGCACGAGAAACCCGAGGCTATCGGCTTCACACCAAGATAATCAAGTCATGTCGAGCCCGATGCCGGGGAGTATAGGCAGTATCGGCGAATCAGGCTAATGCCAGCTTATCTAAATGGCATATTTCCGGGGAATCATAAAGCTCAAAAGAATTGGTGGACAGACTGTATATCAGAGACTAAACAGCTGCTTTCTTCAGCACGGCGCAAGATGTTCGCATTCATAAACCCCATCCTCCCCGGCTTCTACCCAGACCCATCGTGCATCCGCGTGGGAGACGTCTTCTACATGGCAAACTCCAGCTTCCAGTTCTTCCCCGGCATCCCTATCCACAGGTCCAAGGATCTCATCAACTGGGAACTGATTGGAAACGCCATCAACCGGCCCACCCAAATCTCCCTCAATCAAGCAACAACAAAGATCAACAACGCTGCCCGGCGCGAAATCTTCACAGGCGGCATATATGCCCCAACGCTCCGATACCACGATGGCGTATATTACATCGTGTGCACAAACCTGACCGGCATATGTGGCATGCCGAGTAACGAGGATTTCGACCCGTCAAACTTCATCATAACAGCCACGGACCTCTCCGATGCAGAGTCCTATAGCGAGCCCACCTACTTTGATTTCCACGGCATAGACCCGAGTCTGTTCTTCGACGAGGACGGAAGGGTTTATGTACAGGGAAGCTGGATCCACGGATATGACCGGGATCCCGCGACGGTGATCCGGCAGGCGGAGATTGATCTTGTCACTGGGCAGCTCCTCACCGAGACAAGGGATATCTGGTCTGGCGCAACAGGAAAAGTGCCCGAGGGCCCACACATCTACCAAAAGGATGGATGGTACTACCTGCTCGTCGCAGAGGGCGGAACTCACGCTCGACATAAGATCACCATGGCTCGGTCACAGAGTATCTGGGGCCCGTTCGAAGCCAATCCAGCGAACCCCGCGTTGACGGCTGAAGGATCAAGCGGAATTGTCCAGTGCGTGGGCCATGGGGATCTTGTTCAGGGTCCGGATGGCGAATGGTGGTGTGTTATGCTCGCGAGGCGGGAGTATGGGGATTCCTACCCACTGGGCAGGGAGACGTTTTTGACGAGTGTGGAGTGGGAGGATGGGCAGTTTCCCGCGTTCAAGGATGTAAGGATCAGGCAGCAGACTGGACGGGAAGTTGCAAGAAAGACGGTGGGGGGAGGGGCTGTGTGCGTTCATCTGAAGTCGCCGGCAACATTGTACCTGCGAACTCCCGACTTGAAGAACTATCGGCAGGATGAGGGTGAGATTGACCTTACGGCTACACAGGCCGGCTTGGGGGCGCCAGATGGGACGATGACGTTCGTTGGGAGGCGGCAGACAAGCCTGGACTCAACTGCCAGCGTTACAATCGCTATCAGCAGTGCAACCAGCGACGATGTATCATCTGGACTGACGCTGTACAAGGATACCTTGCGTTACGCGGCGATAGAGTATAGGACGCCTGACGCTACCTTGGCTTTGATCGTTCAAGAAGCTGGAATGCCGTTGATCACACTGTCTTCACATTCGGCGCAGGGCGCTGTATCAGCTCGGTTGTCGATAATCTCGAGCGTTGACGTATACAAATTCAGAGCCCAAGTTTTCTTTGCCAGCGGTGCAACAACAGATATCGCATTGGGAGAAGTGCCTTGCTCCGCTGTGAGCGGTGATGATTTCACAGGTATGTACAAAGAAGCCTGCCCCAATTACGCTCCGTGTACTAGCCGAATCGCAGGAACTCTTTACGGAATATTTGCGACTGGTGATGGGAGAGCTATGACCTTCCAGAATTTTGAGATTGAAACGAGATAAACATTTGAGCGCTGCAGTGGTGGATGACGAAGAGTAATTATTTATCCGTATGATATTACAGCATGCCTATGTATAGAATGGATAATAAAGCTATCAACCGTGACCAAAGCGAGATATTTCGGGACTATCTTTACAGGAATCAATCCTGTTCTACTCACGGTCTGCCTCGATTTCAATCTGTTGCACGATGTCCGAGGCTACAGGTCCCCGCAGCAGTCCAGAACAAGTTCAACAGACAACGACGAACACCCATAATTGATGGATAATTTTGCTCAATGCGTCCAATGGTGGAACCATGATGTTGTGGAGACGATGTCATTGGTGGGATTTAGTTCTGGATTACTCCGAAGTTGTCGAAGCGAGACCGCAGGCCATATTGATATCCCGAGTCAAGACAGAGAACCCATTGAATTAGGCGCAGGATAAACCGGTAAAATCAACAGCCGGAGTTACAGGCAAATCCGTTTAACCTAGGTATCAAGATTCGACCCTCATATTGCGTAAGTGAGGATGGCGACGTGTAAAAAGGTGACAACGGCGGCGACGAGATAGACTGCATAGTAGCTACACGTCATCGCCATGGCTCGCATTCCTTGGCTTTTTTCCCTTTGCATTTGTGCCATTTCTCTAGCTTGGGGTCATTCTGAATATTCATTCCCAGAAGCATGCCAGGCTTCGACGCCAGGAAACCCCCTTCAGGGTTGTCCAAAAGGCACAGTGCTCGTCTCCGCCACCCATAAGAAGGCTCGCTTCCGCACCATCCAAAGTGCCATCGAGTCCCTCCCGCACGATGACACGAGTCAAACAATCCTCATCCTCTCGGGGACCTACACCGAGCAACTGAACGTCACCCGGTCTGGTCCCTTGACACTACTCGGCGAGACCAACACGCCGCACAATGCCTCAGCCAACTCGGTCCAAGTGCACTGGGCTGCAGCCACCTCGCAGGGAATTTACACGGACAACGTCTACACCAGCGTTCTTATCGTGGCGCCCACCCTCAACGCAAGCCTCACAGGGTACGGGCCTGCCGGCCTCCCAGTGCCCGACGGGACGCCCTTTGGATGTCGCGACTTCCGGACGTACAATATCGACTTCCGGAACGTCTATGCCGAACAATCGGCCGGGCCTGCCCATGCATTGAGCTTCTCCCGCGCAAACGGCGGGTTCTATTACTCCGGGTTCTACAGCTACCAGGACACGGTGTATGTGGGTAAGCTGGGGAATACGTACTTCCACTCGAGCATCGTGGCGGGGCAGACCGATTTTCTTTACGGATTCGGCACGGCGTGGTTTGAACGATGCGAGCTGGTTCTCCGTGGGTGTGGGGGTGGAATCACGGCGTGGAAAGGGACGAACACGACGTATGCCAATAAATTCGGGGCGTATGTGCATGGATCCGCCATCAGGGCAGCGAATGCCACTATAGCGGTGGAGATGGAGGGACAGTGCGCCCTCGGCCGACCGTGGAATAGTGGACATCGGAGTATCTTTGCGCGGTCTTACGAAGATGGGATGATTCGGGATAGTGGATACGTGCTTTGGCAGGCGCCCATCACGGAGCAGACGCTCATGGGAGAGTATGAGAATTTTGGGCCTGGATGGGATGTTTCGGCGCGGCGGGAGTACAACTACAGTATTCTGTTGGGCGAAGAAACGTGGAATAGGTATAACTCCCCCGCGAAGGTGTTTCTCACCGAGGAGGGTACGCCGGGAAATGTTGAGTGGATTGATAAACGGATGCGGTGGTGGTAGAGCACCAGTATATATAATTATATATAGCAGCCATGGTATTGTATGTGTTGTCGAATAGGGCACTGTGGTGGATAGCAGTTGAAACGACAAGATTCTATGCCTTTGCCCTCCACGATAGCACACGACTGTAGCATTGTTTAGCATGATGGCTACTTTATACATTGATCCATGCCGTTGGAGACCTACTGTACGGCTCAACGCATGGCAACTGCCTCATATCTTAAACGGAGCCAGCCCTAGAATCCAAAGTCTTGCCGATGCCGAGGCCCGAAACTGCCCGAGCCCTAAGAGATCTGTAGGTGTGGGCCCAGGCCAGCTCTAGGATCGTAAAGCTTGATGGTAATTGGCAGATGTCTACGAGATTTAGCCTGTTCAGATGCTTGGAAGCCCTCTGGGTAAAATGGCTGAATCCTGCGAGGGGTCCGACTTGAGCTTCCCGCAAGCATTTGAGCCATCTGTGGACGTTGAAGCAAATAGCTTTTTAGCATGAATGTACAGTCCTCTACCGGGGTTTCACATTACTGGTGGTGGTCGATGCCAGCAAGTCCTCCAATCAACCGCAGTACATCGTTGCTGAGAGCCAAGCCTGCACCAGACAATGCTAGGCTGAATACGCCCTTACGATAGAAACACTTGAGCTGTTAAATAGAGACAGACAGCTTCCTTCAAACTGCAAGCTTTCCGGCCGACACTACCCACACACTTGCGACAAAATGGTACACAAGACAAGAATCTACAACTGGTACAACTCTCCATGGCTCAGCTCGTCTCGCATCACGTCTAACAAGAACAGGTACATCTGCCTAGTGGCAGCCGGGTGCATGGTTTTGATGGGCTATGATGCTTCCGTCTTCAACTCCGTACAGAACTCCGATCATTGGCATGCTTACTTTGACAATCCCGTATGTCCTTCGGTCTTCCCCGAACGCTCGTCTCTGACTCGGACCACAGGACAGCTACATGCTTGGCTTGATGAACACGGTGTACACCGTTGGTGGTATCATTACAGGGTGGTTCTTCGCAGGCCCTTTGGTAAGGAGAGAAAGAAATCGAACCCGCTCTTTGAAATCCAAATTGACCTGTGCCAGGCGGATTACGCGGGTCGCCGCTGGGCAATGGGAATTGGCTGCTTCATTACGATTATCGCGACCTTCATGCAATGCTTTCCTCCACGCAGTAGCGCAGTCCCAGTTTTCATGGCTGGCCGTGTCCTTATTGGATGTGGACAAGCCCTCGCTATCGGTAGGTGCCCAGCATGCCCGGCTGAGTGCAACAGCTAACATCTGCAGCTGCCGGCCCTATTTACATCGGCGAAGTCACACCCTCCTATATCCGTGGTGTCGTCATGGCCTTCTGGCAGATGTTCTACTCGGTTGGATCGTTTGTGGCCTATTGGGTCAACTACGCAGCAGGAAAGCACAAGGCCACGCTCGGCGAGTGGGATTGGAAAATGGTCGTCATCTTCCAGCTCCTGCTTCCGATCCTCATTATCTGCCAGCTGCCCTTCATGCCTGAGTCGCCTCGCTGGCTAGTCCAGAGAAAGCGCGATGTGGAAGGCGCTCGAGGGGTTCTCCAGCAGGTCCGTGACAGTGACGAGGAGATCGACAATGAATTAGCTGCGATCCGCGAAGCCATTCAATACGAGCGCGAGGCACTTGATAGCGGCAAGAGAGCATACATGACACTGCTTAAGGATGCTAGTGTCCGCAAGCGTCTTCTCCTCACCTTTGTGCTGAACATCGGTCAGCAACTCACCGGCCAAGGGACGTTCAACTCATACTCATCGACTATATACCAGAAGATCTGGACCAGCGGCGACACTATCAACCTAATTAATGCACTGAACGCAACATTCGGCATCTTATTCACGCTCAACGCAACATGGACTGTCGACCGCTTCGGCCGCAAGTTCCTGCTGATGGTTGGCGCTACCGGTATGGCCGTGTGCATGCTCGTCACAGCGCTTGTTGGTCTGGAAACGCCCTCTACACCAGAAGGGGCCAAGACCGAGCCGGTTGGCATCGCGATCGTCTTCCTTATGTTCCTCTTTGCGTTCTTCTACAAGCCGTCCTGGGGCGCAACCGTATGGATCTATACAGCGGAGGTGTTCCCTATGAATGTGCGAGCCCAAGCTGTTGGTATGTGCTCGCAGATGCAGGGTGTTGCGAACACCATCTTTCAACAATTCTTCCCGATTTTCTATGAGAGAGAGGGACTGTAAGTTCTCCCGCCATAATCCACCTCTTTTCAGGTGCTAATTACTCTGGACAGAAAATCATTCTTCTTCTTCATGACCTGCAACGTCTTTCTTGCAGTATTTGTATGGTTCCTCATTCCAGAGACGAAGAAAGTGGCTCTTGAGGAGATGGATACCCTCTTTGGTGGTACGAGCCATGTGGAGAAGGGTGCTGCTATGCTGCACGAACAGAAGCTGGGGCATGAGGATATTGAGCAAGGAAAGGAGGACAAAGAGGAAGTCGAAGTTGTCGCTGCTGGACAGACCCCTCCAAGGTAGCGCCCCCGGATATAGAATCCGGCCACGTAGCTAGTTCAGCACCTCACGCTTAGTTTTCTTTAGCAATCTCACTCATTGCTTTGAAGGGATTCTCACAGGGCTCTGATCAATACATCTTTGTTCGTTTAGGGTTCCTTGTATCTAGTAACCGAGCTCATGGCCTCGCGTTCTCGCTTCGATCGCCTGCTTGGTGAGACCGCATTCTCGGGCCCACCGATCAACGAGTTGAATTGAGCTGAGCTCTTATTAATTACTGCAATCTACACCTTTGGACACGGTACCCCCATGTTAAAATACACAGCCTTGGTCTGCGTGTAGTTCTCCAGCACGGCCTCGCCACATTCGCGTCCGATTCCACTCTCCTTGTATCCACCGAACGGGATACTCCAGTGCACGAGGTTGTACATGTTTACCCAGGTCGTGCCGGCCCGGAGGGCGTTGGTGACGCGAATTGCTCTCTCGTAGTCTTTGGTATGGCACGCTGCGGCAAGTCCGTATGTGGAGTTGTTTGCCTGTTTGATTACTTCTTCCTCTGAAGAGAACTTTGCGATGGCCACGACTGGACCAAATATGTCCTCACACATGATCTAAGCGAGCGTTAGCTTATTCAACCAGTCTTGAACAGGAGACTGAGCTACCTTCATCTCTGGGCGGACGTCGGTGAAAATGGTTGGTTGGATATAGTATCCACCAGGTCCTTCGTCAATGGCCTTACCACCGGTGTGAACGGTGGCACCTTCCTTGATACCAGAGTCGATGTACCCCAGGATCTTGTCGTATTGCATTTGGCTGTTCTGGGGGCCCTGGTTCGTGCTCTAAATGGCTGATGTGGACGCACCATAATTGATCAAACATCAGCGACCCTGCTTACTCTGCCATGGACAGTCTGCAGGAGGCAGTTCCGACCTTCGGAGGGTTAAATGCTCTTTGCTTGGTTGCTCACTGCGATGGGAGGGTTTTTAAGGCAACTGGTCTGGACGCACGCAACAATCTCACAGTATGAACAGGATCCCAGGGGAGCTAGAACGGCGCAATTCCATTAAGAGTGGCTGTTAGATACACTATGCAGGCTAGCCTTCCGGTGACAAGAGGTATCTTAAGAGAACAATGGGATACGTCAAATTCGCCCTCAAGTAACTATCCTTCAACAGGAACTGCCCCATCTATAGCAGTGCAGCCGCGCCAGTCTGCCCCGCTCGAACAGCAGCATCCTTTGGCGTCCGCCCATTATCATCCTTCGCCGTCGTTAAAGCCCCGTTCATCGAGTAGACGTCCGAAGAACCCGACGTGTACCAGTGGGTCGCCGGGCGTCCCGCCTTCAAGAGGAGGAAAGTCACCCTCCCCGATATACTGAATTGAGGGGATGGAACTGGGGGTTTCACGTCTCCGGGGACGCACTGTTCTTTCTTTCTTCCCTTATAACCACTGCCACCATCACCACTACCGCCACAACCTCAGATGGTCGCCTCTTGTGCCCCTGTTTTCTATATTTGGGCGTTCACTTCTTGGATAGGAGTCCTTTTTCCTACGCGACGGATCAAGTTTTTATCGTCTCCGAAATGTCTTTTCTGCCCATTCGCGAGGTTTTTTACTGGGCCTATCCCCTGCATTGGCTATAAAGGCCGTGTGGGATTTTTCTTTTATCTTTCCCTTCTTCCTTCGCTTCACATCATCTCCACGCATCAATACCCCTGTACAAGTACATCTCATTTTTCCCACATGCTTCCTTTTTCTCTTCTTCTTGATACCCGGCCTTGTCTTGCATATTTCCTTTTCAACTTCTATTGTATATTAGAGCACAGACTTGACAACAAAATCAACCTGGCAAGGAACATCCTCATTCAACCACTGGTTCCATTACGAGTGTCTGACAATAAACTTTGAATAAGAATAGGTAGACGCAAACAGTAGAATTAGGCCTGTGTCTGGATTTCGCATACCCCCTTCTACAACTAGAGGATAGGATTTCCTCAAGTAAGTAGTTACTACGCCTTTTACGTAAGACAAAGAATTCTAGCTTTATAAGTAGGTGTCCTGTATAAAAAAATCCGCCTGGTAGTACTTATACTACGCCCTCCCGGGCTGTCCACTAAAAACATATATTCTGTAATCGGATCACTACCTGCATCACTACCGGACTAATCCCGTTTAACATGCAGGTTCCAATCACCGCCTCTGACCTCGTCGCCCCCAATGCCGGGTTGCGTGTCTGGGACTTGGATGAGACTCTAGATCACGGCAGCCTTCGCCGTGGACGACAACAAGCTGTTCTCATCGGGTGACACATCGATTTCGAAGCAAGGTCAGACGGAGGTGGCGTGCCCTGCAAACTCGAGACAAACCGGAGCTTTTAGCATTCTTATCGTACAGTATGCGCTAATAGCGTTACCACCCCCTGAACTCCACGATGATATCATAAGATAACTTTATCTCCTGGTCAGCAACGTTTGACACTCGAAGTAATACTTAATTACTTTCTATCCAGGCACGCCAGTTTAGACACCGTCGCAGCCAAATCTACAGTGTTACAAGATGTCCGAGCAACATAAGCTCAATTGTCTCTCACTCAAGTCTCACCAAAGTGACACGGGCTGCCCCCAAATATTTCCATCCTCCCAGCTAAGCCGCCTTCTTCTTCTTCTTCGTCTTCTTTTTTATCTCGCACAACATACCCCTATTCCCCCATCACAACAGATAATATCTTCTATCGTCCGACTTCACAGTTCCCACGACTCCTAACCGCCGAAACACGCACATATTCTCCTCCACCGGGGGATATCTCGGGGGTGAGTGTCTCTTCTCCGGTATTGGGGTATACTGACCATTCAATCTTAGGTCTCTGGCTGGCAGACCCATCGTTTATCACGCGTCAAATGTTCTACGACCTGACTGGACGGATTATCCGGTTACCACGCCCCAACCAGCGTTTCCGGATTTATCACCTGAATGAGAACAACAGCACTGGAATGCTTTTGAGAAATGACCACGACGAAGTCCGGCCGGGGCGCTACGTCATCATGAGCAGCACTGGTCGAGACGTTCCGGCGACAATCACATCAGAACAACCAATTCGGCGTATACCATCAACTGATAGCTCAAGGGACCAACGGACAAACCAGAGGCATTTTAGGGACGGGCTACAAGCACGCGACGAACATTGTGTTATCACCGGCAGAGGGGGCAGACAAGGCCGGCCAATGGAGGGTTTAGCTGCATCGCACATCTACCCCGTTGCCCAGCTGGGAAACTGGATGCAACAGGGTCACGAACAGTGGATCACCGATGATACTGATGCCCATAGAATCGGCCCGAACAGAATGTTTTCCTTGCAGAATGGACTTCTGTTGGAAGCAGGAGTTCACGCCGCCTTTGATGGGTTTAGCTTTTCGATTAACCCTGATGTAAGTCCTTACTCCCGTCTCTACAACTAAATCTGACGACGCGATATAGAAGGGCTACCGGGTGGTGTGCTTTGTAGAAGATACTCTTGGAGCGAGCGGGAGGATTTTGAGTCCTACTACCAGGAATTGTGACAGGAATTCTAGTGTCTCCGATGAATGTCTTAGGTGGCACTATCACCAAGCGGTGTTAACCTATATGCGAGGCGCCGGAGAATTAGTCTGGGATTTAGGCGATCATCATGAAATGGGAGATATGGAGGCTTTGATCGCGCGAGAAGATGCGGCTGAGGCTCTAGAGGCTGAATTTGCGATGAGGTTAATGCCTTACGTTGAAGCTAAATGAGCTGACACAGTTCCAAAGCTGCGCGCCGGATGGGCCAAAGGAACAGAAATAATAATACTTCGTTGAAAAGCACCTGCAAAAAGTCTCCTTCTCGAGAGGGATACGAAAACGACCCTACATGACAACTCGGGTAACAGATAGAGCAAACTCCGTCTGGTATACACTGGAACAAGACTCAAATTCAGAAGACATCTGGAACTGGTGGCCCCCATACCGATAGGGCCTGCGGCCCAGCCTGCACCTTGGCCACGGGCGTTTCATAGTTCACCAAGTCGCCATCGGCGTAATGTTCCTAGTCAGTACATTAGCATGATCCTACTAAATACCGGGGAAGATAGGGAACGAACCACGACAAAGCCGCTGCTATCGAACCAATAGTCAAAAACCTGACTACCCAAAACATGCTACAGATATGGTTAACTCGAGTCAACCCCGACACTGACACCCAAGAAATGCAGGTAGGTAAGTCAACATACCCTCCCAACACCCCAGCATAACTTATAGCCCTTATCACGAAGATGCTGGTGCCCCAGCTGTTGAATATCGAAATCGTGCACCTCAAAGGCTGCATGCGCGACATTCAGTTCCAAGCCTGGTTTGGCGGGCTTGAAGAAGAACGCATGGTGATCAGTCCACTCCCGGGTCTTCTCCTTGATCTTTAACCAGTCCTGCTGGCTGTCGGGAAGCTATGAGTAGATTTCCTGCACCATCTAGCCCATAGGATTAGGATAGCCTTCCTGCTGCAGTTACTAGCAGTAGTAGTGGATACACCAGGCAGCGAGAGCTTGGCCGATGCGCGACGCGTGCTCGTTAGTGGCGCGCCAGTCCCTGGCGGTGAAGGCCGCTGCAAGGCCGCCCACGAGAGCGCGGGGGCGGCAGGCCTGCTCAATGTACACATGCTGCAGCAGGTGCTTGACACCAACAAGGGCGGCGGGTGACGTGATGTTGAACACCATCTGCATCAGCCGGTCCGCCCCAACCCAGCCCAGCAGCGCCTTGTCCAGTTGCGTCATGGACAGCTGCCGCCTTCTCCTCCACCGATGGGTTGTCTCCCCCCGGCGGGCGTGGCGGCGAGGGGGAATCACGTTCCGCTGGGCTCAGCTCCAGGGCGTGGGTTCTTGATGGCGGGCTCCCGCGCGGGACAGCAGTCGCGGTATCCGTGGCAACCCGAGCCACGTTATCGGGCAGACGCCAGCTGTCGACGGCCGCGTCGATGTCAGCCTGGGTGATGTCGGCTAAGCTGAGCTCCAGTGGGCGCACGGTTGGGTACGCGCCATGGCTGGCGTGGCCAGCGGCACTTTCTGGCTCGCTGGGCTCGAATAGAATCTCCGGAGGAATAAACAAGGGTCCCGGCGATCCTGGGTGACTTTGGCAACCAAAATAGTCCCACTCGCTGGGCTGCCAGGACGGGGGTGGAGGAGTGAAAGGACTCTCGCCATCACTGATACTCTGTGACGACCCATCTTTGTCCGGTGATCTGACTGGGCTGGTAAACAGATCCACATCCTCACACAATTACCGCAGCAGCCGGTCAAACTCCACCTCCACGCTGTCCTGAGTTTACCAGAGGGGAGACCCTAACCCTTCACAGCTTCTAAGCTAATCACTCTTCAAGTAGATAGACCCACTACACACATCACTACCTGCACCACTAGCTGGGCTTACTGTGGCCGTGATATCTATTAGACTACTTTCCCTCTCCTAGATATCTACTGCCCCTCCACTCTCTCGCCGGCCATTAAGTGCGTTACCTGTGCCTGAGGATGGAAGCTTGCGAGATAGCAATGCTCTGTTCCCAACCACATCCCGATCCTGTGTGGTATATATCCCATAGATACATGTACTGGGCTTCTATTAGCAGTGGATTAAAATATAGAGAGGTCAGCTGCTGTGCTCTTGGTCCGGGTACTCACTAGAGTATCGGGTGTGCAGCTGGTGTACTTTTTCATAGCAGTCTACTGATTGTAGAGTTCTATAATTAGTGATTTCTGCGCCAGCATGTCAGCGTGGCTCTCTGGTACTCGTGGATTAACTTACTGTGATATTCCAGTACCTTTACAAGGTCGCTGGGTCGGCCATTAGTGGCAGGGGGAACTGCACCTCTATGCTCAGGAAGACTGAAAACTTCAAAGGCATCTTGTTTCCAAAGTCAGCCTAAGCAGGCTTCCCCTTATCCGTGATTCCTACAATACTAGCCATGTCGATGCTTTATAGAAAGGGAGATGAGATAAGGCCGAAGAGGAGACTCTGAGGAGGGTGCGAGTGTGACATGAGAGGCAGCGCCGTGCTCCCTCACGGGTGTGATAAGGGCACCCGCCTTTATTATACTCTTATAATAAATTAAATAAGTATCCCTGGATGCTCTAGCGATTGTTCTGGAATAACTGGCGCGAGAGATAATCTATAGTTCAAGAGATAGCGGGCTTCCAGCGCGTTTCTCAAGCAGATCTGAGTTAGGGGTGCGAGATAGCTGTTCTATTCTATGACTGTACCAGCACGGTTCACCATTTGAAGAGGCATCCCTGTGACGGAGGGCTGCTATATCTGTTATATCTTAATACCACGGATGCCATTATCCGTTCTGCTGTTGGCTTTCTATGAATATCTGAACTCTACAAAACACGGTGTCAAGGATTTGGGTAACATTGAAGAGTTTATCCCTCGCGGCCAGCCGTAATTATCCATAGTAGTACTCTCTCTGTTCCAGAGCTAAGGAATGGGTAAAAGCACTCAACCACACCTGTTAATTCTCAGGTATAGAACACGGGGCCACGTGGAGACCTTGTAGAGGATCAGGATGTAGAGCAGCGGGCGCCACAATGCTCGGGAGCTAGAGCATCCGTGGTTGTTATGTTAGTTATAATTTCTTTGTTGAATTCGGATTCTAATACAACCCTGCCCCATTAGCAGCGGTGTATTTCGTCCACGGCGCTGGCGTTCCACGGTTCCATCGTGGGTGGTGATGTTGCGATGCGACACTAAACCTTATCATGACTCTGTCCAATATCTGAGCTGATAGATGGATGATCTGCACTGGGACTAACCTGAGCCCCACCAAAACCTAGTTTACCTGGCTTGGCTGGTACTAGTCTAGGCAGCTTGAATATCAGGCATAGTCCTTGTAGCCATAATTTCCGCTAATAGTCTTGGACTAAGCGTGTCTGGATACTTCTATACATGGAATATTGCTTGGTGCATGCTACAGACAGCCATGTGGCTATCACCCTACCCCGGTATCCTGATTCAGTTTAGAACAACCCTGTGTGCTCCTGTATTTGGGATTGTTCTTATCTCTATTAGATCACGTGGTACCAGAGTGGGCTAATACTACATGAATTACACGGGCCGTGGAGATCATGCTGTTGACTAGCCATCTCACTGACAATGTAGCTAACATGCAGGATTTCCTCCACGGGGGGCGCAATCATGAATACTCTATAGGCGCCAGATTCGTGGGGCTTCGTGTATATATATAGATACGTAAACTTCAGTATTTGAATATAATAATCGACTGACCTAGAGGCTCTCTTCCACTATTAATAACATGGCAGTCCTGTCTCCCTTATAACCCCACTGAACGCAAGGCCCTGACCAGCCCATCAAGACTCACCGGTCGGATATTTGGGGCGATTGGACACAGCCCAACTAGCTAATCTCAGTGGAGTTCTAGATCTGGCAGCATGGTGGCACTAGCTCTGCCGTTGACCTTTTGCCGTGTTGCCTGCAGTGGTCCAAACAGGACCCTGCTCGAAAGAAGGACCAGCTGTTGCAGACTGTCTATAAATCATCCTATCTCCGTGCGGAGAACGCGTACTACTAAAAGGTTTGCCAGGCGGCTGTCTTATTCCGGGCTGAAGTTGCGGCCGTCCTGCTGGGCCAGGAATCAGTACTGCAGCTTCATGATTGCCTCAAACAACTCTAGTAGATGATGTCCGCCGCAGAAGGCAGACATAGTATATTTATCCAGCCTAGCACCCCGAGAATCCCATTTATATACAGGGTGAGCTGGTTTCGCACAGCTGTAGATAATCATACCGTGGCACTGGACTAGATCACAGCCAGTTTCCACCGGCTCAATCAGGCCCTGGCAGAGTTCACCGCTGCTTTAAGACAGATTGACCAGGAGTACGCTGACTTTTTCTCAGTGCAGTTAAGCAATAAGCCGCCTCAATTCTAGCAATACAGCTATGACTGTTGGGTGGATGGACGTGCAGTCGCATCCCTACGTTACTGGGTGGAGAACACGATAAGGAGCCTTGTGTATTATTCTGTCAATAATCACATACGATATCTAATTCATTAAAGATCATGTTGCTCTCTGTCATCACTGCGGCATCTCGCATTCCCGATGAAGCCCGCCTCACTACCAGCCGTAGCCTAGGCCCCGAGGATGTTGCCTACCGACCGATAGGGAGCAGTCGTATCATCATGCTCCGCGGTGATATGTATATAGCACAAGCGGCATTCATGCAAGGATTGCGGAGAAGTCCCCCCGATCCTCAACTAAAGTGCACGGTTGGTGTTCTGAGCCACGCTCGCTGCAGTGCTCAATACGGACAACACAGAGCAGCAGGAAGAGGGAATGGAAACGCAATCCAAACTATGTGGGTCGATCAAGGGGTGAGGCTGAATGCTGATCATGATTATAATAGGCTCGCACAATCTGCCTTTTCAGGCATCCTTCGCTTGGCAGTGCTTCGCAGGGCAAAAGAGCAATCGACTGTAAATGGAAGAGCCGGCTTGGCTTTTACAGTGGAGGATTAGCATAAATAGGGATTAACTCTAGGATAAAATTAAGATTGGCAGGAATTTTATTGAATAATTTAGTCACTGGGATGAAAACAGGAGCTTGTAAAGTATGCGTGCTTATATATATATATATACCAGGTTTCTGGCCTGCTTGTATCTAAAAAAATACACGCACACACACACAAAAGAAACAAGAGGAAAAGAGTAAGAATCTTGCGATTTAAGCAAAGGTCAACACTATTTTCACGAGGATTATGTCAAATGATTTTCTGCCGACATTGGTGCCTTGGTTACAACTTCGCTCTGAACCGCATTCCAGTAATTGCACTGTTCCTGATTCAATCGCTGAACTACTGTGAAACCCGAGGTGCTGACCAATGGATAAATCTCCTGGCACCATACAAACTTTTCTCTGTCTGCACAGTCGATGTAGCATTGTGACGCCTGCGATATCCCAAATAAGACTACTTGTGCGGCGGAAATGCGGTTTCGAGGCTGCATGCAATAAGCTACGCAGCGGCAAATCTGATCTGCACAAAGTAGCATAGGTTTAAGGCTCGGAGCTTTGTCCAGCAGATTTTCCGTCTGATATAGTATGCGCCGTACCACTAATAATATCACCCAGTATAAAATATAAGTTTTGCCAGTTGCTAGGGATGGAAACCCGTACGGCTCAAGAAAACTGCGCGAAGGTAACGTTCGAGGATCGTGTTTTGGTTGACTCCAGTCGGAAATAGGCCCACCATCGAGCCTGGGTGCGTATTCGGTCATCCAGTTCTTCTGCAGCTTGCCTTCAATCTTTTGACAGTCGCTCAGTAATGCCGCGCATGATAACGGCAGATCTAAAGACTTTTGCTCTTTGATCTGATCAAGCGATCTTTGGAGGGTTGCGCATTCTGCCACAATCCCGAACAGTTGGTCCAGGGGACTATTCTCTGTCCCATTCACAAGGCAGTCACAGTGAACTTGTGATGCATATTTCGTATTCAGGGCAAAAAAGGTCTGGATGATTATGTTTCAGTTCTATACCGTAAAAGCCTGGGCCGGTGCACTTACCGTCGCCCACTTCTGTCGGGTTAACATGGCTCGGACAAAAGGCTTTTCTTCGTGAATAGTGTAGTCCAGATGTTTCGAGATCGCTGTTGCCCCTTGGATATGAGTTAGACAATTTTGCAACGCTTCAACGTTTGTTTGCATCAACTGGATGGTTGGTGTTAATATCAAGATGCGAATTCCAAGGCTCGATTAACAAACCTCATATGTATGAAAAACAGTCATTGAATAGAACATCTCAAGATTTGGCTGGCAACCCCGTTGTAACATGCGTGCCAGTCCATTAATGGCACTGTTGTAGATTTCGACAGCATGGTGTATTAACTGACTATCGCCCCGCTTATTGGCTAAGAATGTGGCTGCTAGTGCAATGACTGAGCGATCAACTAACTCTGACTCCCTGGCCATGCTTGGGAAGTGAGACATCAAAAGATACCAATTATCATCCTTGCAATCTGAAAGGGTATTGTGGGGGAAGAGCTCGTTCATGAATCCGGAGAAAATCTGCGTTCGGACTTCTACATTTCCATTCACCACGTTAAGACGTGGAAGATGATTGAATTTATCAACAAGGCAGGGAGCTGGCCGGATTGCATTGCCGAATGGTGTGCGTCGTGTAACTAGACTGTGGTGGAGGATATTCCGATTTTCAATATAACCAAGGCAAGGAGCACCCTTCTTTATGCAACGGGCGCACTCTGGCTTACCAAGGTCGCACTAAAAATCCCTTTCAGTGACCATTGACTAGGTGTGTAAAATGTGATTCGGTGATATACTTTGACCTTACGCCTCCTGCAGTTGGCGCAGCCTCGAGATTGGTAGGGCGCTCCGCCCATTCTCGCTACCAGATAGATCCTCTGCTCGCGTCTTGACCAATAAGAGGATGGACGTCAGTCATCCCTGATTCACGTTTGATCTCAGTGTTCCTTCCATGGGCTGGGTGTAGTTCTTCGAGGAGTCACGCGATACCCCGCTATCTGTGTCGAGAGGAAGACATTAGTGACAAACAATTCATCCAGCGACGATTGATGATTGTTAGTTGACTAGGAAATATTGATTATATAATCGGATTAACAAAAACTCCGGCGTGTCAAGATAGTTTCAGTACAGCACAGTACCACTCGAAGCAAGGTTCTATTCTTTGGTGAGAAAATGGATCAAAAGGGTACATTGTTTTGTTAGCGTTTACAGCTTTGGGTTGGGGGTTCATCCTGGAAAGATTGTATGGTCAGCTGTATATTTGATACGGTAAATTGTAGATGGATCCCAGAAAGGAATTAACTAACCTTATGCATTTTATATGTCTGTTTTGAGTGATGTAAAGTGGGAAGTGCTTGATTGTCCATTCAATGGAGGATAGATAGCATATAATCAGGTTGGTAGTGTTCGGCAGCCCAGACGAAAGAATGAGCATAAATCTTATATAGAAGAGAACGTATGCCTTGAGTAGTTTGATCATTTCCGCAGTCTGTTTAGTGGAATATTCTCTCCAGATCAAAGAATTAACAACCCTGGCGAAATAGTACCGGATGACAAGGATTTGGCTGGCAGGTGTTATTATTTTGCCAAGTGGGGGGGGGGGGGNGGGGTGCCTTAAAGGGCAGATTGTGCGAGCCTATCATCTTCGTAATTAGTAGCCTCACCCCTTGATCGACCCACATAGTTTTGCCCGGGGTCTATTTCCTGTTCATGTCCGCAGGCATCTTCTCGTTTCTCAACCACTTCCTCTGCCAGGGAATGCCTGTCTACAGTATTGCTACCTTACTGTCTCGAAACCATAATGGCGCGGTATCACTGCCTGCTCCTCTTTATGTCATTCCTACTCACCACTGCAAAGGCCAAATGCTACTACCCTAATGGCGACAGCGAGAATGGTTTAGAACACCAACCGTGCATTTCCGTCGAGGGTCAAGAGAGCTTCTGCTGCTCTCTAAACCGGACTAATCCACCCGGGGGCTCGTTAGACGACGGTTACACCGTAGACTTTTGCATGAAGAACGGACTGTGCAAGAATGTCGCGGATGGAGATACAGTTACGTACTTTCGCAGCATGTGTTCTACTCCTGAATGGCCCGAGGCAAACTGTCTAGATCCTTGTCGTGGATCTGTAAGTTCCTACGAATCTCGCTCTACGAACCGAGAAAGTGCGGACTGTTGGACTGACATGACGAACTGTACAGGACACCGGGGCAACGCCACCAATGACACCCTGCGATGGGACCGAAAATTCGACAGTATGGTGCTGTGGAGATAAAGCTGACTGCTGCGGGACAACCTCCGCTGTTACCATCGCCCCTGTGCTCGCTGCAGTCGCGTCTGCTTCATCCCCGTCTACGTCCGCTACAGCAACACCAAGCGACACACCATCCACACCATCCACAGCAGACTCAAGCAGCCTATCTACAGGTGCAATGGCTGGAATCGGAGTCGGTGCTGTTATTGGCACCATGGTCATACTCGCAGGGCTGGGATACTTCTGGATGCGGCACCGGAAATCAACAGCAGGCGGGAATACTGCGACGCCGATGGTAGACAAGAACATGCGCATGCACAATGGCGCTGCCGAGGTTAGTGGGCTGAACCATCGCAAGCAACCCACGCTAGTTGAAGTTGACGGTTCAAATACGAGAGCCATGCTCGAGTTGAATACTGGCGACGGGTTGAGGCATGAGTTGGGGGATGGTCGGGAGTATAGATAGTGTACACTATGAGTATACTGCCTTTATTTCTCATTTACGTTCGGCACTGACCACTAATCTACTAACCTTCTTAAATTGTAATATACTACCCCCGTAAAATAGAGTAGCTAATCGTGTTCTTGATTGCCGTGAAAACGAAGTGCCACTCTATTACCCTCCAGTTGACGAGCACTAACCTAGCGCCAATTAACAATCTCTTTCTACAATGCTTACATCGTCCCGCTATAGAAGGCGGTATTAAGATTCAGTATCAGTTAAAAGCAGAAATTGCTGCGTTTTATCTATCACAGCACGGGCTGTTGAGGTCGTAGGGCACTGATAATAGGCCAACGAGGTCATTTTCAGCCCGCGACATCACCAACTATATATATTCGTAGAGAAATGGGTACTGTCTATGCCATATCTACGGGAAAATCAAGATTCAGATCAATATGGACCTACATGCATCGAGGGATATGAATACCCTCATCCTGTCAAATTGGTTGTACGAGGTGGGAGACTAGTGGACTGGGTATTCGAGGACTGTCAAAGCCTTGGCGTGGTGAGAAGATTCGGCACAGCTAGAGCTATATTCTTTTGAGGCTAGATGATTCTAACTGATTGGTCTGGATTGAGAATATATGTCTGGATTGATGCATATCGTAACAAAACTTGTACTGTACTAAAACACTATCGATAATGGTGAAGAATCACTTGGATGACACTTTGTTACTATGGCACCGATGCCTCCTACACAGCTGAATTTAGACTCAATTTATCCCACCCCTTTACCACCTTGCAAAAGCGTTCGTCGTCAATGGACCGCCGGGGGATGTTCAGCCCCGGCATACCTCGCGACAACATCTCACATATGTCTCTTGCTCTCTGCCTGGTACGGGCGTCAAGGTTCCTTTTCTACTCCTTGTCCCGAGGGACAGGAGAGTATCCAAGGGCATCCGCGATTCCTGCATGACGTTGCAAATAGGACATTGCCAAATAAGGTCCCCTGGATTGAGACGTCAGCTCCAGGATCTAGGAAGAGCTAGATAGTTTCAATTTATTAGTAATATGCTACAGCTTGGAGGGCAGTCACGAAGTAGCAGGGAGCGCTGCAGTCTTCCCATGCCCATATCTACAAGAAAGCAACTGGGACGTTCACGTCAATCACAAGATCAAGAATACAGGCTGCAAAGTAAACATATGGACTACTGCCACGAGGATATTTCTTGCAGCACAATATATCAGATTATCTGGTCAGATAAGGGCACACTTATCTATCATTAATAGGAAACTGCTTCTTGACACTGGAACGCATTATACTGCTACTGGTGCTGATTGAGCGGCAGGTTCATGGAATGCGGATACTGGATGCCTGCTGTCGGTCATCCATCGTGTGAAAGCTGTTCAAGAACCTGTATGTTCTGCTCACGAAGGCGGGAGCATGTATTTTTGAGATTTTGAATATAAGCCTGGTAGCATACCATCTGTTCTCGACACGTGCTCAGCTGTGTCTCAAGCATGGCAATGTGGTCATTTTTCCTCTGGGGAAAATTCCTCTGTGGATGGCGATCCTTCGCACGCTTATTTTCGACCGACAGTAGCGTAGGGATAGGCAACGAAGCTATGATGCCATGTCCATACGACTTGAAAAAACACAGTATCTCTGCTGGGCAGGGAAGAGTTTGGAAATTGCACTTCCGGGGAATCCGAGGCCCGCGTTCAGAGGCGTTGGTAAGCAACTGGGGGGTAAATGAGGGGTATATCTGGGACAGATTGTTAGTGGACGGTTTTTGCAGTACACTGGACCGCCTGCTGAATATTCTGATGGAAAGGTTAACGCCACTGCCTCCATCCGGCTAGCGCTGGTAGCATCCTGACTCATTGCCGTTTGCTGGGACCCTTGGGTCTACTTCCTACTTAGTAGAGTATCAATGCCGCTCGGAGCTCCTCTGTCTTATTTTGTTTTGAGTTTGGAGTTTCCGATCTTTCTAGGAAGCCCTCGGTTTAAAGGAAATACCATCCGGGGAACTATTTAACGAATTTCACCAGATCAACGGATGCATCGGCATGGTATATGGCAGAACTTTTCCCAATTGATGAAATAGTCAGCACCGGGATAACAGGGAAGTAAATGACCGTACTTGGTCCGCTCGTCCGAACAGACATAGACAAAACCATAGCGTGTCTTGCTCATAGATAGTCTCATATTGAGCTTTGATATGAAAGTGGATGGACCAGAGCCCACTGCATTGTATTATTATACTCCGTACGAAGATGTGCGCATGTCTTGTGTTTGGGATCTAATCCACTGGGTATATAAAGCGTCATGACCCATCTTCTCTGCCTGCCCTCGTCTTCCTCTTCTCTCATTACTCGATTTGTTTCGCAACAGACGACCGTTCTACACCTACAATGTTGGCCCTTTATATTGCAGTGACTCTCAATGCCATTGGTAGCGTCCGATGTGCCAATGTATCCAATCCAATTGTTGATCTAGGATATGCTAAATACAGGGGAAGTTACAATGCTACATCAGGGTCCGTATAGCACAGGCATTGCGCTAATCTTAACGTTTTATTCTAACGATTATACTACGGTAGGACCAATGAATGGCACGGCATTCGCTATGCACAACCACCCTTAGGCGAATTCCGCTGGCAAGCTCCCCGAGATATTGAGTACCATTATAATCACACTTTGTCCATGTTGGACGCGACTGCACCTGGCCCAATTTGTGTCCAAGGTGCGCCTGCATGGCTTGGCATGATGCTTAGCATGGAGGCTGGCATAGTATCCAACGATCCCATAGAAGAAAGTGAAGACTGTTTGTCGCTCGATGTCATGGTTCCTGCCAAGCCTGCCTCTACGTCCCTTCCAGTGCTGGTTCAGATACACGGCGGCGGTGAGTTATATCTTGTTTATCGACATTTTGATATAGACTGACAGGTTGATGTCAAGGGTATACATCCGGCTATGGTCGATTAGTCCCTGGAAATGCCCTGGTATTCCAGTCTCGAGGAGACCTCATCTACGTATCCGTTCAGTACCGCCTAGGTGCATACGGATTCTTGGGCGGCGTCGAAGTAACTGAGAATGGTGTTACTAATGTCGGTCTCCTTGACCAGCGAGCAGCTCTCAACTGGGTTCAACGCCATATCGCATCCTTTGGTGGTGATCCAGCGAAAGTTACTATAATTGGTGGTAGTGCTGGCGGAGGCTCTGTTATCGACCAGATGATCATGTACGGCGGAGACTTCAATCCACCTTTCAGAGCAGCCATTGCAGGTCAGCCTAACTATGGTCACCATACCAGCTTTACACCCTTTGCTAATAAATAATCCATAACAGAATACCCATGGATGCAGCCATACCATAACAATACTGCACTCCAGAGACAATACAATCAACTCCTTTCTATTGCCAACTGTTCCAATATAGCCTGTTTACGCGGACTCTCCGAAGAGGACCTTGCCAATGCAGTAAACCAAACTTACTATAAGGCCTACGCGCATGGCGAATACGGTTATGGAGACTTCTACTACGGACCCTATGTTGATAGGAACATTATCCGGGATCTCCCCTCTCAAGAGTTTAAAACTGGCCATTTTAGCAAGGTGCCTCTAATGACCAACAGGGAAGGCTATGAAGGGGCTACTTTTACAAACAGTAGTGAAGTGACCCCCTTTGAAATGCAGCAGGGGCTCGAAACCTTATTCCCGAATGCTAAACAGTCTTTCTTTAATCGCCTATACCAGCTTTACCCTCGCGCAGCTTACAATTCAACCTTCTTCCAGCGACAGCAGCTGTTTGGTGATTTTATTATCTCTTGTCCAACGTATTACTTCGGCGCTGCAGTGTCAGACTGGGGTAACCGTGTGTATAAAATGATCTTTGATGCCGGCACTCAGGGCCATGGCTCCCTTATACCGTTTACTGAGACGGTGAACTTGGAGGGTGAGTACCTTTACTGCTAGTATAGCGGTAAACCTGCAATTATCTAATATTATCCCACCTCGTTCGTGTAATATCACTAACAGCTACTACGACGCCCAGGTACGTCGAATAACGCAACACTGGCATCTATGATACGCAGTTACTATATTTCGTTCGCAACTTCTCTTGACCCGAACGCGATCGCTTATATTAACAACAGTCTGCCTCACTGGCCACCCTACCAAGGCGATGATAGTGGCAGTTTTACCGTCTTAAATGTGACCTACGGCGGTGTTGAAGCTGCTCCAGATAATGACGCATCACCACAGTGCGACTTTTTCCACTCTCAAAGCTATGTTGTCAGAAATTAAACAATCCTCAATTTTTTTTGGCAAGCAGTGACTATGCAAGGGTTATCTTGGTTCAAAATACGTGTAGTGATCAGGAATTAGCGCAAAGGCGGCATGATTTGTCCCTACCCATGTAGTCGGAAGGCTCTATTTCAAGGGCGTGGACGGCTCTTTTTCCCTTTCACTTTTCTGTTGAACTATGAACTCATTTGTTATTCGTATTATCTAGCAGAATAGCCTATCTAGTCATATCTTCCAATAGATATTACACACACAGACAGATATCAGAAATTCCACATACCCTCCACGGAGGAATACCCCCGTGCCCTGTGGTATATTCAAGAAGCCTTAGGCTTTTAGTTTCTCGTCGAGTTTCTCGGTTTTGCGGAGAACGTATACTAAGCGTACTGAATGCGCAGAGAACTGTAGTCACAGCTTGCTGCATAGGACGTTGACGACAAGATGCGGTGGAAATGACCAAAGATCTGCGGTAACTTCCCCTGGAAAGCCTACGATTGAGCGAGGTCCTTGGACGAAATAGCGGAAATGGAGGGTACATTCAGGCAAACAATCAACGCCCTTACTTCAGTTTTCTTAGCACGGGAGCTTTTACGCTCACGAGCCTTGCACTGCCGCTCAGGTAGGAACGGGATCGGGAGAGAGAGGCAATACCTGGGCTAAGAGATAGCGCAAAAATCTGCGCGTATGGAATGGGGTTGCTATCCCCCTTATGACCGAGTCACCGGCTCGCGTCGGGCATACGGATATAGCTGAGCTTTTCATTGGATTACCTGACTAACTTTGCGACCTGAAGCTGATGACATCGAGATCTTGCGCTATTGGATCGGTAAGAAAGTACTCCATGCATATGTATGTGCATGTGCAGAATACCATAGCATCTATTATACATTCCCCGGTCGATGCCTTTGCATCGATGATTGCAAGAAACGAACACAGATCCAATTCTATCGTTTTCCTATTTTTCCATGCTTTACTCAAAATAACTATCATGCCCTTCTCTCGAAGATTTCATGCCGGCAAAATTGGCATCGTCACTGGTGCAGGGTCGCCGCACGGCAGATTCAGTAGTCCCGGGAGTTGTCGGCCACGAGACATTTCGATTGTCAAGAGGGTGACCGATACATCGTGAGAAGGCATCACTGTCAATAGACGAGCCGCTGCTGTTGAAGCAGAAGCGGACGATGAGCGGCTTCCAGGTGGAGGCAGAGGTGGCTATGATGCTGATTGAGGCCTCAACGATTGACCACAGAATAACGCGGTTGGTTGCAACTTGGGGGCCGGATATAGACACCATTGGTGTGTAGACCATACGCATAACCGTGGCGAGGCTAGCCCTGCATAATACTCGAGTTAACCACCCATAGTAAAAATTGAGGGGTTGATGATCCAAAAGAAACGAATGCGAGGAGACTTACACTGACCCGGCACCGAGCAATATATAGACAGTGAACTTGGTCATTCGAGACATGAGAGCTCCCCGCAAGAGTAAGACAGGAATAACACACCCCAGAGTGACATCTGCAATGAGCACCCATGTTGCGTGGCTCAAGGATAAAGCGATATAGGAGGAAATGCCTTTGCAACCATAATCACTGGTTAGGTATGTTATTTCATCCCAAGCGAAAGGAGTTGGGGTGCAGAAAAATACTATCCAGAAACAAGCAAAGATGGTGCAGACTAGGCCAATGCCACCCAGGAGGTAAAGGCTGTACACATAGCCACGGCTGGGAACCACGCGTGAGAGCGTTAAGGCAAATGACAATTTGATGATATAAGTTGCGGGAAAATAGAGTAGCTGTGCAGCGAGCCCGTACTGAGCGCACACATTAGAATTTGAGCTTCAACCTCAGGAGAAAACGAGGATGTCACTAACCTTCATTTTCCGTAGCAGTGTCCTAGGACTGTGCTCACTAATATCGCTCCCCAGACCGTATCGTAATGACGCAATGCAGTAGACTATTGATAGTGGAGTGAGGACTATCTGAAAACTCGTTAGACTTGGACGGTTTATATTGAAACGCCTGTAACGAGGAACTCTATCTGGGTCGAAAACGGACAGGGAGGAGGAAACTTACAACAGCACAGAGGGCGACGATATCATCACAGGAGAAGTTGTGGGATATATGAATGCGAACAAGATAACGCAAGAGAATGGAGGCCCACGCAACAGCAGCAAGCACAATAGTGATGATGGTACATGCCTCTGGTTCGTAAGCCATAGTAGGAACACGTGCAGATTTCGAGGTGCAGGTGGGTGTAAGGGCCAGCGTAAGCTTTAATATTGCCCTAGATCGATTGGTAAGTAATTATACTATGCGCGTCATATGATGCAGCTGGAAGAGCGCAGAATAGGCCAATCGCACAAGATGAGAAAAGACTACTGGTGATATGACCATTGGAAAGGGGAAACCTAGAAGGCTTCGAGAAATTTTCCCACACGTCCGGGAAATCAGAGTTCAGTCCAGTAGTTTCCACAGGCTGCGCTGCTTGGGCTAGGGACATCACGGCCGTATGGATATACTAGAATAGAACAGAATGGATTACTTAGGGATCCCTGGAACCGGTAGTTCTAGATGCTGAAATAGATTCGCCCAGCGGGCATCGTACTGCATTTCCCTCGGTGAACCTTTATACTCAGCCTGGAAGCCAGGTCGNGCTGCTTGAAAGGTAGCTGTAGTGACAATTGGTGGCGCTGGCGGAATATCCCGGACCAATACTAAATGAAAGGAAAAGACGACCCCTGGATCGGCCAAATATGAATAAGCAAGTATTAAATTATTATAGGTGACCAAGACCATAGTTCTGGTTTGAATAAGCTTTGTTGACTCAGTGCCGCTTGACCCAGAGCAGTTGGTGACTCGGTGTACACCGGCAGCTCCGGTAATTAAAATCTGTGCCTTCAACCTGCCGGTGTTAAGGACTCTATAACAATTAACTGGCAGGTCTGTGGACGTAAATGTACTCGGTAAACTAAGATCCAGCATCTAAGTAGATTGCCTGCAGTCAGCTGTCTCTCGTGGTGGTTTAGTCAAATTGATACCCTGTTGACAACCAGAGAATATTCTCTAATATTGTGACTTACCTCCAGATCTGTACCGGTGCCATACGAGAGCAACACTTAGTAAGTTTGATATCTTATTTAGTATGATATTTGCCACTGCAGCGCTGGCTTGGGAGCTAAGAGTCTCGTTCGCCGAGAGTGACAATAATGAAACAAAAGTGGACCAACGATGAGATTCGAAGGTTGCTCGGAGAAATTATCGATCCCAGCGGAACTCGTCCAGAAATTTCGCATAGTTTGGGGAGCATTTAATTAATTATTGAAGAGTGCTCACGCTACCCGATAATGTACAGTGTCAATGTCGATTTGTTCCAAGAGCCCAGGGTATTTATTTATAAATTCTCCAGTTAGCCCCCACCCACTAAGACTCATGAATGTGTTGTAGAATTCTGGTGATATATGCAGCCCGGCATCGTCACTGGGTGTTAAGAAGCTTTTACCCCAAGGCCAGCGCACCTTGATACAGCAGCTTAACATACCCAATACCTCATTGAAGTCGTATGAATGATGCTTAGACATCAGATTAACGCGCAATTGGGGAAAGACGATGGTGTTGATACATGCAGGATATGCATGCCTAAGCTGTTCCGGCATCGGTCGAAGAAATTCTGGTATGCGCTTGAATCGGCTCTCAGTAGGTTCCGCTATCCACTTGACCAGAGTATAACTAAGCCAGCCACAGGCTAAACGCTCAGGGTCATGGCACCCCCACAGGCGTGAGATATCATGGATGAAATTTGCGAGTTTGTTTCTCCTGGAGCCATATAATAATTCGAGTGGAGTTGGAAAATCTGGGGACTCTTGCACCATTTGCAGATCTGCTCCCCATGGGGAGTATATCGGTAAAGAATCCCATATAAAAGAGCCTTGCGGTGGGGTGAGACTCCATTGAGGGGCAATAGTTTCTTGAGGTGATGTGTGTGAAATATGGGGCGGAAGATGCTCAGCCTTGTCTGTTGTAGGCTGATAAACTGAATTGGAGAGAAAAATCTTGGTTGTCTTTGAATTTGCGTGGCAGCATGAAGGCTCTTCCGAAGACTGGGATGTATGATGCCACGGGCATTGGGACAGTGGTAAGTTCGTCAGGTGCGAAGACTGTGATTGACAATTAGGATGTGGGAGATCTATCTGGAATGACCATCTGGACCCCACATCGTGAGGATTTTCTCTGAGCAGTTGTACTGCCTGCTGCCGAGTGCAGATATTTTCAAGATCCTGAATGCGAGCCAGGTAGCTCGCTATCTGTTCGTGGCATGCTTGTAGCCGACCCTCTAGCATGACAATTTGGTCATTTTTCTTGTGGCGAAAGTTTCTTTGGGCACGGCGATCTCTTGCACGCTTCTTTTCGAGTGATACTAGCGTAGGGCTTGGCAACGAGGCCATGGTGCGTCGCTGTACAGGGAGGGAGTACAGGCTCCTGAAATAAAACAGATTATGCCCCACAGGTGAGGGAGTTGAGTGCTGCCAAGCAGTTTGGTGTCCTGCACAGAGCTGTTTCGCTCTTTGTGGTGACGCACAACCTAGGATTTTTTAGACAGAAAAGTACTTCATGGGAAGAAGTGCAGAGCAGTCCCCCTCGGCTGAATCACACCCGGAAAGCCGAAGGCGAGATGATGGAAAGCTATCCTGCCCCTAAAATGACGAAGTCACGTATAAACGAGCCTTGAAAAAATACTGTTTTGTGGATTCTAGGGCCCTTTATGCTCCCCCGCAAGTGGTTAACGCCTCTCCGGGTTCTCGCTTTCCGAGCCGCACACCCGGATTGTTCTGGCATGCGGCCGGGAACTGCCGGCTCCGGTGGCAAGGGCCCTCACATCTGAATGGCAGGTTTTGTGTATTAAGTTCCTCTTAGGCCACTTGGCGTACCCGCATTGCAACCAGAGTACGAGCGAACTTAAAGCAAACGGCAATGAGTCAGCGAACGGAAGGTTGTTCAACGCCGGGGTCAGGGATGCTCCTCTCAGCCGTGGCCAACTGACAAAAGCGTCTCCCATGGACCAAACTATTAGGCATTATAGAGCTGATTTTAATTTCCGAAGATTTAACTTGTTATTGCGAGAGGTTGTCAGTCAAATATAAGCAATGCTATCTCATTATGTGTGGTCTCCATGTCTTTGGCGGGAATGGGTCTAGGTATTTCCTAATCATACAAGTATCTTGTGTATTTAAGAAAGTTGAGATATCCAAAGCACTTGAAGATGCAGTAGCTAGATAGCGACAATAAGGGCAGTAAGAAAAGTAGTATACATAGAATGTATGGTCCAAACTGTATCCTGTGTGGTCACGCTCCAGGAACACTGTGGTGCAAATAGTAGCAGTTTACGCAAAGACTATAGCTGCAATATGACGAGATGTGCTGAAAGTTCGCAGCATTGAGACACACCATACACGGCCGAAGCTAGCTTTGGGTTGGAGTGCAGCCGCCACACCAAAGTTGAAAGGTTTGCAGCGTTCTGCAAGGAGAAGCTTGAGCGAGGAATTAGCCATGTTCCCTGATGGAATACCAATCCAGGATGGCAACTAAGCGCGCAAAAGACATGCGGATATATGGTTTGGGATCCGAGCTTCGGGTCAAGGATTGATCGGCTGGGTTTGAGGAAAAATCGTGGGCCTTCAATTCCGGGACCGCTAAAGCAAACTAGAACCGAGACATTGCTCCCCCTTCGTATCGATCGAAAGCATCTACCAGAGACTAAGTGACCATCGATTGTGAGAAACACCGAGGGTTTCTGCTCATTTCCAAGGTTCCACTTCGGTGCGCTGAGATGTTGACTCCGACATGCTATCGCCATGTCTGAGACCTCCTTCCAGCACAGCAGTGGCGGAGTTGTTCGAGTTAATCTCGATATGAGACCAAGGAGGCTGTACATCTGGGTTTCTAGCAGATTTTGAAAAAGGAATGTGCTGTAAGATTGTGTTGGCGCATGTTCCCCTAGTTCCTCCAGGTAGCAAGGAGCGGAATAGCGGTCGAAGAGTCACTAGGCTTCCGGCTATTATACCAAGGCCATCTTCGATGATAGACAACAGCATTATCTGTGTAGTTCCACCTGAACAATGCATGAGCAGGGACAAGGAGATGGGCTGAGAAAAGCACTTACCCAAAGTGTCCGAGTTGCGGAATCGCGGGAGAAACGGGAGGCGAACCACGAGAGCACAGCATGCTCTGAGGATTCTAGTCAGCAACCTTTTTAAAAGTCTTGCTGGGGAATGTTTAATAACTTACATCCAGCCTAGACCCAAGGTAAATGCTAATCCAAACCTAGTCCGACAGCTTCTCTGCAACTTCCAGATAATGGCGATCGGTAGAAGGCCAATAGTGAAGTCACACACAATAGCGAAGCCGGTATATGTATACCCAATAGCAATGATAATTTCAATATCCTTGCAGCGGCCATTATTTTCGGGGTGCCAAAATTGAGAGACTGGATGACATTGCAGCAGAATGACAAGCCAGGTCACAAGCCCCGCAACAGTGGTCACTGCTATCAGTAGGTATAAAATGACTTTGTGAATCTTTTCGATAGTTATTCGAAGTAGCGCAATACAAATCGATACCCTTCCAGCTGTACAGGTTAATATGTAAAATACTTCGCTGAGGAAGAAGCACTGTGTGATCGTTACTCGCGGTATTCCAAATCTGGCCCTATCGGAGGAATATATACCAACAACGCTGTCTCAACATTCTCAGGGGGCATGCCTGTGGATGTCCGGCCAATGCCGTAAAACGAACCGACCATTGACACTACACAAACCACTGTAAACAGTGCCTATAAGAACATCAGGTCTTGATACTCTGCTAATCCAGAGTGGGCTTCGTACCATTGCAAGGAGCATCAGGCCATCATCCCAGCCGATTGCACGTATCATTTTGATACGGACGAAACATCGCAGGCCGACTGTCTTGAGCGAGAGGCATAGCATTACAAGCGAGACGCTGAACATCGCGCTGCTCAATCCAGTCAATGCTATCATGTTGGAGCTGGAATTAAGATTTTTTGACGGCAGTGTATTGGTATCTTGTTCCTCTTTGTCTTCCCACTTATTATTCTGTCAAAAGCGCAAAGCGAAAGAAGGGCAGAAAAAGCAGAAGATGTGGGAGGAAAAGGAAAGCGAGGGAAGGTCAAGTTACCAAATGTGTGGCGAGTAGAAGTTCAAGGATCTGGAACAACCTGAAGAACGAAAGGTCTCGTCCGTATCACAGTAATCGAGCTGCCTGCCATGCCATCATAGTTAGTGTAACCCCTTTCTTGGTAAATCTCCACGAGGATAGCAGATTCGAATTGAATTTTGCTGATTTGCCCCGAGGAGCTGGGTGGGTATTCAGCAAACCGAATAAACACCGCCGGCGATCCGTTATTGTTGGAGCAGTGGCCCGGAAAGAGCTGTTGCTGGTCCTCATAGCCCTGAGAGGTTTATTCCTTGACTAACATCTCAAAGTCCCAAACTTAGTAGTCCTCACGGCGTCGGGGTCATGAACAGTAAGTTGAACTAGTTTCATGGCACGGTCCCCGCTGACAAGACCCAAGTTTTCTATTATGAACGTTCCAGGGACCCATCACCCGGCCATTAGCTTTTTGGCCGAGGTGAAAATTCCGGCTAACACTCGGAGCCGCCCAAAAATGCGAGCAGATTAGTTCGAGGTGTGAATTCTGGGGTAAAGCTAAGTTAGCCCGGATATACGCCGATGGATTACTTGTTCCACGAAATGCAACAGACTAGCCGGACAAACAGTGCGAGATTTCTACGAGCCGAACGTAAAAAAACCTATGCTAGACCATTTCTGGGGCCAAAATCCCAGTCGTTCAATGCTATAGCCTTACCCACTATGAAGGTAAGAATCAACACAAGCATAGATGTATACGCGGTGAGTTAAAAAGGCGTTTATTCGTGCAAATAAAACCAACAATTGCTTGACCACAAGAACTGACTTCGCGCAAACTGCAACAAGTTGCCGAGCTTTGCGGACAGACTAGCCAGGGGCCCTCTACGGGTGCAGAATGCATACGCCACCCCGCAGGAACGGCAGCCTCATTGGCAATATAAGGGGGGAATTGAACGTAAGGATACGGATGTGTGAAGGCAGTCATGATGGCCATTTGTCCTTCCGCGATCCGCCCTCCTGACGTCTGTACCACGCGGGTCTGGGCCAAGCCCTTTCCATGTTCCGAGCAGCACGCCATGAATCCGGAAGCTGCTTTCACATGTACCTGCCTCGTTAAGTAACTGCCGTTCGATGTAAGTTAGTCGTTAATCTGCGCCCCAGTAAGCAGGATCGACTATCCGCGCTGACTCATCTGAGCAGTGGACCCTGGCGTCTTCTGGTAGCAAGTCAACAGTGTCTCGGGCAAAAGGAAACACTTTTGACTGAATGCCTTTCTCATTAATCTTCCTTCGCCCGAGATCTGGAGTGGAAACTGTACTGATATGGTTTTTGGAGCGCGTCGACGGCAGTGGGCCAATCGAGGGGAAGCTTCAGGACATGGTTTGAGAAAATCGGCTGGACCCGATACAGGTCTCGACTACCAGTAAGTGAGCCTAAAGTTTACCAGCGGCAATGAGTCAACAAGGCACTCCACATCATTCCGATCCGGCCACCGGTGGTAAGCAGCGGCAGCGTAGGTCGCTCTGGCCAGTTCCTGGGATCCACCTGGTCAGCAAGTTAGATAGCCATGTATTGTAGGTCACATCGTCGTTTTCAGCGATCTTGGCGGATGCCGACCACCGCCGCAGAGTCGGCATGACGGGTCCGTAGAAGTACGGTAGGGCCCTATGTCTAAGAAATAGAGAGAGTATTTGTTGAATATAGCAGTTTATTCGAATTCTATAACAGGGAATAAAAAAGAACGACAAGAGTAAGAATAAAGGAATATGAACACAATATACCAAACATCAGGCCACCAGGTGCTAGTTGGCACCAGAAGCCTTCCTGCCCTTAGGCACACGCGCAATCCAGTAGATAAAAACTGCACCGACAATATTGAAAGCGATATAGACCCACATCAGCCCGAAGTTTCGCCATGCGTCATCAAAGTCGCTTCCAACAGCCGCAAGAAATAAATCCGTTTTGCTCACTGTGCACAACATGCAATCAGATGTTGCCATCGGATTTTGTACATATCCTGACTGCACGCTGTCGATGTAAGGGTATAAATAGTCTCCACACGTCTGATTCTGGGGTGGGTTTAATATCAAATACTCGACATTTTCGCACCTTGCATCGGCGCCAGAAAGAGCGGTGGATAACATCGCTGACACGAGGTAGGTAAATGGGGAGACCCGATACATGAAAACCCAAAATTCAGGTAAGTCGTCTTTGGTCGCAAGAACGCCACAGAAAATAAGACATAGTGAGAACAGCAGCGATGCAACGTTGCCGCCAGTCTCAGCCAGCTCAATACCTGCAATGATCATATGGGCGAAGGTGGATGTAAAGAGCAGAAAGGTCCAAATCAGAAGGAACATGAGACCACCTCTTTCGGTCACTGCACTGTCCTGTTTGGCATTGTTGTAAAAGCCTATCGGGTAGTACCAGCAGAAGTAGATAAGGACCGCCATCAAGGTATTCCACGGTAGCTCGACGAGCACGTTGGCACACATAAAGGATTTCCAAGAATAGGATTTGGATGGCCGTTCACGGACCTCGTACAGCGACCGCTGCAGAACAAAATTGGGCATAATCTGTTGCACAAGGTTGCCGAAAATGGTCATCAACATAAAGATGCTGAACATCTGGTTTTGAAGCCCTTGGATGGAGTTGCTTGCCTGGAAGAACGAAAACCCGATATAGAGCGAAGTCAAGATACACAAAGCCGCCTTGGACCAGATATAACTCGGACTCCGGAAATACTGAGCAAAGACGCGCACGAGGCACTCGTAGAGTTGAATGCGGAATGGTGCTGCGAATTCCGTGTATGCGCTCAACTCAATGTCTTCCTGTGGTTTATCGGACAAGGTCTGCCTAAGCACTGCGAGATGCCCCTTGACCTCTGTGTGTTCAGGGCTTTCGCGCCAGACCTTGGCCCAGTCGATTTCGCTATGGGAGCCGGGTGCGGCGCCAATAACTTCCAACATCCACTCGGCTGGGTTCTCTCCTGGGGCCAGATGCGCTGCTCCATTGCGCTCGAAATAATCGGACAGAATCTTAGAATTCTCACCGATGTCACCGAAATAAATAGTCTTTCCACCAGCTGCCAAGAAAAGCAGTCGGTCAAAACGCTGGAATAACATAGCAGACGGTTGATGAATAGTACAAAGTATAGCCTGGCCGTGTCTTGTCAGAGTATTAATCAGATCCATGATCGACCATGATGTCTGGCTATCCAATCCACTTGTTGGTTCGTCAAGGAAGAGTAAAAGCTGAGGTTTAGCTACAAGCTCAACACCAATCGTCAAACGTTTGCGTTGTTCCACATTTAATCCCTCGCCTGGAACTCCAACAACAGCATCTGCGTAGGCCCCCATGCCTAAGAGCGTTATCACTTCTTCCACGTAAGCGACCTTCTCCTTGCGACTAACGGACGCAGGCTGTCGCAGAATGGCGCTGAATTCCAAGGCCTCTCTGACCGTCGACGTGGGCAGATGCAGGTCCTGTTGTTGTACATAGCCGGTTTTCCGCTGAAATGACTGATCGCGAGGCCGTCCGTCGATAAGCATTTCCCCTGTCACAACCCCCATTGTCACTCGGCTTGCAAGGACATCTAGCAAGGTTGTCTTTCCAGCGCCGGAGACGCCCATTAAAGCCGTACATGTTCCAGGTTTAACCCACCCATCGACATTGTCCAAGATTCGGCGCCGCTCCCCTTTGATTTTGATTTCGTAACAAACATCTTGCCAATGGAAAATAGCCGTCTGACGTTGGATTGTAGGGACCTGAGGTATCGAATTATCTGTCTTTTCGCCACCACTGAATGGAGCTCGTACAGTCTCAGTATCGGCCTCGATACCGGCCTGCTGGGGCTGATGGCGGCGGCGAAAAAGAAGAACCTCACCCTTCGACTTCTGCTCGGAGATGTATTCTGTCGCCACGAGATAGACAATACCAAAGAAAACCATGAAGCCGACCAGGATGCCCATGTTTCTCCACATATGCGATTTGGAGTAATTGAAGCTCAGTTCGAGGTAAAGCGACCCAGAGACCTGCTTTGACCCTGACTCAGAGCCAACGACAGAACAAATACGATGGTCCATTGCAATACTCTCGTACTCACCGCCGGAGGGTACGATAGATGCGCAGAGAAATGTTCGGTCGTGAAACTCGTTGACCATGAAGCTTTCGAAGGAATAGGCGATAGGGTTAATGTAGTTCATCCATCGCGACCAGCCCAGCATGTTGCGTGTGGGAATGGTAAAACCCGTGTATATTACCATGCCTAACATTAATATTGCTGCTGGGACGAGAGCCTGGGATAAAGATCGTGATGTGGCTGCAATACTCCTGAACACCATGGACATAGTGAAGGTGGTGACGACAGAGAAAATCCAGAAGGTAAAGAAAGCGCTCGCCTCCCGACGCAAACCTGCCATGAAGTATAGTGGTATGTTGAAAGTGATCGAGTTAATCAGCTTGTATGGTATATCGCATACCATCGATGCGACTGCCTCCGCAAAGGGATGATAAAATGCGAATCGGGCTTGCTTTTCAACGACCGGCCGCTGGCTATAAAGTGTGAGAATTTCCAGTCCACTAGAAAATGCATTCAAGAGCACAGCAAAAAAAAGAAGGGCGCTGCGCGCATAGAAACTCTCGGTCGTTTCCGGGAGATTGAAAAACACGGAGCCAATTATCAGTGCCATGATGAAGTTGCCAATAAGTGCTGTCGCAGTCAAGCTGAGATCGCCACGTAGGCGTTGAAAGCCGCGCATTACGCAGATTTTGATCTGGCTCCCCATGGAAATCGTATACGGTGATCCCGCTCGCTGATACTTGGCCTGCATGACTCGATGGGCCATGACAAACCTATCATGGGAGGACCCTCCGATGGGATGTTCACGCCCAAATTCCTCGATTCCTTCCAAGAGTTTAGCACGCTGGTCGCTCTTCTTCCATGCTGCTGCAAACTCATCCGGAGTGCGCGGTACACGGCCTTCAAACCCCGTACGCACTCGTCTCTCTGAAGGACTTGTGATTGACGTCAGAAAATCAGCGGTCGTTTGACGGTTGGGGCAATCAAAGCCCATGTCCACAAAGTACTGCTTTGCTTCAGCTGCTGGGCCAAAGTAGATCTGTCGCCCTTCATATAGCAGTGTTGCCTTGTCAAAAGTATCATATGCGCTCTGGGAAGCTTGATAAATCGCCACACAAGCTGCTGTGCCTGAGTATCTGGTCATAAGCGCCACGTTTCTGCAGAATTCAAGGGCGTTGGCACTATCGAGACCTCGAGTACTGTTGTCCCAACATTGCAATGGGCTTTGGCTTAAGGTGGCTTCAGCAATGCTAACACGTTTCCGCTCGCCACCACTGATCCCCCGGACGAAATCATTACCAACGCGGGTATCTATGGTATGAGAGAGACCAAGCATCGCCATCACCACATCTCTCATGTGCTCGGCATATTGCTCTGTGGTGACGTCCTCGAACCGGTTGCGAGGAGCTCGGGCAAGAGCAGCGAATTTCAAAGTATCACCGACGGAAAGCTGAGGGAAGTGGATATCTGTCTCTGCTGAATAGATTGCTTCACCTTTGAAATTTTTTCGCATCTCCTTTGACGAAATTCCTGGTCGACAAGTCAGGTTAATCGCTTGGTCAGAGATAGATATCCCCGGGGCTACAAAACATACCTTGATAATTCAACATCGAGTCCTCTGACATATCAATGCCACCCATCTCACCTGCGATGGTTTTAAGGAGAGTTGAACATCCAGATCCCGGTTTGCCCAACACAACAAGCATTTCTCCGCTCTTTATCAGGCCGTCAAAATCGCGAAGGATTTGGATCCTGGGCATCGCAATGCCTAGCGCTCGTCGAATCATCGTACCGACTTCGAGTAGGCAGTTGAAAACATCTTTCTGGTAATCAGTTGGAGATCCGAATCCGTGGACGCTGAGATTCTTGAACGATACGCCCGTAGTTAGATTCGGGTACCTATCAGGGTCTCGCGAACGAACGGCTAGGACCATCTTCATCCAGCTGCGGACATTGAAGTTGGAACTGTGGGGGTTAACCGGCGAGTTGAAACCCCTGCTAGTAAATGGGTATTCCCTCAGTGTGCTTTCGGCGGAATATCGAGTCGAGCGTCTGCTGAGCCGTCGCGCGAGGGCCGTAATCTGTTCTTCCATTTTTTGCTCTTCATCCTGGAGAGTATTTTGAGCTTCACTTCCCCCCCGACTGTCGCTCTCAATTTGTTTGACCACGGAATCCTCGTGAGTCTGTGATAGCTGCGGCATGTTATAGCTAACAACGGACTGGGACCGAGCTGGGCTGGGAGTAATGGTCCCCAGGAATGACATGTTGTATGATATAGCCCTCTTCAGATCACCGAGTTAAGTGTTCCACACATCGAACATTCAGAAGGTCAATGGAACCGGCAGCTATTTATAATTTGAACAACCAGCCACCTTATCCACGGGGATCCAGTTAAAACATACGTGCTGCCTTGTGCAAGCGAAGTACAATGTAAATCTGATTACCACATCCGAGTAGCACCGGACCACTACGATCCCAATAACGTGCCGCATTGGAGGACAGATGTGCGTCTGCCATATCCATAGTTCTGTTGATACAGATTTGAAGACGCATATCATGATTTCCTGATGCCTTTTTTCGCTCCTCGTTAATATCTGTTATGAAGAAACTTCTAAAATATTTTGTTTCAAATGACCATACCCGTGCAGTATCCGACGATCCGGACCGGGGGACGGATGCAGGTTGAAATTATTTTCCATAATAAGCTAGACAAATTATATATCTTTCTCGTAATATTCCTATGTCCATAGCCGCGCCCGGAGCGGATGCTTGCTAGTTGTCTTGGGCACCGGGGAGCTCACACTCGATTAGCTGAAATGAGCAGAATGGCTGACCTATCAGGGCAAGGTTGATTTAACTTTACTCGGTAATCCACTACCGAGTCTACGAAATTCATATGCAGGAACGTCTGTACACCACACCATACTAACTTTCTGTTGTGCACACTCCCGGATTAGGGTTTGCCGAGGCCTCGTGTGGGGAGACCCACAACGTTAACTGACTCATTGCCGTAGCTAGTCTGTGCGGGCGTCCAAGTATCCGAGACCCCGGTATAGAGTGAATTCGTGATTCCGGGTGCTGTCTCTTCTCAATGGAATCCCGGGATATAGGTAGGTACGGAAAGCGGAACTTGTAAGTCCCGAGTTGGACTATGCTGTGGAATGGTTCGCGCCAGCGGTAGATATCAAGCTTCGCCCTTCATCACTGTTCTCGGTCCAAGCCATAAATTTCGCCCTGCTCCATTGGGACTTGAAGTGTTTCTTTCTAACAACAATTTCTCCCAATACTATTGACAATTCAGCCCAGGTATCTATAACTCGTGACAATGTCTGGTTTATTACCTCAACAAACCCCCCATGCGGCTCCTCCAAGTGTCACTCGTCCCCCCTTTGATTCAGCATTTAAGAATGCAGGGGGGTTGGCACATTTCACCGACGAGCTAAAGCTTGACGCTGTGCGGGAATATGCGTCGAAAGACAGCATTGATGCCATTCTGGATAAATTTCCCCATCTTGCTCACGCTGAGTATAGCGTACCAGCTGTTATGGGCTTTGATGATCATTCGACCGTCCTTTCTACTTTCCAATCAAAATCGTCAACAAACACCAAAAAATCAGTCTTGTATTACATCCATGGCGGAGGTCAGGTCAGCGGAAATCGGTTCAGTGGCCTCGATGCAGTCATCAGTCTCCTTCCCAACAACGACGATATTGTGTTCGCTTCTATCGAATATCGGTTGGCGCCCGAACATCGTGCTCCAGCGGGAGCTGAGGATTGTTATGCTGGGCTCGTCTATCTTGCGGACAAATCCGTGGAACTCGGCATCGATCCTTCAAAGTTTGTCGTGTTCGGCATTTCTGGCGGCGGACCACTTGCGGCAGCTTCATGTATGCTGTCCCGAAACCGCAGATATCCCCAGATTCGGGCCCAGATGCTTTCTGTCCCTATGCTCGATGATCGGGATGATATCGGTGTATCATGGAAACAGTTTGAGACCGGCACCCTGTGGCCAGGCAAATCAAATCGCATGGCTTGGGATATGGTTCTTGGGCCGGAAAGAGGAGGCCCTCATGTCGATGAGATACAGTGTGCAGCCAGGGCAACTGACCTATCAAAGTTGCCTCCCGCCTTTATTGATGTAGGCGAATGTGAAGTTTTCCGCGATGGAGCAGTGGCATATGCTTCGCGCCTGTGGGAATCTGGTGGCACGGCTGAGCTACACGTCTGGCCAGGTGTGTACCACGGGGCACATTTGTTAGAGGATACTCCCGTAACGCGAGCAATGCTGGCTGCGGAAAAGGATTACATCGTTCGAGCGCTTGGCATTCGCGAAGGTTAGCTGGCCATTACGCTAGAAGTGATCAGATATTCAAATTATATTAAATGCTGTTGCTGCGATAATCTACAGTGAGCTTTGTAGGTGTGAGAGTATGGAGCAAGTTTGGTACTTAACCTGATGGAGCTGTTGGGAGTGGCCATCAGGGATTTACCACTGCATTGGAGCCCAGCGGCAGCATGTAACACGCTTTAGGAAAGCAACATTGTGAAGTAAATTTTCTGCCTGTCCTCCCCGTTGCATGTAGATGTTTCGATTCGACTGAGCTGATGTTGAGGGCTGCCCCGGTACTCGGGGTTCCCTGGCTCCAGGCAACCCCGGGGGTTGACGGACAAATGTTATATTATGGGTAGCCTAGTTCGCCTACAATCCGGCTCCGCGCACATCTACACGCTTTGCAGCCCTCGCTTTACCAATTCACCGCGGGGCCGGGGTCCGGGGGGGGTCAGCCTGAGGGGCCCGTAAATATATATATTCACACTGACCTTACACCCACCACCATGTAGACCACCTGCCCATCTTCCGTCTCAGGATGACAGTCCCTTCTAAACTATAATGCGTCGTTTATATACTCTCGCACGAGTGAGAGAAGCAAGGCAGATTATGCCTTGAGTCAAAATCGGGGTAAGTACTTTAAAATTCCCATCAAGCCAAGGCTTGGCTGAACGACAATGAGACAGCAAAGTAAGTCATGGTTAACTACCTAGTTAACAAAAGGTTCACGTAAATTCCGAGCCAAACCGTCCAAAGTTGAGCGATCCGTTGCGAAATTACGTTACGTTGCCCCAGGATTCCTCAAACGGCAATGAGTCAACACTTAAACACTACAGGGATGCATTGTTTTCTTGGACTCCTTTCTTATGCGTTACTCTCTCGAGTGAATGGAGTGCGCCGCAATATTGGTGGACCTAATTTGAGCGGGGGAGGCGAGAGCATAGCTGGTGTCCGACAGAGGATGGATTTCCGAGCCGCCCCTACAGGGTACAAGGCACGATTTCGGCTCTCCTACTACTTTACATGCTTAATATATCTCGCATCATATTGTATCTCATTGGGCAGCTTAAGATGTGCCCACCGGGCTAGATCAAGAGTCTGGGGATGAAGGCGGGATTGCATATTTTGGGCCTTCGGATATCTCTCAATGATTCTGGTGAGAGAAGGCACATATCCGGGCAAATGGAACCCTCGAATTTGCCATCTGGCCGACTCGCACTTGTTGCACTCAACGCCACTTTCTCAAGCGCATGTCCTGTTAATATCCGTCCGAGAAAAGCTCTCGGGAGCTCACCTCCAACTCTTCTAGCCATAGGGCCCTATCAAGGCTAATGATGGGATATAAAATGCGAGAACACAACCTCCCTTACTCCATTTGAATTCCATTAACCAAGCATCTGATACTTTCTTTTCATCATGATTTCTGAACTCGTTTTCGTTCTTGTTACATTTCCTTTTTGGGTCCCGATCCCATTGGCCGCGTCTCAATATACGAGCCCAACCTTTGCCAACCTCTCAGGTCCTAGTGGCCCAATTGTTGACCTTGGATATATCAAGGCACAGGGAACTACTGTCACATCATTACCGCACAAATATAATGCGTGGCTCGGGATTAGATATGCAGACAGTCCAATCGGGCAACAGCGCTTTGCAGCTGCAAGGCCGGTCGAGTCTACAGTACCACCAAACGTTACCTTCGACGCCACTAGTTACGGTCCTATATGTTATCAAGGATATCCTCAAATTGCACCGCAATCCGTCACCGAGCCTTTATTGCAGTTTGGGAACCGCCAGCCCAGCGAAGATTGTCTTCTATTGGACATCTATGCTCCCGCAAAGCCAGTTTCTCAAAAGCTACTTCCAGTTCTGCTTTACATACACGGAGGGGGATATGACGTGGGGTCGTCCACGTCATCCACCATGAGTAGCATCTTCCAGCTTGCTTACGGTGCTCCTGGTCACTTCCTTGTTGTGAATATTCAGTATCGCTTAGCTGGATTTGGTTTCCTGGGTGGAGACGAGGTTACCACGTTTGGGCAACCAAATGCAGGACTAGCAGACCAGCGCTTAGCTATGGAATGGGTTCAGCGCCATATATCATCCTTCGGTGGGGACCCATCGAAGGTTACTATTCAAGGCCCGTCCGCTGGTGGTGGCAGTGTTGCTTACCAGTATATCTGGAAAGGAGGCGAGGTCAACCCCCCTTTCAGGGCAGGTATCTCGGACGCCACGTGGTGGCAAACGCTCCAAAATCAGACTCAGCTTGGACAGCAATATCAAGCAGTTCTGAGAGCGGCCAACTGCTCCGATATCAAATGCTTGCGAGGCTTGCCTGCCGAGCGCTACTATGACGCCCAGCAGGCCGTCCTAAATGATGCTTGGAGATACCCTTATGGCATATTCTATTTCGGTCCCTATGTCGATGGCTACTATATCCGGAATCTGCCGAGTTTAGAATTACAAGCCGGTCATTTCTCAAAACTACCTCTTATTATAGACCACGACACAAATGAAGGACTTTCTTTCACACCACAAACAATCGATACACATGAAGAATTTGAAAGGAGAGTAGCAACTGTGTTCCCAGCTGCGGGCGATAACTTTCTGAACCGTGTTTACACACTTTATCCAGCTTCGACAACAGGGCTTTATGGCTATAATACGAGTGTGGGACAACAACTACGATCAGACTACTTCTTTGGAGATACCATGATTGCCTGTCCTACCTACTATATTGCCAGCTCCCTCAGCGATGCAGGTGTGCCGGTTTACAAGTATGTATATGGGCTGCCAACATTCACCACGGCCGGCCATGGCAAATTTTTAGATCTTTTTGTCCCCACACCGGACAATGATACCTCGCCTTCAGCAATTCTGGGAAGACAGTTTCTGAAATATTATATTCCCAACTTCATCATGATGTCTAATCCAAATGACAACTCGTGGTTGGATGACGACTCTAGCAACAATACCACTCTTAGCAATGTGGCTCAGTGGCCCGCTTATGGCGCGCAGAGCCGGATTCTTTTCGTTAACTCAACAACCACCCCTGTTCTTATTACTTCTGATTTGGATGCCAGGGGACAATGTGACTTCTTTTGGTCACGTTCTGTCTAACAGCAGGTCTAGGGGAAGACTACAGTTTCTATGCCAAATAGCCCATCCTGTCCAGCCAATCATGAAGTTTTCAACATTTCTTCCAGCCCCCTAGACGCATCTAGTGGTTTCTGTTCGACAGGACGGAAAATAAGTAAAAAGACTGCGATAAAAGAGAAAAACAAGGATTAGAATTGCTGTTACTGTATACTACTTTACAAGCCAAACAGGCCTCAATAAACATCAGCTAATATACAACCCACATTGGCCCAACACCAAGTAATTACGCTTCCAGATTGCTTTCGCTAAAAGCATAATGTTTAGGTGTTGATTTTAGACGCAGAATTAACCTCAAAGTAGCGTCTACAAAACCATTACTAGATTATTTTAATACACTATTTTATTGCCCATGCCATGGCGGGGAAAAGGCCTTCTCAAGAGCTTCCTTCTCCGACGAGATCAGCTATTTGCTATGCGTAGAGAGTTTCCTATATCCTTTCGCGCGAGCGGGAGAAACAAGCTGGACCACCACATCTTCCTTTGGTCAGCATCGAAAATCTTTAGCGTTCTCATCAATCCGAGATTCCGCAGAACGGCAATGAGTCAGTGAAGAAAATATTAATGGCCAGTTAACGAAATTTACCTTGCCCCATAATCAGTCAAACGGCAATGAGTCAATTCTCCAAAATACAGGCACACGCAGCATTCTTGTCGAGAACGAATGAAGTCTTGGGGAGCTGAAAGAATATCTTTGCATACCGTAGGTAGGGGATCAGCACCTTCAATTCTATTTGTTCAGCAGTCTTTAGTCACCTACTCTAAGTTCAGTACTGGTATGACAACTGGAGGGCCCCGCCGAGTGGAAAACCGGACTTAATACATCGTGATCCAGCGCCTCGCTCAAGATATCAGTGGTTGCTTCAGTAGTACGGTGGGCTCGGGTCATCAAAGCTCTCCCGACACTTCCCTCTTAATTTCGTTTTAGAATAAACAGTGGAACCTCCGAGCAAGGTCGACTTCGAAGACCACCGGTGGTGGGCCTGTCTGTCTAACCCCCTTTTTACTCCTCCGCAATCCCCACCTTGTCATTCGACTTGAAGAACCTGGAGACGCGGCGGAATGTGGGAATCTGTCATTTGGTGTGTGTTCTGGGCTGGGCCTCCTCGCGTTCGTTTACTCACCCTGGATTGTCGCCCGTTTTGCTGTACCTTTTACCGTTGGTGCCCGCTGCGAGAAAATCACTTGCTCCCTTCCTTTCGGCAGAGTGTGTCTTACTTGAGGATATAAGGTCGCCATGTTTGGCTCCGACACGGCATCCCTCCTGTTGAAGCATCTCAACATAAACCTTGTTGTTGGGAAACATGCGCACTACTACTCTCTTCTCACTGCTCTCAGCAGCCGCAGCAGTATATGAACCAAACTATACAGCAGGAAAAATCTATCAACTTAACAATGGAACATGGATTGAAAATCTCACACAGCGTACCAATCTTTCCTGTTTCACACGCCTGACAAGATACGACAGCCCTGAAGTGCAAGAAGTTAATCTATTGCATCCGCACTCTGGTCCTCGCACTATCTATACTTTTGCCAATGCAACAAGCGCCACGGGTATTACAGAGCTTTCCACGGAGCGGTATGCAGTCCTCACACTGAACCACGCAGTCAATACAACAACTGTCTCGATCTGGACACTTCAAACAAATGCCTTATTACCAATTGCTACCAAGGTCGCTGATAGTATTGTCGACTCTGAGCTTTTAAATGGGCTTGCAGCAGTCTCACCTCATATTGTCCTTGCCACGAATTCGTTTGTTGGTGGGATTGTCAGGATAAACCTCCAAAATGGTATTGCTGATGAAATCTCTGCGGGAGACTCTTTTCCAGCTGGTGTCAATGGTCTCAAGTACCAAGAGCCATACCTATACTACACAAACATGTTCGAGGGAGTCTTCGGTCGCATCGCTGTTGATCCATCTACTGGTGCTCCCGCAGGAGAAGCGGAAGTGATTGCAAGTGGTGATATTTTGGTTGGAGCAGATGACTTTGCTCTTGCATACTGGACCAACGCCGCATTTGTGGCGAACTACGAGAAAAACACTGTTGTCCGTATTAATATTGACGAGAAAACTGCCGAGGTTGTTGTCAAAGAAATCCCTGCGCCAACACCAGCAACATTTGGTGCTTCTGGTGGGTTGTTTTTTGCGACGAGTGGAACTGGGTCGGATGGCGGGGCAAGCTTGTGGCGTATTATGGTGCCTGAGGAACCTCCATTTGATTTATAGCCTGCCTCGCAGCTGTTTAAGGTGTATATAGTTACCGCAAGGTGAGGGTATGACTTAGTATCCGTTAGGTTCCAGGCCGTGGATTTCCTACATCGGGACTAGCACCGTTATCAAGACGTGGTCTCGACAAGCTTTGTTGACTCATTGCCGACCCTTCAATTCCCCTAATTAGGTACATTAATCATCTGATAGACTTTGTAAGTGGGTCTGTTGACGCATTGCCATTTAGACCTACCTTCAGTCATGATGATGATCTTATTGACGATGCGATGATTGTGATAGGTGATCTGACTTGGCTGTTGTTGACGTTGACGATCTTGAGACAAGCTCGAATCTACGAAATTTTTTTTTCATCACAGGATGAGACCAGACGGGATGATCGTTCTAATCGGATATATTCTTGCTACTACGGTATCCAGTTTCCAGTACGTAGATACCGAAGAGTCCCATTAAGGAGTGGAGAATGTGAACGAAATAAAATGAAAAGCCCACCACATCTTACAACGGTCGTCGTTTCTCATCACTCATCAAACGGCCATTATACAGTCATGTAACAAACGCACCAACGTAGAAAAAATTGCACGTAATGAAATACATGCGCCGGACACGCAGCGATCAACAAGATCAGCTGGATGTTCCCAATATCGACGCGCTTAGCGGTGGCGGTGTCGCCGCTCAACAGGGGCCGCAACCTGGCGAGTGAGGAAGGGTTTCGTGGTCTGCAGGAACATGGAGAGGCCGGTCGCGACAACTGCGAACGGAATCAGCGAGTACCAGACAAATTTGAAGCCATGGGCGTAGGCGTGGGCCCGGGCCTCCTGGGCCGCCGCGAGGACATCCTCAGTCACACCGGGAATGTGCGACAGGGCGTCCTGGTTTCCGCCCAGCAGGGCCTGAAGGGACTCGGGGATGGCGCTGACGGGTAGACCAGCCTCTGCCACAGCCTTGCCAACGTCCTCGGGTAGGAAATGCTTGAGCTTGGCGGCGAAGATCTGGCTGAAAATGACGGTTCCAATACTGCCGCCGAGGGCACGGCAGGAGGCCGTCACACTGACGCCCGAGGCGATGAGATGATTCGGGGTGCAGATGCTGACCACGACGGTCAACAGGGCGTTCTGGATGCCGACGGCCGCTCCGAGCATGGCCGTGGGGAAGAACCAGGCGGCGAAGTTGATACCCTTGTGCATGACCAGCATGATGCAATTTCCGACGAGGAGCACCACGAACGACACCACGACGCACCACTTGGCCTCCTTCATAATGCCCAGCACGATGGCGGCGATCACCCCGCCACCAATGGTCATGGCGTTGAAGGGGATATTGTACACGCCAGTCATGATCGCGTCCCTGGTGAAGAGGTTGATAATCTCCTGGGGCAGGAAGGCTTGACCTCCAAACAGCACAATACCATCAACAAAGTTGAGCGCCAGACAGATGGGGTAGTTGACATTTCCGAAGAGACTGTGGGCCACAATCCCATTCTTGGTCCCCAGCCATTCCCAGAAGCCAAAGGAGATAATCAGGACGCCTCCGACAGCCATGCAGGCCAGGACGCGACCGGAAATCCAGGGTGTAGGGTTGTCTCCCGACTCCAGGCCGACAAGGAACAGGGTCAGGCCTGCGGTCACCAGGAATACTCCAGTCCAGTCAATGCGGAACAGGCGTGTCATGAAGGACAGATTGTCGGGGTTTGGACGCTTGGCCGGGTGGTAGCAAAAGAGGATTATCACGAAGCTGAGGAAGGCCAGACCGACCTCAAGATAAAACGCCACCCTCCACCCATCGCCTTGGCCGCCGACATTGTGCTTGATGAACACACCGGCAACTATTGGGGCGATGATATATCCTACTCCGGACACGAGCCCGCTGGCAGCCAGAATAGGGCCACGCTGATCCTTGGGGACGATCTCGGCAGACATCGGAATGGCCAGGAACCCGCAGGTCAAGCCAACACCATTGAGTGACTGCCCGGCGATGACCATGCCCATGCTGCTGGCACGACTAGCAATTAGGGAGCCGGCAAAGATCATGGCCATACCAAACAAGAGGGGCCACTTGCGGCCAAAGTGGTCGGATAGATCACCCAGGAAGGCTTGGATGACACAGTTGGCGATGGTGACGGAGGACGCTATCCAGATGGAAATTCCTGCATCCTCTGGGAAGGAGGTGGTGATGAAGCCGATAATACCGCTTCCCACGACGAGGGTCCAGATGGAAGTGAAAAGAGCAGCCCAGCAGGCAATTAGGTTGAACCAGATGTCAATATCCCAATCAAAGGGGGACTCCTGGTCGTCGGTGGTGTTAACCGGGCTCTCGTCGTCCACGGCAACGTGATTCTTGCCTTCGTCGGCCATTGTGTGGGGCTTTGCCAAAGAATGTATGGTTTGAAAGGAAGTCAAAGTTCATGGCTTTTATTTGCTTGCCCAGCTAAACAAGTGCAAAAATGTATATCTAGTTCAGCGACACATCAGGGCATCTACGCTTCAGCGGACAACGCGCTACCGCGAGATACCCCAGATCAAAGGCTCTCAAGGGATTGTGGGGGGAGATCATTGAGCCCGTTTGCTGCTACTCATTCCCGGGTTGGCCTCCACTCGCCCGGGGCCAGGATTTGGGATATTGGCATTGGCTACCAGAGAGCACTGAGTCAACACTTGCATCGGGGAAAGGGAGGGATTATATTCTGAAAAACTCACCAAAATCAGACTCACGAGACGACAGGGTAAGGAAGGCGTGACTCACAATTCCACTCTCCCTCTCCCTTCCATGATTACTCCCGCGTTCCCTACGTGCGTATAGCTCGATGGTCATACATCTACGTCTAGTAATGCATGTCACACTATCATCTCCGCCTCCACAGTACCATGGCCTAACTTTATGTTTTCTGGATTCCATCCACTACATCGAGCACAATGGATATAAACCGTAGTACAGTTGAGGGGGTTGACCATATATTCGACCGTCTAAGGAGATAACAATCGGACTTCTCTAACTCCACACAACTCCCCATGAACAATATATCAAACCCCATCATAGTCGCTTGTTGTGCCACCACAGGATCCACAAATATGACAATATGGCGGAATATGACCACCGCAGAACAACGCAAGTCATTAAAAAGGTCATCGAGGAGGTGTGGGCCTTTGCCACGATGCCTGTCAACTTAAGCTGGGCCTGGGAATCTGGAAGGTCCACGCTCCGGAGGCGAGGACGACCCGGAGCCCTTAACACGCACGACGCTCCCCGGCGAGCATTTCCCCGAGTACATGCGTATTCCCGGCCGGTTCGACCTTGTGGGGTGACTGGGTCGTTCACATTCAGGAGAGGTCCTATGAGTGGGGTTTCAAGTCGGTGCATTGGCATGACCCTGCCGGGCCCACCGACATCGACGTCGTGTACACCCTAAAGATCGACGAGACACTACACGCCGGTCACGCCACCGCATCAACACCCTTTCGGCCGGGCGAATCCAACCGCATCAACTTCCTCGCCGCCAACGGCAACGTGGAGAAGAATCTGGCCGTGTGCCTCCCCATAACCCGGTCCATCCTGGCTGGTTGGCAACTCCTCCCGTTGATGATTAGGATACGGCTCAATGTCATTTAACGGCAGGCACTATTGGTTTCATATTCATAGCCTATAGTCATCGTTGAAAGAACCCACTATATTTAACTTTCTTCTATCCAGGGGTAACTAGCGCATTGAGAACACTCCAGAGCTAGAATCCTTTCTGATAATGGTGCCCCACATCTTCTCGGATGGGAGAACTAGCTAGCCCTCTAGGGTTTTACGTCCATCCGAGTTATCAATAGGTATTTGGCATCTGTTACCATAGTCTCCTCATGGATAGGAAAACATCCGTCATCCGAAGTACGAGGATATCCGGGATCCGAGCTTCTGCACTTTTCTCACGTATGGTGGCTTCCACTAAAGACTCCGTTGAAGGGACTGAAATGATATAAAATCGGTGCTTCCCTTACCTATTTTACTGGAGCAGACTTTTCTTTTATTAAAGATTCCTAAACCATTTCCATTCTGACACAATTTACTGTACCAACCAAGACCATGACTTCTCTTGCAGGCAAAGTCATCGCACTTACAGGGTGTGGCTCCGGCATCGGCCTAGCCGCTGCCAAACATCTTGCTGCACGTGGCGCATTCCTCTCTATCTCTGACATCCGAGAGGGACCTCTTGTAGAGGCAGCTGAAGCAATTCGGAAAATTGGTTCGGAGCCAATGGCGACAGTACTTGACATTGCTGAAGAAAGCCAAGTCAACTTGTGGATCCAAGAAACGGTGAAGAAATTTGGCAGATTGGATGGGGCTGCGAATATCGCTGCCATTCATCAAACCTTTACACTGGTCAAAGACATTCCTACTGAGGACTGGAATGAGGTCATTCGCGTCAATCTTACTGGGACCATGAACCTCCTGCGGGCCCAGCTCCAAGTCATGAAATCGGGATCGTCTATTGTCAACTTTTCAAGTGTTGGTGGTACTCGTGGCGTGCCAAATTCTGGCTCTTACTGTGCTAGCAAGTGGGGGGTTATAGGGCTGTCCAAATCAGCAGCGATTGAGGCCGGCCGCGATGGCGTTCGCGTCAATGTCGTATTACCGTTAGCCTTTCCCTCCATCTCTGTCATATTGGTTAACATTACTGACTAATTGTACAGTGGGTTAATTGATACGCCACAGCTAGCAAGCGTAAGCAACGACGAGTTGGCCAAGGCTGATATCAGTCCCGACAAAATGGTTCCCCTTGGGCGAGTAGGGAAACCAGAGGAAGTGGCTTCACTCATTAGCTTTTTGCTGAGTGACGATTCATCGTATGTGACAGGTAGCACTTATAACATTGACGGAGGGTTCTAGGGATAGTGCTGTTTTTGATGTCTCCTCAATCCTATCATCGAATCGGTTACTCGCTTCTTTTTTAGGGCCTGGCAGAGTAATATTTGGAGCAAATTCAAAATTTCATCTTATACTAAGGGTTTTATGCTTTAAACCAGCATAGTATTTTGCCGCGGGTTAGGCTCCCCACAAGTTTCTAATATCTTTATATCGTGTGGATATCGATAATCTTATCTAATTCTCTCGTCCCAAGTGATAACTCACGGTGGCATGACAAAAGTGTGTGCATTCCCCCTCCCACAACGGAAACGTAGCCAAGTTTCAGGACTATCTTTGAGGAATAAGTGGATCCCCGATGAAAATGAAGCGTGGAAGGGTTTTAGTTAAACCCACCCATGTGCTTGAGTGGATTTTGGCAAGGTCTATAGTTCACGCCAGCTCTAAAGAGAGACTGCGCGACCTGTGTTCACAAATCAACAGGAAAAGCAGAGACTAATCCCTAATCAGGACTAACATAGTAGTTATAACTCAACATTCACAAAGCTGACTCATTGCCGCTCAGGGTGAAAGCCACATTCAGCTGATGCCAATATACCAAGCAGAATTTTGGCAGGCCAAGCAAGGCAAGGAATATATACTCCATATTATTCAATACTCCGGGTATTCGTCTGGGGAAGCTCTTGATTCCTCAAGGCAAGCAGTCTAGAGCGTCATTAAACTAACATATCCAACATTATTTCTGATTCTCTACTACCAAGCTTCTTGTGTTCTGCAATCCTCGCCTGGGGTTCAATTAACATTCTGTATTTCCCTGGTGCATTGCATCCTTCGTTGCCTACGGATCAGTACCATCCACTTCCCAGTCACTCAGTCCCTTTGCACCTTTCTTCTATATTAAGCTTCCCAGGTCTTAACAGAATCGCTCGAATCATCAAAGTCCCACCTTCTAGGTTGTGCAGGCCAGCTATATCACATGGCAACCAAGTCTCGAATGTATCCCTCGCAGATTGAAAGTGTCGGCTGTAGCCTACGAAGTGGTATGGCTCAGGCCTGTGACCGATGCCGAAGCAAAAAGATTCGCTGCGATCGTGCTCTCCCTTACTGTGCCCAATGCGCTGCTGTCGGCTTCGAGTGCAAGACTAGTGACAAACTCAGCCGGCGAGCCTTTCCTCGAGGCTATACAAAGTCGCTGGAGGAGCATGTCAAGTGCCTTGCGGCTGAAGTCAAAGAACTCAGGAGTTTGTTGCACAGAAAGGATGAAAGGTTTGTCCCCCCCCCCCCAGGTGCATTATTTTCCTCATTACCTCTCTCAGCTGCTGAACGTAACAGGCCATGCTCTAGTATGGCTTCAATCTATATCCCACAGCTACGAGCATTCAGTGATACAATGAGGGCGGAAAGCTTTGGAATTTCGAGCTCTCGTAGCTTTGCTGGTATGGTTTACCCACCACACCTTGGAAGCTGAATGAGTACCAGCATTTCATCCAGAGACTTTCAAAATCAGGCTTGTCGACCAGAAACAGGTATCATTAGCGATTTCGATCGAAGAGCTGACAGCAAGTCCGCCTTCCCTCGCTCATTCTGGTACCCACGCAGGCCCACAAACGACCCCTCGCCTTGTCACTGATCAGCTTCTCACTGTTTTCTTCCAACAATGGGCTCCTCTCTATCCAGTTGTGAATCGACTCGCTATCCTCAGGATATATGAAAAGTATTTGTCGAATCCAGGGTCCTTTCGTGAGAATATGATCGAGCTCGCACAATTATATCTAGTATTTTCCATTGCCGCGCTTCCAGTTACCGTAGGATTACATTAGTTTCTAAACTCATGTGTTAAGCGGGACACTAACTTCCTGAATAGTCTCGAAGCTCTCGCGACCCTGTTTTGTTTGAAGGAATCTGGTTACCTATCCTCCAATCACTTTCAGGTAATATTTCTATCTTAACTTTACAGTGCTACGTGCTCGCCCAAGTGTATTGTATGACTAAGGGGGACTATTCGACTCTCCTACACTATCGATTACTTGCTGTTGGTCTCTGTCACCAGCTGAACCTCCATGAAAGTCAGAAAGGCTTCGAATCAAATCCTCTTCTGGCAGAAACAAGAAAAAAAGGTGTTTTGGTGCCAGTACGTTTTAGATAGGTGCGAGTCCTCATAAACCCTAACAACGTCGTACCTGACCTGAATGAGGTTCTGTGCTGTCTTGACAAACGTTCCTGTTTTGCTCCATGAGAAGGACATTCGCACTGAGTATCCTAAAGATATTGATGAGCAGAACGTTACCGAGACTGGGTTTCTACCGACTTTACCGGGTGAATCGACGAGAATCTCCAGTGCTCTCGCATTGTTTGCCGCATCCAGGATTCTCAACTGCGTTCTAGACGACATCTATCCTTTCAAAGGAGGGTACAGCATCCAATTGGCAAAAGTCTGCACCATTGGAGAGAGCTTGGATAAATGGGTTAAAAACTTGCCTGCCAATCTTTGCGTGGTGTTCTCTGAGGGGAAGCCAACCAATACCACTACGTGTAACTGGTCCCCCGCTCTGGTAAGTCTGCAGGTTTCCAGCCACAAGAGACCTCTGCTGATTGTAGGTTTTGCAGTCCATTGTATATTACTTTATTCGTTCCCTCATCTATCGGCCTGTCCTGTGTTTTGGGGATTTGAAGACCTTATACTTGCCGTCTATCTCCGCCATTGCAGATTCCAGCAAATGTATCGTTCAGGCAATACAACTCGTCGACGATGGGGATCTTTGTCTTCCGGTTGCGATTAACCGAAGAGAACTTATATCATCAAGCGGGTTTGGTCTACTCTGGCTGGATATTGGACTGAGACCTCTCAGCAATCGTGTGCCGGTAAATCAAATTCAGGAGCTACTTTTCATGATCGTCAAACTCCTAAAGACAGAATCGCCTGGAGCTGCTGCGGAATTCAATGCGATGGTCACTTACTTGGCTCCGCTGGGCTATCAGAAGCACATAACAACTACAGGGCCTTGTGAAGGGAGCCCACCTGTGCAGAAGTTAGTGAGATCTCCAACGAAGGAGTCCGAAATGTGGGAAGCGTGTCCGATGAGACATTCGAGTCTGAGCCAGCTACACGAGCAGAACGTGTTATCCTCGTGCAGTAACTCCATACCCAACAACTACGTCAGTTTCACCAAACCTCAAGCACGGCTTCGAAATTGGGAGGGCCTACCCGCTGATGATACTGAACGTCAGTACACCGCAGACCGCAACAAACAATATTCGTTTATGCAATTTAGACGTGAGTCGCTGCCTACCCTTGTGGCCACTAGTACGCCTGCTAGGGAATCGTTGTTTTCAGCGTGGGAATCCGTTATCAGTGACCTGGACCAAGCATGTCCAAATATTTTCACGGGCATCTGTGGTGGCAAGGAATTCATTGAAAACTATGGGCCGTCTGCCTACGCCACTCCAGAAATCATGCAGAAAGAGGCTCACATAGCGACGCGTACCACTGAAGTCCTGCAGAATATGCCATGTGAAGATTAATCTGCTACTAACAGTAGTAACTTTGCATTGCACATGGCGGAACTGGCTGCACGAAGTGCTCTAACCGAGGCACCAATCTCGCTGGAAAACACCTTCGCACAATCCTTGTGAAAATGGTGTTGACCTTTGCTGATATCGCAAAAGAGACTCTGTGGAGGTGAAATGGGCTTGGATGATCCATCCTGGCCTGTTAGTCTTAGTAAAATCTTGATTCAATTGCGAGGGATCGGGGCCTGGGAAAATATATACCTGTAATATCCTGATAGGACCGAGTTATATATCGCAGTGTATACCAAGAACAGGATAATTGTGGATCCAGGCCGTCCTAGCAAAGCGGCCGCATCCTCTTTCAGAATCCACCAATGCATACCAGAAAATTTCGATACACTGGGAATATTCGTCCTGGACTTCATGGCTTTGCTGCAGCAGGACAAGCACTGTGATGTCCAAACCAGAGCCAATCGACGACCGGTATCTGACTGCAAACAATCCCGCTTGCGAACAGCCCCTTGGTATCCATTCGCATGTTTCATGGTTTGTGGAAACACTGAAGCTACATGATATCCTTCGCGATATTCTGTTCACATCTTACGATAATGCGGAGACAATAGGCGCTGAAAGAGCTGGATACGAGAGATCCAGACATGGCCCAGATGTCCAAGGTATAATCGAAATCGACGCTGACTTACAAAATTTCAAGAATTGTCTCCAAGCGTTCTGAACTGGGACCTGCAAACCGCGACTCAGAACTTTCTGAGAGAAAGGCTCCTACTCAAAGCAAGGTTTGTATTACTCCGTACTTGTTACTTGGCCTGCTGACCATATATATGACTCCAGATATTCCTACTTGAAGATTTTGCTTTATCGCCCCGTCCTCTCTCACATGCTCCGCAAACAAACTTCTGCAGGCAACGATGCGGGAATCCATGCAAAATACAGCCTGGATTGCTCGGTTTACTGTACCCTCGCAGCTGTAGACCTCGTTTGCTTGGTGCACCAGACTTGCAACACAAACCTGGCCAGTGTGTGGCCCTATAACTTGTTCTGTACGTTAGAATACCTCCCCTCAGTCATAGACGGGCTTTAACCGTGATATTCACTCGCAGATACGTTTACCGCCGGATCGATCATCTTTCTAGCCGAGCTCTCCCAGCCCATTGCAAATGCTGTGACCAAACAAACGTTGGATGATGCTTGGCAAAAGTGCTATGATTGTTTCGATCATCTCAAACTTTATAATACTGCAGCTGAGCAACGTGCCCAAAGCCTTTTGACTATCAGGTCAAAATGTCTCAACATGACATCCGGTAAGAACTCCCTAGCTTCAAACCCAGGAAAGTGTTGATATCTGGCGGATAGAGAGCATTAGTGAGCCACCAAACGTCGCTGAGGGCGAACCAAGTCAGCCCCAGTGCGACGTAGACGGCCAGCCCGCGGTTACTGAAATCGGGACTGGGATGCCATTCTCGGAGGAGCTTTTCGGGTACCTTAGATTTGACGATGACACATTCCTAGATCCATACTGGTTTGATATGCAATTCTAAATTTGCTATAGAATAAGAGGTCAAAAGGTAATGGTCACACAGCCCGGCATTATGCAAAGATTGCGGTCTCAAACAGCAGATCCTGTAAATCCGGCGAAGAAGTCCTTAACACTGTCAGCATCCTCCAAACTTGTGGCATAACAAAGAATACCGTCTGGTCGGAGAACTACTAGGGCAGCTTTGGCCGTAGGGATAGTATACCAAACTCGGAGACATTGAAGTCCTGCAGCGAGCACCTTGCTCGTTGGATACCCATGGTGCTCAGTACCTGGGGTGCAAGCCAGAGACGGTAACCATTCGCAAAGGACATCGAAAAGATGGTGGGCACGCAGCATTTGTTGCGGATACCATTCTTGATAGGGATGTCAAGATTCCTCAGCGTGATAGCGCGGTGCTACGCGCAGATATCTTCCGTCCAAAAGACGCCCCTGGGAAGCTCCCTGTGCTCATGGCGTGGAGTCCCTATGGGAAAACTGGACAAGGCCTGACTATTGTTCCCTTCAACTTTGTGACAAGCTGGTCAAATAATCGTTGCCTGGACTAATGATGGAATAGGGTTCTTAACCCTACACTTGGTCCCTGGTCGTGTTGGCGTCCCGCAAAGCAGATTATCTGGATATGAGAGCTTTGAGGCACCGGATCCAGCCGAATGGACGGCCAGAGGGTATGCCGTCGCTAATGTAGACATACGAGGATTTTTTGACTCGACCGGTGACATCAGGTACGTTCTAAAAACAAGGCGAAGGAAAAGAAGTTTGACATCTGGCCATGCTTCGTAAGATGCAACGGCATCATTTGAACCATATCTGATGACATCTGTCACACAGGTGGTTTGGGACCAGTGATGGGAAGGATGGGTATGATGCTGTGGAGTATATTGCTGAGTTGGCCTGGTGCTCAGGGAAAGTCGCCCTCGTGGGCAATTCATGGCTAGCAGCGACTCAAGTGGTTTATCGCAGCGGAGCGACCACCACACCTGGCCTGCATCACGCCTTTGGAAGGCTTCTGCGATTTCTATCGGGAAACCCTTTGTCGAGGTGGCGTGCCTTATACACCCTTTTTGGGGCTTTTTGGGAAGTCATGCTCTGTAAGAAGGAAAAACCATTCTGACCCCTATATTTACTAGTAGAATAAGAGTGAACCCTTGATGGCATTCGGCCAATAGGCAGAAACCGGAAAGAAGACGTGATGGGAATGCTTGATCGCTATCCGTTGATGAACGAGTACTGGGAGGACAAGAGAGCACAGATCGAGAAGATTGAAGTCCCCGCATACGTGTTGTCTAGCTACTCAAGTGGACTACACACGATTGGCTCTTTCCGCGGGTTTGAAGAGATACCTCATCAGCATAAATGGTAAGGCACAAATTGCTGAATCGTTCTGGTCCTTCACCTAGGGGTGATGCTAAACAAGAATTCCTATCAGGTTGCGAGTGCACCCAACGTTCGAGTGGCATGACCTGTACAAATCGGAAGTAAATGATGAACTACAGCAATTTTTTGACCGATACACAAAGGGATATCAGAACTGCTGGGAGCAAACGCCGCGGGTCAGGGTTTCCACGCTGGCTTTCAATAAGGCTGATTCTTCGTATACCGGTGCTGCCAATCACTTCTCTCTAACCCTGTCTAGGAGCCAGAATCATATCATGAATTCAGTGACTGGCCAATACCTGGGACACGCTCTGAGATACTTTTATCTCTCCGGCGACAGGAGCCTCAATGAGCGCCCGTCTTCTGACGAAATGACTTTTTCTTATCAATCCGACTCTCTCGCAATGCAAGCGGACGCAGATGGGGAGGGGCTTCGCTTTGAATATACTTTTAAACAACGAAGTTACCTAATTGGCTATTCCAAGGCAATTCTGTATATGTCTTGCCTGGAACACCATGATATGGATGTCTTTGTTCAGCTCCGCAAACTGGACTCAAAAGGAAAGATGTTGCAGAATACAAACATCCCCTTGACAGACATTTCATTGAAACTATCCGAAGCAAAAATTGTTAACTGCGTGAAATACCTCGGACCAACAGGCATTCTTCGTGCCAGTCACCACAGTCTAGACACGCAGCTGTCAAAACCACACTAGCCAATTCACACGGCATGATCAGGCGAAGCCCATTGTTCCGGGCGAAATTGTCAGGTTGGAAATTGGTCTCTGGCCGACCGGAATTGTATTTGAGGCTGGTGAAAGATTGGTTCTGAAGATTGCCGGACATCATATGTGCCTAGCCGAATTTGCTCCTTGCCGGGGGGGGGGGGGNTTTCAAGACCGGAAATAAGGGTCGCCACAATGTCTACATTGGTCCGGATTGCCAAAGCCGGATCACGGTCCCTATTATTCACTTGTAGCTTGCTAGGAGGAAATAATATTAACATTGTTATATACTATGAATGCTTGCTAGAGGCGCCCACCTCATACTGGGAACAAACAGGTCCGTCTGCAGAGGCATAATAAGGACGATAAAGATTTATCTACACAATGGCATATGACTCATAATACATCAGGGTGCATATCCTCTCTGTTGGTGCCTAGGCAAGAAATCCCTGGCCGAATACGTATTGGAGCGAAGGCCTATTTTTATATTCTGGATGCTGACCACAGCAGCACCATCAGGGCCGGCAGTCCGTCGGTGGATTTGCGCCGCCAACTGGGCCAGATCTGCGGGCAGAGCTGGATGCACCAGAATACCGTTCCGATCAAACCCAGCACGCTGGCTGAGACGGGAATGCTGTTGAGGCGCCATGGAAAGCTGGAAACCCGAAGGAAGACGGCTATAAAGCTATATGCTGGGGATTTGGGGGGCGGACCGTGGGAAGGAATGAGGGGTTCGGTCTGCTGGATCCTGCAGGGATTTGATCTGGCCAAGTGTTGGAGCTTGACGCTGATCCGGACCGTGTTTGATGGTTTCGCATTGATCGACGAGCATTGCATAACTCAGTGCCGGCTTAGAATTTGATGAAGATGTTGAACAATACATGGCCATCACTAGATTGTTATTTACTGACCAGACAACAAGGGCTAATCATAAAAACCCATTATTGCGTGGCATGACGGGAATCAATACCGGCATCGTGTCTGACCCGGCGGCCCCGTTTGGAGGCATCAAGGAGTCTGGATTCGGACGAGAGGGCGGCCGGTATGGCATGGAAGAGTTCCAAGTCACTAAGGTGAGTTTGAAAGCCTACATGGTTGACGCATACTGACTATATAGACTATCAATATCGGAGGTTTAGGACTACCAATGACGCCGCTGCCTGCTTAGGACGCCAATGGAGTGTAGTAAATAATCCAGCCCAGTGAAGAGCTGCAATCCATTGAATAGTGCTTACAAGATGGAATTGGCAGTAGTAGATAAATTAATCATTGTTCTATATGATTGCTACTGTATCGAAACGCGTTATGGCTCAAGCCCCCGTTTCGATCGACGCACAAACAGCTTTAACAACACTCCCAGTATTCTCCGAATAAGAAAGCGCATCAATCACTCCAATCAAATCAGCCAGAGTCGTAATCGTGAAATCCGGCTCCAGCGCTGGACACTCCTCCTTGTTTCCGTCCCCAAACGAGCACCAACATACCCTGGCCCCAATGTTCCTCGCGAACTTGATATCAGAAATAGTATCACCAACCATGATAACATCGCCTTCGGCCGCCAGAAGGTCCTCGCCAGTCCTAGCCCGAAACCTCGACGCAAGGAGCTCCGTATAGGATGCCGGATGCGGCTTCCTCTTCTCACCGTAGAGCGGATCGCCGATGATGTACTCATCCGGGATGATACCGTCCAAACCGTGCTGTTTCATTGTTGTCTTGATCATCTCGACGCCCTTGTTGCTCACGATGGCCATTGGGATGTTGCGCGACGCGATGGCCAGGAGGACTTCCCTCGCACGCGGGAAAGCCTTCTGGAGGGGTAGCCCGTGCTGTACGTATATCTCGCGAAAGACCTTTATGCAGTCCTCGATGTTTAGCTTGTCGCGGTGTTGAGCTGGCCAGAGGGTATCAAACGTCACGCGGGCTGCGGCGCCGGAGGATATCAGGCGCTGGAGGTCCTTCTCGCTGGCCGAGGGGTCGAAGTCGGGGAGGAGGGCTTGCAAGGCGTGTGCCCAGGTTTCCTTGATGGCGTCCATGGTGTGCATCAGAGTGCCGTCGAAGTCGAAGATGATCATCTTGGGTGGGACTGGCTTCGGGCTGATCTGGGTGGGCTTGATGGAGGGGAGAACGGCGGCAAGGAGCTTAGCCAGATGTCCGCCGAGCAAGCTGATGGACGAGAAAAAGCGTTCGGTGACGGACATGTTGGTTATGTGATGGTTGCTGTAGTGCAGTGGGACGGTTGTTAATGAGTATCAGGATACCTCGGCCCGATTGACACTTCTTATAGAAGCCAGAGACTGCAAGAGCAAGTGAATAGACAGACAATGAAGTGTTGATGTCCTCATTGTGCAACGCAGGCATTATAGAGTGAGACACGGCGTTCGTTCTGGGGTTATTCATTACAGGTGTATCAGGGAGTATCAGACTAACATGGATTGGGACAGTCATTGAGGCACCAAAGGGGATTTTCTTTATGTCTATATACGGATGTTCCTCCCCGCCAGCGGTTCGACTTCCTGTTTCGAATATGTAATATAACAGTCATTGCTCCGTGTCCGCTCCGGGCACGCTCAGCTTAGCGCCGGAACACGCACTGAGCAAGTAAGCACAAGAAAATCTTTCTTTCAATAGATCACGTGAGATAATTATTCTGCCGTCGAGCCCTCTAAACTACACCCAGCGTGTAGTTCAATACTAAAACCGCCTGTTTGGCGGTGGCTTGAAAAAGGTTGGGAAAGAATATTTCCAATCTAATTGTTCAGAGTCACAAAGTGGAGATTAAACCTAGTCCCAGATAATTAGGCTTCCTCAATGAAATGCCAAGTATAAGTATGGCTGGGTCTGATAGTAGACAAAACAGACATCTCAGCCGCTGTTCTTCTTCCGCCAAAACGCCTCATCAATCGCCCTCTCCGCATCATACCCATACGCCCACATCTGCGTCGCCGGGTCACTCCACTGGTTCGGGCTATGCGAGAACGGGATTCCCAGTGTCTCGGGCTTCATCGCTTCATCACGCGCCTGCTGCAATGGGCCATCGGGGAAATGCCACAGCTGTCCATTTAGCAGACTTGCGTCCTGCATCATTCGCGTGCGCTCTGCGCGGACCTCTTCAAATATTAAGAGGGCGTGCTGGATCTCGGTCGTAGATGATATGTGGCTCAGGGCGCATGCTAGGGCGGCGCCGTCTTCTACTGCCATTGCGGCGCCTGTTTGGTCGTTAGCTTTGGAGCAGTGATTTCTCCGGGGAGGCTGTCGCTTACCCTGTGACATGTACGGCAGCATTGCATGCGCAGCATCACCCAAAACGACAACATTTCCCTCGAACCATTTGGTCAGTGCGGGAGTGCTAACCAAAGGCCACTTGATCGTGTTTTCGATCATGCCGATGATCTTCGTTAACCTGGAATCGGCATAGAGTCAGTTTGGAAGGGTCATTCCTTAGAGTACATACCGAGAATCCCATCCGCTAAACTCGCGGCGCATATCTTCCAACGCAGTGCTCTGGTCCCATGTGGCTGGGTCGCGGGGATCCCAATGCGAGAGAACCATGTTGAAGGATTTTCCGGCTCCGATTGTGTATGTCATTACATGGCGCTTGTCACCGATCCTGAAACAGTAAGCAAGAAACTAAGCATGAGTAAGGTCTGCTGGTTCTGGCTGCAACAAACCATATATTAAGCGCTGGCTTCTCGAGGAGCCACGCGGTGTCTGGGTCTGCTTTCAGAGCGCCAACGTCGACTGTTGCACGGTACGCCGCAAATCCCAATTTCCCGACTGCTTTGTCTGCGCCCTCTTGAAGTAGCGCCCGGGCGAGGGACTTGATTCCTATTTGTTATCAAGTCAGTTCACAGCGACGACTCGAGAGGGGGATGCTTCCAAGACAACTCACCATCCGCCGCGACAACAAGATCCGCACCAGCACACTCCCCGGACTCAAGCCGAATCTCTGTCCCCTCCAAATCATACCCCGTAACCTTACATCCGAGCTTAATCTCAATCCCCAAATCGCGGGCGCGGTGGACGAGTGCCGAATGGAAATCCGCCCGGTGAATGACATAGTATGGCGCATCGAACGTCTCCCGGAACCCCGGAATGAGTCGTGTATATCCGATGGCATCCCCATTCTCCCACCGACGGAATGTCATTCCCTCGGGCTCGGTCGCGCATCTCGCGAGGTAGGGACCGACGCCGAGTTTATTCAGGAGGCGGGCGGAGTTGGGGGGGATTTGGATTCCTGCGCCGACCTAGCCAATGTCAGGCTGTTCTGATATAATAGGGTGTCTGGTGTAGTGTACCTCTCCGAGTTGTGGTGCTTGTTCGTAGACTGTCACCTTGTGGCCCTGTGTGGCGAGCGCGATGGCAGTTGATAGCCCTCCGAGTCCTGCTCCGACGACAATGATCTTCAAGGCAATGTTACTGCGAGTCTCACCATCTGCAGTGCGAAATGGCTTTAGAAATTGTAGGCAATTGCTGGGGTACGTTGTGCTCTGTAGGTAGTCAGTTCGTGCGGCGTACGCAGGGTCTGGGTCAAGGGATGATAACGTACCTGCAGCGAAGACAGATCCGGATTGTTGTCAGGCATGATGATTGCGATTTCAGGGACAATTTAGTTTCGCAATAGAGGCAATAGTCGAGGCACTCAACTTATTATACTGCAGGCAATTCGCTGGTTGGAGTTGACCCGGAGGCACTTCCGGCTGAACCGATCTCTCCCCGGGAGGTCCTGGTTGCACGAGCGCCCATTCTACATAAAAGACCAGGACCTGCCGTTGCCTAGAATCGAATCAACTACATGATCGCGATCGGGTCAGAATGGCAACTACCAAGGAGCAGCAACAGAACAGTGACTCGACCGAGCTCCTGCTCAAGAGTCTCGAGGGCAGCAACACGCTGCCTCTATGGACGCAAATGGCTCGGCTGAACCCCCCAGAGCCGAATCCAACGGCGGTGCCCTTTGTCTGGAAGTATCAGTCCATCCGCCCGAGTCTATTGCGGGCAGGCGAGCTTATCACGGAGAAGCAAGCTGAACGGCGGGTACTTATGCTCATTAATCCGACCAGAGGTACGTTCGCAGGCGAGAACAGGTGCTGACGAGAGTGTACTGACTGACTGGCTTGGCTTGATAAGACGCGCCATACACAACAGACACCCTCTACGCCGGTCTTCAGCTCGTGATGCCCAACGAGACCGCCCCCGCACACAGACACACGGCCTTTGCAATGCGCTTCATCATCGAAGGGAACGGCGGGTTTACCGCGGTGCACGGCCGGCGCATTCGGATGCAACAGGGCGATGTGATCCTCACCCCGACGTGGAACTACCACGACCACGGCAAGGATGGCTCCGGGCCCATGATCTGGTTGGATGGGTTGGATCTTCCAAACTTTCGGCACTTCCCTGTGCACTTTGTGCAGCATTTTAGTGAGGTGCGGTATCCCGCCGAGGACCTGGATAGTGATAACTCGCCGTTGGTCTTTCCGTGGAAGGTTATGAAAGCTTCGCTGGATGAGCTTCCGGGGGATTGGGCAGTCAAGAGATACCTGCGATCGGGGCAGCGAGAAGGTATGTTTTTCTGCGTTTCTTTCAGTTTGGATCTGATTTTCTTTTCGCAGTGAGCCGCGTCCTTGGTGGTTGTGCAGAGAGGCTGAATGCCGGCTGCGCCTCTGCAGCGCGTCGTGAGACCACATCGGCAGTGTACCATGTCATTGCGGGAAAGGGCCATTCTGTAGTTGGAGAGCAGACCTTCGAGTGGGTCAAGGGTGACACGTTCTGCGTGCCTTCTTGGTACAGATACCAGCATTTTGCTGCGGCGGGGGAGACAGTCTACCTGTATCGCTTTGACGACATGCCCATGATTGAGGCATTAGGCTTCTACCGCTCCGAGGAGATGGACGTGGAGTCGCTTGTCAGAGATTAGTTTATGAAAGAATTATGTTATTATGCTTTGAAATGAATAAGTCAGCCAACGTAAATTCCGGTCTCTCCCCGCTCTTCCCGACAACACCCCGCTGCCAACGGAGTCTTCTTCAAGATACCGAATCGCGACATCGTACGACGTTTCAGCCCAAGCTCACCACATGGAGTCGCATGCCCGGGAGCAGTCTCCCCGCCCAGCTCCAGCTATCAAGCGTCGCAGGGTTGCTCTCGCCTGTGATTCCTGCAGGCTCCGGAAATCACGGGTACCTTGACCGGCATCCCCATCCCCACAGGGCTCCATCAAGCTGATATTCACAGTGCGATAGTACTCGGCCTCAGTGTTCCTCGTGTGTTGAGCTGGGTTTTGAATGTGTCTACAGACCTCCGGCCACCGCCACGAATGTCATCGTGCAAAAGGAGTACGTGGTCAAGCCCCGGGCACATCCCAGTCCTGTTCGCATAGAGTGCTGACCAGCCATAGTTATTTGCAATCTCTTGAGTCGCGGGTGTATCAGTTGGAGAACTCGCTATCGACCGTCAAGGATGATCTGAGCCGGTTATCTTCTCGCGTTTCTCATGGGACTGGTTCCGAGCCAATCTCTTCTGGGTTTGACCACAATGCGCGCCAACGCACTCCACTGCGTGATCTCGCCGGCACGGAGGACTCTGTGGATGCGATGGGCACGATTACCCTAGCGAATGAGGAAGACTCTGGGTTCTTTGGTAAGGCCTGTGCATCCCTTTCGGTCTCTCTCTCTCTCTTGCTCACCGCACAAGGTCCTTCGTCGAATGTTGCCTTTACGCGTCACCTATGCAGAGCCATCGGGCACTGTAACACGCTCGACGGAACTGCTCCAGGGCTACTTGCCGATACCCCGACGTACGACGGCGGCTTCGTCAGTGCCTCTCGGCCCCCGTCACCTCCCGGACGGACTGATGGTCTCCGATTTGACCGGCGTGGAAAGGACACCTTCAAACTACCACCAGCTTCAGAGACTCTCAGCCTGATCAAGCAGTATTTTACCAATACTGGCCTGTTGTTCCCATATATACATCCACCCACGTTTCTCCAGACGTACGAGGAGATGGTACGGGACAACTTTAAACGCGTGCGCCGGACATGGCTGGGGCTGTTGAACATGATCCTAGCCATGGTGACAATCACAGCCAGTCCGTCTGGTGCCCCGGCCAGTACACGCATCGCGGAGTCCGATGTATTCTACCAGCGCAGTCTCAGCCTGTGCCGGGATGAGATTCTACGTGGGACAACACTAGAGGTTGGTGAGTTCTGCGCCTAGATCCATGCATCTCGTGTAATATTATCTGACCATATAGTCCAATACCTACTTCTCATGGGCCAGTATCTGCAGGGAACGCAAAAGTCGGTTCAAGCGTGGACTGTGCATGGTCTGGCGGTTAAGGCGGCGCTGCAGCTTGGACTCCACTCTAAGGATGCTTCAGGGGCGTTTTCCCGGCTTGAGAAGGAGACAAGGCTTCGCACTTGGTTTGGTTGTGTGCTGCTGGACAGGTAAATTGACAGTTCCGATAGCTGAACACACTAGCTGACGGTTGGTAATACCAGAACTCTGTGTATGACATTTGGTCGCCCGGCCGCCATTCCGAACAGCTATGTTAAACTTGAACTGCCCGCCGGGGATGTTTTAGTGGACACATCTCCAATGGTCGACGAGCAGACCTCTTCTCTGAGTCTATCCTTGTATAATGCAACCATGTGCGTGGCCGTTGCTGCTACATCTCCAGATCCGCCCTAACCTAGCCACAGAACCCTCTACAACCAAATTGCAAAAGCCATTGATCTACTCTACGGCCAAAATCTAGGATGCGACCCCCCATCAAGTGTCAGCGAAATAATTGCACACGTGTTTTCTCTCGAGCAGGATCTGTTCTCCTGGGAAAGGGCGCTGCCTGAATCCGTACGGCTACTCAGCCTCGATCAGATGCACCATCTTCGAAATACAACTGCATCAGAGTTTGACCTTGTGGCGCTCAGATTCCGGATTATACTCACACTGCGATACTCAAATTTCCGCGTCCTCTTGCATCGGCCCGTTCTTGTGCGGTTTATTGATTCCTGTGGCCGGTTGCAGTCGGATCCACAGCAGCTCCAGCTCCTACAGCAGCTCGGACTAAACAGTATTCAGATCTCAATGGACTCCACCATGCAGATCATTGATTTTATACACGACATTGTCCATCACACCGACCACCAGCATAAGCTTCTGGGCGCATGGTGGTTTTCGCTTTATTATAGTATGGCCACCGCTTTTACCTTCGTCCAGCTTTTATCATCTGTACTGACCACTAAAAGCGTTCAATGCCGCACTGGTCATACTCGGTATACTGATCGTCTGCCGCGAGGGAGGAATGGCAGGCCAGATCGTCGGCGCAGTGGCAGATAAGATCAGAGAGTATCCCTTCCGCGCAGCCGCCGCTCTATCCAAGCTCGATAGCGGGAACCGCATGGTGGTTCGATGCCGTGTTTACCTCGAAAGGCTCATAAGCACCTCAGGTCTCTACAGTAAGTCGATGCTGCATGTCTATCAAGACTGGGAGTCCAGTTCTGACCAAGAACTACAGGTATTGAAGAGCTTAGCGCCGGGATATCGGGCGATTCATCTCTGGGCCTTCCGTGCCCGCCCTCGTCTGACCTGGATATTTCCCCGTTGGGTGTGGAGTTTGGAGAGTTTATGCTCGATGGGAACTTGTTTGCGTCGCTTAACCCGCCCGCTGCGTAGACTGCTGGCGCATGCACAGCTGTATTAGTCCCTTTCGCCGAGCGGCGCAAGTCCAAGCCACGATATATAAACTGGTTGCACTGCATCTGACTGAATAGAAAGTGATTGAGAACAGACAACCTAGAAACGCTCAACATAGCCTAAGCGGGTTTGAGTCGGTCTGCGTAGAGGGCAGCTCAAGGTAAAATGCCGTTAGTCTGACAGGTAGAGGTCATCAGTTGGATTCCCCTCAGCCCCAACCCCACTTCCACGGGGAGCGCAGCTTAAAATGTAATATGGCAGAGCATTAACCTTGTTCCCCAGGGCTCATTGTCTGCATCTCAGGAAGTAAACGCCCGGGGGCCACCGGATGCCACCCGCTGGCGTATCCGCTCTCTCCCCGGCGCGGCGCATTCTATAAGGATCACAAATGGCCCCGTTCCGATCCAAGAAACCTCACGTACCTAGTATCTGTCCAGCAACTCACTAACTCTAACCATGACCCTCCCCTGGAAACGCCTCATCCGCTTCCAAAGCACAGACGGCCGGATCCTCCGCGGCGAACCACTTGTCGGCGCAGACGTCGACATTGGATTCATCACTGCGGCCGATAAAGTGCAAGCGCGCGTCCTCGCCGGAGACGACATCTACGATACGACGGGCAAGACGAAGCTTACAGACGAGGTCGTTGGTGTCAAGACGGTTCTGGGCCCGCTCGCTCAGGGCGATGTTCCGATTCTAAGATGCGTGGGGCTGAATTATGCGAAGCACAGTACGTTGCAGACCTCATTTCTATTTGCCTATTCGCAGCAGAATCGTTTGATAACTGGACTAGTTCGCGAAGCCGGGCGCAAGCCGCCTCCATTCCCCTTCATCTTCTTCAAGCCCAATACGACGATCCACGACCACGGCGCCCCGGTGGTGATTCCGAGGATTGCACAGGATGATCAAGCGGATTATGAAGGCGAGCTCGTACGTGCCCCCTGCTTTACCCTCCTCCCCATACCCACCCTCGCTCACAGGCTAGTAGTGCATGATCCTCGGCCAAGACGCAAAGGACATCCCCGTTTCCGAAGCCCTCTCCTACGTCGCCGCATACACAGTCGGAAACGACATCTCGTCGCGCAAGCTGCAGCGCGACCCCGCGTTCGCCGGCGTCGTCCCACAGTGGGGGTTCTCCAAGGGGTTCGACACCTACGCGCCATTAGGCCCATGCCTTGTCGCTGCGTCGGAGATAGCCGATCCGAAGCAACTGCACCTCCGCACAACGGTCAACAGCGATGTGAGGCAAGACGAGAGCGTCGAGGATTTGCTCTTCGACTGCGCGTATCTGGTCTCGTACCTGTCGCAGGGCACGACGTTGCAGAAGGGGAGTGTGATCATGACGGGGACGCCTGGGGGTGAGTGTTGCTTCCCTTCATCTTTGGATTCGAGCCGTATTAACCCGTGTTAGGCGTTGGCGCTGGTTTGAAGCCGCCAAAGTACCTCGTGCCTGGAACGCAGATGGATGTTTGGATCTCTAGGATTGGGACGTTGAGGAACGGCGTGGTCTTTGCGTGAATTGCATGGCGTACCGGAACAGACGAGAAATGCAATATATAGACCTGTTAGTAATGGACCTGGCATGTATATGACTTTTCAGGCGTCGTGAAGGAGTGGAGGAAAACTCTGGCCCAGGAAACTGGTGACAATTCCATGATTATAAGTCAAGGCCTTTTAGAAGTTGGAATAACAGGCGTATTTCACGTTGCGTGCCTGGATAGATTACGAGTAACAGCAATAAAAATCCAAAAAGGGTTTCTCTGTCTTGCATATGCTGTGTACTATGCTAGGATACATCTCAAGGAGTTTCTAACATCGATTCTACCGCCAATGCAGAGTAACATGGCACTCCTTGGTCTTTACGAAGAACCCCTCGCGAAGGTGTGTGTCACCGAGTGGGACTCGTGCGATGTGGAAGAGCTTGAATAGCGCAGCCAGGGTCTTGAACATCTCCATCCACGCAAAACTGGCCCAGTGTTAGCGTGGTCGCATTATCTACGAAACTGGAGTAAACGTACTTTCGGCCGATACAGGCACGAGGGCCCACGGAGAATGGCACAAACGACTCGAGTAGCTTTGCGGAGTCCTCCGCAAGCCATCGCTCGTAGTTGAAAGTGTCGGCATCCTGAAGGAAAAATACGGGTCAGCAATTTGTTTTCCGCAAGGTCGGGCAATGCTGACATGAAATTCACGGGAATTATGGTGGACACTGAGAGTCGGGACGCTGACAAGTGTCTTTGAGCTGTTAGCAGCATCTCAAGCCCTGGGCAGAGTGACTTACTCCCTCTGGGAGAAACCTCCCTGCCACCAGCTTCCCCCCCTTCGGCGTGACCCGCTCAAGTCCCGTCGCGCTCGTGGGCCGGAACCGCATTGTCTCTCGGACAACGGCGTTGAGCACGGGGAGGTTCTCAATTGTCTTGAAGTCCGGAACCCAGTCCGCCGCCATTTGCCCCGGAAAGGCTGCATCCAGCTCCTCCTGCAGCCGGCGCTGTATCGCCTCGTCCCGAGACACAATATCCACGACGTTGGTCATGCTCGTGCTAGTCGTGTCGCTGCCCCCAACAATGAACGAGATCGACTCGGCGATAATCTCCTTCTCCTCCAGTGCGTTGCCCATGTCCGGGTCCTTGGCGTTGAAGAGCAGGCTGAGGAGGTCCTTGCGCGAAGTGCCGGTGGCCTGGTCCCGCCGCTTGAAGTACGCTTTTGTCCCAATTGCGGCGAGAGCTTGCGTGCCTCGCATTCCCTGCGACCAGAACGGGTCCAGGGGGAATTTCTTGATGAACTCCCTAACGGCGCGTGGTAGGTGGCCTAGCGCATTGAGGGCTTCGCCGCGGGCATCGACGGCGTCGATGAGATTCAGGTAGTCCTCTCCTCGATCCAGGAAGCCAAAGGATTCCCCGAATGCAAATTCGCCTGAGACATTAGTGTCATGCTTTATATGTATATGATATGGTAGTGACGGACACACCTATCGCGTCAAAGGCGAGGAAATTGGCTATCGCAATAATAAGTCATCCGCTGTGCGTTCTGAGTAAGAAAAGAGCTGTAACGAACAGTATTCATTAAAGTCTAGACTGATCGTGTCCCCAGATGCCTGTAGTCGATCGTTTATCAGGTTAATCAGCTTCCGAATATCCCTGCTCATGTGCGGCTCAAAGTCCTGCAGCCCTCTTGCTGAAAACGCCGGGCTCATAATCTTCTTTTTCCGTTGATGGATCTTTGGGTCCCTAGTGTTGAAAAGAACAGGCTCGACCTGGTGAAAGGGTGAAGCAATTCGGATGTTAGTGGAATTCTATATACAGCCAGGACAGGGACAACATATCTTCATAGAACGGGCCCTTCAGGAAACCCGTCTTGTGGCCGTAGATCTGTTGCACGGCCGTTGCATCCGCGATGGAGATGTGGTTGGGCGAAATCCGCACAAAGTCTCCGTATCTCTGGTGCAAGTCACTGACGGCCTGCGATCTTCGGCCTCGGCGGCATTGCAGGACTATCCACAAGGGTGATATCCTCGCAAGAAGCGGGCCAGGATAGCGGCGTAGAGGCGAGAGTAATAGACAATAGATCACCCAAGAGAGAGCCTTTGGCGCATGGGCAAGGTAAGCTTAGCTTCCACAAATAGGATGGATGGGATGGAATTACCGTGCACAATATAACAGTGCCAGCTACGAGGGCTCGGTTTTCTGCCCAGGATGCATCGTACTGAAACTTTGAAGCCATGATTGCCTTGACCTAAATCAACAATAAAGTAGTTACTGGCTTGCTTTTGCTCTTGGGGTTTGAATTATATGATGCCAGCACATGGGGTTGGGGAGAGGCCGGATGCCAGTCGTTACCCCCGCATGAATCACCATCGTGGGAACAACCAGGATGCACTGGAGATATCCTGGGACCGGTGGGAGTCGGCCACCGCCAATGACCGGGGACGGAGTCAAGCACAGGGACCATCCGACCTTTCCCCGGACAGCCAGAAGTGAACTGATCCGCCCCCGGGGATGCATCGGCCCCAGCTTATTACTGACCACAGCTGGCTGCTTGTATGGGCAAGGTCTGTTGTGCTTTTGTGGCGCCACGAAGGCCATTGATGCGTTTATTTCTGAGCCCTGGATATTACACACAGCTCTTGAGAAGGTATAGAATCATACTGCATTACAATCATTACTCTGAGGTATTTGTTTCAAACAACTTTCCGCAGCAAAGTAGCAACGACTAAATATACAAGAACGAAGCTTATGGTAAGAAAATATTCCATTCCGCCACAGTAGCTCATGCTGCCTTCTTATCGTGCCTCTCGATAGCAAAATCCTTTAGGGTAGAGCCGGCGGAACTCTTGTTTAGACCCAGCGCACTGTGAAACGGACATCCCGGAATGTCCCTTTTATGGCGTGCAATAAACCACGGGGCAAACTCGGCGTCTTCCTTACGAAGGGCAGCAATTTTCTCTCGCTTCTCCGTGACCGTCATCTTTTCCTGCTGTTCCCAGTAGGACTCTGTGGGATCCGCCGCGAACATGCCCACTAGCCATAGCACCCTACCGAGTATCAAGGTGATGAGGAAATATAAGACCGGATGGACGGGCTCGATCTGGCATGCCCTGAGCGTGGTGGGCAGTGAGAGAGCGATGGGGATCCTGCGACCCAGCCACCGGAGGCCCCGCGGGAAGTAGCTGAACGCGAACTGGTCGAAGCACGCCTCTGCAATGAGCTTCGCACGTTCCGGCCCGACTCTCATGTTGGACTCGAAGGCGAGATTGTACGCCATGAGCTCGTCCCAGCTGCCAGGGAAGCTGTGGATGCGCTTGTCCCCCTCCGGGACTATGAAGAGCGTGCCTAGCTCCCTCCAGAAGTTCACCGCGGCCGCTTTCTGCTTGTCAGTGAAGCCAGGGAGCCCGAGTTTGACCATGAGACGGTGGATTGCGGCCGCGCTGTATGTCAAGGTATAGAGGTAGTCATCGTTCTCAGAGAAGTTGCCCGGGTACCTTTGCGCCCAGTACGCATGAACATTGTTGATGTGACTGACGGATTTCTTGGTGATGGGATTACTGGGACCATACCACCACCAGATGGCGTTGTTATTGGCCGTTTGCTCCACCCTCTGCGTGGCTTTCCAGAGTATCTTCCCGCCATCGGATCGCCAGACAGCCTCGGCTCCCTGCTGAGTGACGATAAAATTGGGAAAGGTTATCGCATAGACGAGGTTTTGGGTAAAGCCCGTAAGCCCGTAGCTCGATGTCAGGCGCCATATCTCTTCATAGTCGACATCTGGATGTAGAGACTCGATGCGCTGCTGGATCCATTTGCGAGGCTTCGGCGGGGCTGATATGGTCATGACGAGGAACAATAACTGACAGCTAGCTTCTGTGAAGGTAGCGGTATTCCATCAGTGTTACAATGAGGGATGGGGGAACTTATACCGGCCAAACATCGCCAAGCAGTGGCATTTCCGGTCTCTCCCCGTAGGGCCACAGTCCTCATACATCATGATAGAGGCAGCCTTCCGCTTACTCAGCGGCACTTTTGAGAAACGGATTCCGGGGGTTGGACTCAATGGCTCGATCAAGTTTGACGATGTCTGGATTAGGTAAAAGTAATGAGATTGAGGTCTCGGAATTGTCACCGGCAAAGACTATGGCTTAGGGTACTAGATCTTCAATACGTTCGGCTTACTCGACATCACCACTACTGAGGCTTCATTGTCAATCCCATCTCAGGCTGTCGGTTGGACCGATGTCTGGACCCTTCTACGTCAACTTATGAACATCACTATCAGGCACTGGTACATCCTCCGCACATAGAATATAAGACGCACTATATTAACCATAGCATGGATTCTTACTAACCGCCTTGGCAGTGGCGCAACAGACAGCTGGCTGTTGCCCGGATACTTTGATCATGTAAGTGCACTAGGTGTCGAAGGTAATATTCTTGATGCGCAACCACTCCTCCAACCCAGTATTGAACCTGCCAAACCCGCTAGACTTGGCACCTCCGTGTGGCAAAACCACCTCATCGTGAACGGTCATGTTGTTGATATGGACAGCCCCAGTCTCGATGCGCTTCGCAAGCCGGATGGCCTTGCGCAGGTCGCGTGTGAAGATCGCTGACGACAACCCATAGTCTGTGTCGTTGGCGATCCGCAGCGCTTCGTCGTCGTTCTCGTAGGGGATCAACGAAACCGCCGGCCCAAAGGACTCCTCGTGGTAGATTCTCATGGATGGTTGCACGTCCGTCAGGATTACGGCGTACTTGTTAATGTACTTACCATGGGGCCAAGGCCAGTACTACACCGTAGGGCTCCTTGACAATCAGCGCCCCGTGAGCGGGATCCTGCGTGATCGGTACACGGCCCTCGCCGCTCGCCGTTTTCCCAGCAGCGTCGAGGAGATATCCCTTTGCAGCGGATACATTAAAGCTCGCCCATCCTGCATCGGCGCCAGTTTCCTGGACTTCATACTCGACCAGCTCGGCAGTACGCCTTTCAAGGATGTCAGCAGCTTTAAGGAATATGTCTCGGCGCTGCTGCGGCGTGCTGTCTTTCCAGGTTTCAAAAGCTGTGGACGCGGCGCCAATGGCGTCCAGGGCTTCTGCCACGGTAGCGTTTGAAGAGTCGTGTAGATGCTTGCCTGTCCCTGGCGACGTGACAGGGAAGTGATCGTTGGTGAGGACATCCTTGCCGTTAATGATAAGCGGTACGATGCTGCCACATCGAGCCATGTCGGACAGATTAACCTGTGTGGAGATGAGGATGATTAGAGGTGAAGTCGCATGGCAGACTACCCATGCCTCGATGACAACCGTAGGCAGGTATATATACCCTGTGTGGACTCGTCTGCAGGAACTGTTGATTGATTTACGGACGGCGTCTAATGAGAGCCTGCACCATAAACCCATAACGACCACTAAAAGATAGGTCTGTCCAGTTACACAGACGCCTCTCCTCACCTTGGCATGACCCCAGAACAGGTATTCTGTACTTTCCCCGGACTTCAGCACCTCATCTGAAAGGATGTCTCATTTATGGGTGACAATATTAATGGAAAGGATTTCTAGGTTCTTCCGATGGGCCTATGTGGTGATTCTGGCGGCGGAAATCAGAAAACTCTCAAACATGATCACTTACAAAGGCCGGGGATACAGCGGGCAGTAACCGTATAGCAACGCCCGTCCATTCTTCCGGCCCCTCCCCACAAAAGGTCCCTTGATCATACGAACTCCCCTTGTCCACTTTTTGCGCAGATTCCAATGAATCCTTCGGTGACAAGGAAAGCATACGCTCCACGCTGCGGGGACTCCTGCAACCTCTGTACTCCGTATCCGCTTATCATATTTAGTAAACTAATGCCGCTTACTGGACGAAACAATTTCATAAGTTTATTATGAAGAGTACTAACCTCCATATATCAGTCCTCATGAAAATTTTGGAGTATACTAAATTCGCCACGTATTCCTAATTCGACAAGATATAAAGATTTTGTGCTGTACCAAGGGCTATCCGATCCTGCCCCGCCAGTCGGATTCGTAGCAACGTCACTGGGCCTTACCAGGTATAAGTACATTGAGTAGAAGAAGAATGAGCCTTCCATTCCACAGAGCTTCTACCAACTTCACAGCCTTTATTGCAAGATCCCTTAATTGTGTCAAGATGGCTGAAGGCTTCCGCACCGAGTTTAGTCCTGCCGAGGACCGCAAGTACCTCCCCCCATACTTGCAAGACACGCCCGAGACCACGACCGAGGTTGAATGCCCCGTCCAGGGATACCTGCCGAGCTGGGTGCATGGTAGCCTGGTCAGGTATGTTGGGCATTTCTATTTGCCCTTTGCAAGCACTGTTGATTGAACTCTTTTGTTGTCCACACCAGAGTTGGTTGTGGCCAGTACATCATCCCTACCTCCGACGATGGGTCTACCAAGCCTGTCGTTCTGCAGCACTGGTTCGATGGCCTCAACACGCTGCATAAGTTCCGCATTGAGAACGGCAAGGTGCACTACATGAGCAGAAGCACCACCAAAGGCGTTCTTGAGCGTGTCAAGCAGATAGGAAAGTTCGACAGTCCGACCATCGGCGCCAGCCCTAACCAAACACTCGGCCCGATTGACCCCTGTTCCACACGTCTGGGCGCTCAGGTGAGGGGAACCCCACGGTGAGGCATTGTGACCACTGTTGCTTACGAGTTTCTTAGCAATCGGTATTTACCCAGTCATCCGATGAAGCATTTGAGGCGTTCCTCCCGCCAGATGCCGTCAACATTAACATCACCCCGCGCAGAGGGTATGCAGTCCGTGATGACGGAAATCCTCTTTCCCGCGGAAAGCCCGCAGCCAATCCTGAAACTGAAGAGGCATGACTCTAACAGGCCGCACAAAGCTGTTTATAGGGTACTATCCCGTGCGCTAACATCATTCAATGCAGCTTATCATCGGCACCGACTTCAACATGCTCCAAGTCTGCGATGCAAAAAGCCTCGAGCCCAAGCGGCTGTTCACCTACGCTGTAATTGACGAAGCGCTACAGGGAGCTGGAATCTGTGCGCATCAGGGCAAGGACCGCAAGCGTGGCACGCAGTACAACTATGTCATTGACAAAACTGGCACAACATACGTGTTTGGCATCGACACCACATCTAGACCGTCGAAGCTTCTCTGGAAAACGCCGATTTTCCGTGGGGCAACGTATATCCACCATATCGGGGTCTCGCAGCAGTATGTGGTCTTTGTCCGACAGGTATGTATCCCCTGTCCAGTTTACTGGGTATATAGAATCACTGACATGTTTGGCTCCTGCTCGAAAATTAGCCTATTGCATTGGATCCTACCAAGAGCAGCACGTCTATGGCGGAGATGTGGAACATTGATCAGAAGGGAGATACTGAATTCTACCTCATTGATAAGGATTCCGGCAAGCAGTGAGTCTTGACACCTTCCATTTCCGCGGAACAGACAGAGACTGATGGCCTCTAGTGTCGCTACCTACCGCATTCCTGGCTTCCTGTATTTCCACATGGCCAATGCCTATGACTTCAAAGACGCCAACGGCAAAGTGACGGTCCACGTAGACATCTGCAGCTACTCCACAAAACACGTTCCGGTATTCGAGTACAGCATGTCCAACATCCTTGACCCGCTCACCGCGTTTAGCAACGGAACGCTGGTCCGATATGAGCTCGAGGATGTCTATGGCACGCTTGATCCTACGGAGATCCGCCGCGGCACTGTCCGCCAGTCGATCTCCTGCGACCTCGAACTCCCACGCATCCGCAAGGACCGATCCTCGGTTCCCGGGTACAGATACGTGTGGGGAGCGTCTGATCTCGGCGGCGACAGCCCGGGGACGCAGATCCCCGTTGGGCGACTTGGTAATGGCGTCGGGGTGGCGTCACGCGCGTTCCTTGGGCACCTGGTCAAGGCTGATTGGAAAACGGGCAAGGTCGTACATTTGCACCCTACCGATGGCGACAGCTGCCCCTGCGAACCTATCTTCGTTGAGCGGCCCGGGTCGACAGAGGAGGACGATGGAGTTGTCCTGACGATTGTCTGCAACCGGGATGGCACTAAGAGCGTCCTGGTTGTCCTTGATGGCCAAACGATGAAGGAGATTGCAAGAGCGGATATGCCGCAGGTGTACGGTATCGGGTTCCACGGTACTTTCATCGAAGCCGGTAGGTAGCTGGCTGCGTCTCCTCACGAGCGGTCAAGGGAAAGCCGGGATGGCAAAGATGCTGTGTATCATTCCACTATTGTTTTTACTTGCCAGGCTCTCGGAGTGCCGGACAGGGTCGGATCAAGGACGATCGACAATCCCTTCCGAACTATTGGCCAATAATGCACCTGACTCTCCAAGGATGCCGGAGAAGATAGTTTTTATAGGAATTTCTTATTATATACTTGTTAGGGGCAAGGCCCGGAACGAGCTAGTTGCGTACTCGATACACGATGGAACAGCTATAGAGCTAAGATACAGGGGCTGTTGGAGTTCTGACATGGCTACAGAGGGTACCTTGTATTAGAAAATTGAGGTCGTGGCCTCATGTTTGCAAATAATGATATGCTATTAGATGCTGCGTAGACTGGAAGTTGAAAACCAATGACAATGTATAATAAAGTCCGGTTACTTTGGAGGTTGAACTGGAATTAGAGGATAAAGCGACAGGGTTGGCTTGGCATTGCATTTTTTATTCAGGCGGTGTGCAAGGCGCTGAAGGCTACTGAGTCATTGTCAGGGAACAATTAGGGGCTTTGTCCCGGTTACTCCCGGACTCAACGGGGATTACTCCCCGAGTACTCCGTGCACGCACCTGGGTGCTCACCCGAGCTTGCATTAATTACTTCTTTGTGGGTGTTATCACTCACCGGGGCTATTGTGTTTGATTATTGAGCTGGGTGCAGGTCCCCTTCTTATTTAATGCACGCAGTCTATTGGGAGCCAAGTGAATAGCTCCTGCAGCATGCCTGTTCATTCACTGTGCTGTGGATAGTTGGCTCCACATCAGGGTGAATGGACGCTGAAAGGCCTTTCATTCTGTGCAACACCAGGCATTGTTGACTGCGGTAGACTGAGATGAAACCCAATCTTGAAACCTGAATTGTGGGCTTTTATTGAATGGTAAGATGCTATTCACGTCACCGTCACCGTCACCGTTAATATTGGAGGTGAATCGATGATAAAGCTGTTACAGTGTTGTACCATGCATAAATTGAAAACCATGAACGTGTATATCTTCAAGATCTATAGTGTAGTTCCATGATGGGCGCTTGTATAGTCTATATCGGACGAGGCCAGTTGAGGAATGACAGATCGAAATGAGGTCCAGAAACCGAATTGTATAAAGAATACGCCAGTAACACCTGTTTGTCCCTAGAACGGGCTGATTTTATATCGTTTGAGCCTGGAGTGATCCCAAATTTGCCAGTTGAACTGGGGAGAAGTCGAAAGAAGCACAAAACACCAGTATTATATGCACGCAATATGTAAACGCCGTAAATGGTCTATTCGAGTGAGGTCGTGTTTAACGTGGGAATTTCGGGCAATGCTGTCCACCAGGAGCGTGGTTAATGAGCCAGTGCGAGATCGAAGCCAGATTTATGGGCAAGTTACTCGATTGACGGACAATGCCTTGTAGTTCCGAGACAGCTCGTCGCAAGCATTCCAGATGCGTCGACGGTTGGCAATGCCCATCAAGGCCGCGTCTTCCAGGCCGTGCTTTGGAGCGGTGATTGCATCCAGCCAGATATAGACCTGCTTGTGGTTCAGGTCCGTATCTGACTGGCGCAACACCTGCTTCTCCCAGAGCCACGGCATGTCCGACTGAATGAAGCATCTCCAGAAGTAGTCGTCTTGGGTGAGGAGGTGGACGAAGGCAGAGGCCTGGATGAGAGACTTGAGCGACTGGCCTGGAAGAAAGGAGCAGATTTGGTAGACCAGCTCAGCAGGCAGCGCGCCGAATGGGTTTCTGGGCTGTCGACTGCCGATATCAAAGTGCTTTGGAGGTGCGTGGAGTCTGCTTGTGGTCTTGATCTGCCTCCGCGCGAGCTCGTCAAAGCTGGCTGTGTCTGTAGGATGCCGCACGGAGTACTGCAAGAGTCAGCTTGATTAGAAGACACTGGTGAGTATGATGCCTACCTCTGCCCCCGGGAGACACTGCCAGTACTGCCCTTGAGCATGCGCAACATGGTCGCCGTATGCAAGGCGCAGCGCAGACCCCGATACGTTGCACAGGCTCATCATGGCATCGTACAGGACGTCCAGATTGGCGTTTTTAGGATCATCAGAGCCGGTCAGAGAGCGGAGGAGGATCTCGAAACAGCACCAGTGGAAGGGCACCACTGGGCCAGGGGCGTCGTCTGTCCCAAAGCCGTAGCTTTATGAGAGAAAACACATTAGATTGAGTCTGATACCACGGAGCGAGGGCTGTCACCAGTTGAAGTATGTTCGCCTTGCACGCTGTCCCATCTTGACAGCCAGCTCGCCCTGTCGCGGTCAGTCGCTGCATGAATAAGAAAGGAACGAACATACGGCATCTGCGTAGTATCCAGGCCCGGAAATGAACGCTCTAAATGCAGTCAGATCTGCCAAGTTGCTCGCATGCTGGGATTGCCTACTTGGTCTTGCCCTGGACATCGTGCACCCCGAGACAGTGCACCTCAGACGTCCAGGCGACACTGCCCCGATCGACCAAGCGCGGGTCGTAGCTGTATATCGACTCATCTTGGGGAGCTAAAGGGCTATGTCTCGCGTCCAGCGAGCGAGAGATGCTCTCGACATACTGCTGTCGGCGCGCGGCGGTGGCATCGGAGGGCGAGCCAATGCGCATTCCAGAGAAGCCCACGCCGCAGATGGCGCAGTAGCAGTCGAAGGCCATTTCAGCAGGTGTTGCCAGAGGCTCTGGCACTGAATTTCGTCAGTTGGCGATTCCGACCGAGAAGGAGACAGGCAAGCACAAACTCAAACCAAATCAAACCAATTCAGATCAGACAAATTCAGAGGCGAAGATCGTCCAATTTTAGAGCCTCTGACCCAATCAGACTGCAAACAGGCCCACATGGACTGGCTGCGTGCAGCTGGAATGCCAATCAGGGACACCGCCACACTGGGCCCCCTGGACCAAAGGGCGGATGCCCCTGGATGAGCCTGCGCCCAGGGCCATTCTCAGGCCGTTCTCGGTTGAGTCTGACCGCTTCTTCTGGGAGCTTTCTTGTTGCGGATTGTTCGTATTAACATGGCGGAACTGCATACATATTCTGCCCAGCAGTCGAATGTGTAGGGCTTGGTCCCTGTATATTCAACGACAGTACTCGGTACGAATTAGAATTAAAATTAAACCCATTAAAACTGTAGCTCAGTTAACTCTTCTCTGTGCGTGAGAGAGGCAAAGGCGAAATTTATATATTCATTGCTGATTTCTGCAAGGAGTGCAGCTGCACCGACCGGTTTGACCAGGATTCTAACAATCAGCGCAGACATAGCCGACCGATATAATGATATAACAGTCTCCCAGTGCAATATTCACGGGGATGACTGTTGAGTGTGCACTCTGCAGGCTCTGTATGACATAGACCGTTGGACTGGTGTATTCGAAGCCCTGAAATGGATCAGGCTGGGCGTGCCTTTTACCCAGTTTCGACTTTTGCTCGACTATTCGTTGTTTTCGACTGATATGGCGAGCACAGGGCTGAGACATGATCAGTCTAAGCCATATTTTGGCAACTGCAGAATCCAGCTGCCTAGAGTGGGCCTGTAGAGGTCTATCGACTGATCGCCTCCAGTCACGATGCCCTCAATAATCTGCAGTAAGCTGCCTCCGGAAAAGCCGGCATACTGCTCATTGCTTAGTCTGATTGCCCGTGCGGGGACCTCTATATTCTGCCCATGGGATGATGCTATTTTTGCGCATCTCGGGGGAATATCCCACTCCTCCCGCAGCACCGTTGGAGACAACCTCATCAATAGACCAGTAAGACTGGCCGTGAGGGGAGCCCTGCCAGTGGAGGGCAGTCTGGCCCTATGGGATTTCTCACGGCCTGCCGCAGAACAACGCCGGTGTAATCGCCGGCCGAATTCGACAGGGGTCTTCTGCAGAGTAACGGGCCGGACTGTTCTCCGCATGAGGGGATCCAGCCTTGAGGGCTTAATGGGTCCTCCATGGCTTGACTTCCTTGGCTAAAGCTTGGGCTTTGCAAATCTGTGCGCCTGACACAACGTCCTATACGCTGGTTCTTGTCCCTTAGCCCAATTCGCCATGTTAGGGCCATGCTGATCCACACGGGATGAGCTGATATGCTTGATTCCTCCAGGCAACAGGCATTACTGCTATCCCCGAATAGAAACGGCATGCGGTCATGATGCCATCTTCCAGGTTAGTCCCATTCCTCAGGCTGGGTTCTCCTCACGGCCGTCCGAGGAGCCATCGGCTCGAAGAAGAGGGTGACCTGCTGCTTCCCCTCATCCGGGCAGAGGGACAAGTATATATATAGGGCCTCGGTGACGTCCAAAATACTGATTATCATCCTCAAGAGCATCCCCTGCCACCATGAAGTCTACTCTTGCCTTTGCTGTACTTGCACTCTTGACCGCTGCCCAGGGAGCACCCACGCTTCCTAAGCGGCAAGGAGACAACCCTCCGTTACGAGGTTCGCAGGATCTCCTCGGATACTCGCCTGACAATAAGATACCGGACTCGAGCGCTGAAATCCATTATACACCTGTCCCGGGTCAGAAGGACGATGAGGACCTCGGTGTCTACCTGGACTTTTCAAAGACTGAGAACCCGCAACCAATCCGTGGATCACTGGGTGGCACTGACCCTGGCCCACGTAAGACCTCTTGATGTTCTTCTATGTCAGCATGCAGCTCACGATTCTAGGAAACCCGGAAATTGACCGCCAGAACAGTGACAAGCTAGCACCCCCTGGCACAGACCATGGCCAGACTATCAATGCCAACTGGCCCATGTCACTGAGCAAGGCCAAGTAGGATGACAGCTCCTGTCGTTTGACTGATGCTAATGACAAACAGACTAGGCCTTGACAGTGCTGGGTGGTCCAGACAAGAGAACATCGTCGTGATGCCTGACGCTACCAAGATGGCTGGCGTTGATATGCGTCTGGAGGAGAACGCATATCGTGAGCTGCATTGGCACTTGGCAGGTGAATGGAGTCTTGTGCTCAACGGATCATGCAGGATCCAGGTATATTCTCATCTGTCTGATGCTTGTATTGCGTATTAACGACCCAGGCTGTAAACGAAGACGGCCAGACCTTCATCGACGACGTGACCGAGGGCGACGTCTGGTTCTTCCCTCCGTAAGTTCTCTGCCATGGTCAAGGAATAAGCTGACCGACTCAGTGGCGTGCCCCATTCCATCCAAGCTCTTGAAGGTGGTGTTGAGTTCCTGCTCGTCTTCGACGACGGGTCCTTCTCTGAAGACAACACCTTCCTGGCGTCCGAGATATTCGCACATAACCCGGTGAGACTCCTTTTCCCGTTCGATTTATATTCACTGACAGATTAGAAATCTGTCCTGAGCAAGAACTTCGACCTCCCCACCTCGTCCTTCGACGACATCCCCGACGGCGAGCTCTTCATCTTCCCTGGAACGCCCGCACCGGAGAATATCGCAGACCAGAACGTCAGCACTGCAGCTGGCCCAGTCCCTCTCGCAGAGTCCTACTCATACCACTTCTCAGAGCAACCAGCGCACAACGTTGCCGGCGGGAGCGTCAAGATCGTTGACCCGCAGACCTTCCCCATAGCAAGCAACTTCGCTGCAGCCGTAGTCACCGTGAAACCCGGTGCGATGCGTGAAATCCACTGGCACCCGTCTAGTGACGAATGGAGCTTCTTCATCCGGGGCCAGGGAAGGGCAACGCTGCTCGAGGCGCCTAATACCGCGACTACATTTGACTTCCACCCGGGCGATGTCGGATACTTTCCCAAGTCTCACAGTCACTATGTTGAGAACACGGGAGACGAGGATCTCGTGTTCGTGGAGGTGCTGCAGGCGGATGCTTTTAGCGGTATGTTATATATCCTGTCTGGCTAGATCTATCTGCTAACTGAATAGATATCGCATTGGGCCAGTGGCTGGGCTCAACACCCAAGGCGATTGTCGGCGATACGCTCAACTTGGCCGACAAGGACCTTGACAAGCTGAAGTCGGACAAGCAGTATATCGTGTCTGGGCCGAGTAACAGCAACAGCACGCAGGGTTGAGGAAGCAAGAACTATACATACTTGGGTACTGATATCATCGCTGCCAATTGTTCAGGATATGGCCACTGAATATATCCAATAATCACAGTATATTTATTCTATGAACTAATGCCACTATTTGATTTCGAACAACATCTTGTAGCACAACAGAATCAAGCCTTACTCTGAGAACTCCCCATACTGAACAGCTGAGACCCCTGGCGCTGTCTCCTGATTGTCCCCGGATGCCACCAGCCCCAGATCACCATAACACCCAACATAAGAACAGAATCAAACACATACATAGTCCACTCATGGCTCAGCAAATACCCCTTCTGCCCCATCGCATACTCAATGACACGGAATATCGAACGCACCATGATCAGCGCACTCACCGCGTACAGCGGATACAGATGCGCCTGCCATGCTTCCTGCCCACACTCAGACCCCCCTGCAGCCCTCATTCGCCTCTCGAATACAACCGACGTGATGATGAAAAACCCAAACACGATAATCTGCACCATCAAGCCCCCAATCACAATTCCCTTGGCGGAATCCGCCATCCCGTCCATGGCCATCATACCTGCGCCGCTGCCCTGGACGATAAAAGAGACAATATCGCCGGAGACAAAGACCTTTGTGAGCCAGCGGACTCGGATAAGGGAGTGCTTTTCGCCACCGACGGCGCACATAAGACGCGCTAGGAACATGTAGATGGACGCGGCGAAGAGGACGGGGCCGAGGAGGATGAAGACGCTCTGGATGATGTACGGACCGAGCTCGCTGGTCTTGTTAGTGCAGTCTGCGCGTCCGCCGTAGCCGATTATTTCGACTGGAGGATATGTCAGTGTTCTGAATGTGGGTGATGTCTGGAGGTGGGCTAGATGGGCTGGGACGTACATAAACCTCCGATGCAGAAGGGGATGCAGAAGCGAGCTCGTGTTGTCCATGCTTTCCAGCTGTGAAAGGCTGTTGCACCGAGGAAGAGAATAAGGAAAATGATCGATGCAGGGAGCGAAGGGATGTATTCCCAGAGGTAGTAGTCGCCGCGGTAGGGTTCGAGCTTGGCCATGTTAAAATATTGATTGAATTGAGACTGATTGAGACGGATTGAGACAGAATTGAGACAGAGATTGAACAGATGTCAAACAGATATGAACACGATACTTATAGATATCTGCGCAAGTGGGTAGTTCTATACGCGTATAGAGAATTCGTGGGATTCCCAAAACGGAAACCCCCGGGGCCTCAACTCTGGGTCGGTGGTCTGTGCATACGCGGACTTTTCTCGCCTTCATTCGCCCTCGGAATTCTCCATCCGTCTGCTATTCTTAGTTGCTTTATCTGCAGACTACACTGGCACCGGCTGGCTAATAATATTCTGCTCTCGCCCGCTGTCCTACAGCCGAATACGCGTACTTGAAATGCCCCGAAGAGCCCATAGAAAGTCGCGCAACGGCTGCCTCGAATGCAAGCGGCGTCATGTCAAAGTAGGCCTTCTGCTTCTGTCCGTATTGTTTTCCCAGCTAACCATCCAGTGCGACGAGAAACGGCCAGTCTGCTCCAACTGCATCAGCGCAGAGCGCGACTGCGGGTATGGGACTCGGACGCTGAATTCGAATGCGACTGCAGTGCCTCCATTGACAGTCTCTCCGACGCCTGAGACGCCTCTCAGTTCGGCTTCTGCAGGAAGTGCGTCCTTCAGTGACCAGCCGGTGAATATGCTACACGTTGAGCTCTTCCACAATTTCTGCACGAAGATACACGACACTTTCGACCCAACCGGGTCAGTACCGTGGCTCGCTGAGCTGCTTTCCCAGTCCATAACAACCCCTTACCTCGTCAATGAGCTGCTGGCCTTCAGCTCTCTCCATCTAAGTACACAGCGTCCAGCGCGTCGGGAGTTCTACCACTTCCATGCCGCGCAACTGCAGACCCACGCCCTGGCCATCTTCAACGAGAAAAACCCAGAAGTTACCGAGGAGAATTGCCTGCCGCTCTTCCTCTTCTCATGTGTCCTTGGCATCCACATGCTCTGCGATACCCTCATCTACCGCGAAAGCAACCTCGACGCCTTCATCCCCCGGTTCGCGCACTAGCTGCGCCTCCACCATGGCTCGCACACTATCATCGGCCAGGCCTGGCAATTGCTAAACGACTCGACCCTCAAACCCGCGTTCGACATCGGCGGGTCGCTCTACAAGCGAGGCGGCCCGCTGGGGGCTGGATACGAGAAGCTCTTGGACTTGGTAGTCGCAGCAAACCTAGGGAACGAACTCACGGTAATCTACCGGCAGGCTATAGAGACGCTACAGACCTGCACGAACGTGGCGGACATCCCTGACAGTGAAGCACAGAAGCACCTTGGCGCGATCAATGGGGTCATCACCTGGCCGATGCTGGTCAAGCTGGAGTTCAGCGACCTCCTGGGGCAGGGCAGGCCGGAGGCGCTGGTGATCCTGGCGCATTATGCGGTGCTGGTGCATCGCTTTAGAGAATCGTGGCTGTTTGCCGACTCGGGGAAGTTTTTGATTCAGGAGATTGGGAGATGCCTGGGAGAGGAGTGGGAGGAGTGGATGGCCTGGCCGAATGATGCTTTATGTCAGGATACATAGCAAGGGTGTATATGGTATTAAATAGATTAATGAATTAAACGTCATTCTATCATAACAGGTCTAGTCTGGTATCATGGCATGCCCTCAAGCAATACATGCAAATATAAATCGACACTCTATATCATTAAAAGAAGCCCTGGAACAACACAACCATTGCAACAAGAACCACGAAACGACCACTCCCCAGCATCTCCAGCGACGACGCAGCACTGTCCTGTCTGGCCGCAAAGCGCATCGTCGAGTTCCCCCAGTTGAACTCCGCCACGACGTTCCTCAGGAAGCTCACGCCGAGCAGGTGCAGCTGGCGCGCATCGGCCTCAGCATCCCCCGGCATGTCCATCGCGCGAGTGATGGCCGACTGGCAGATATACCCGGCGGAATCCTGCTGCAAAATCAGGTCGTCGCGGTTGATATCGAATGTGATCCCGCCGATTTTCATGGACAAGGAAGGCACCTCGGCCTCACAGTCGACGATGTAGCCCTGCGACACTTCAGACCAGACGGCCGGGGGGTCGAAGAGGCTGTTGAACCCATCCGCGACTTCCAGAGGGACCATGGTCTGTGGCGAGCCCGAGTCGACGATGGTTTGGTAGGGCGTTGTGTACTCGCCGTCGTCGCCGTAGGTCAGAGCCTGCATGGTGGTGGCCCAGTATGAGCGTATCTTGTTGCCGTTCTTATCCGTCCGATATCCCTCGTAGGGCTCAGCTGGGACAACAGCCCAGTCGCCGGCCAGTTCGATATCAGGCAGGCCGCCCAGGACCATGACGCCGCCGTCGCCGCTGGCCTCGTTGGCCGGGATGCGCTCGAGGGCAAGCGAGAAGAAGGGCTCGATGACGCTCTCGTTGGCCAGGTTCATAACAAAGGGCGTGTAACTCTGGATCTCGCCCTGGGCCGAGAGGTTGTCGTAGTCGAGCGTGCCGTTAAGCTCGGTGGCAGAGGTTAGGGGGGCATATGCGAGCCCTAGAATGCCGCTGGAGCCGAAGCCCATGGGCGTCGACCAGTTCACCAGCCCGAAGCGCTGGTCCTGGACGGTGGCGTCGCCCAGGGAGATGTCTTGGGTCGCCATGAGGCCGCGGGCGCTGCCAGCGCCGTAGGTGGCTTGGAAGGCCTCGTCGTCGATGACCTCGAAGCTGTCGCTCTCCCGGTCCGTGGAGTAGCCGCCGCTGGCATAGCCGCAGGAAGACTGATCGAGGTCGTTCAATTCGTCCGGATCCCCAAAGGCCGACGGGCCGACACACTGGAAGTCGTCTTCTGCGACGAAGACGTCGCTGCTGCCGGTGTCCACGGTGAGGCTGAGGGTCTGGCTGCCGAACGTGACGGCCGCCTCGTAGCGGAGGCCGTATTGCGTCGCGTTCAGGTCGATGGTGTATGGCTTAGTGTTCTGGCGGATTCTGAGGTCGTGCGGGCGGTGCAGAGCAACTGCGCTGGCCAGCAGCTGCGCCGCGACGAGTGCGCGAAGCATTTTGATAGAGGAGGGTGGTGTTGGGAGCTAAATGTGGGAAGGGAAGAAGCAGCGAAAACACGGGGTCCCGGCGTTAAATATCACCAGGCTCCAGGGATTCAGCCCCATTATCTTGGCCGGGCAGTGTTGGGATCAATTTCTGGGCGAATAAGCCCGCAGTGGGGGCCGAATGCCCGATTGGGCGCGGATGAGGCTGTACAGGATCCTGGACAGCGAGCCAGATGGTGTGAGGCTTTACTTGCCTTGATTATCATTGTAGCCTGTCGATTGTTCCAATATTGACAATACTGAATAGTACTCTGCTTGTTCCGTTGACACTGACAGTCTCAAGAAATCCTTGATCGGGAGGTGGAGAAAGGGGTCCGTTCAGCCCTGGACAATCCACCAGGCTGTGCCCACTGGTCACTCGCTTCGTGTGTGGGTTTGTGGAGGTGGAATTCATTTAAACTGGCCAGTGACAGCACCGGAAAATGCAAATCACTGCTCACTCGCTCGTAAAGGTGGCTCATGGCTTGGTATATCTGGGCGAGTGTCCCCCGCTTATGAAGAACACGAACACCTCCAGGATTCGCTCTTCACTGCCTCGTCATGAAGATTATTAGTGACCAGAAGACCGAATGAGCTCGACCAACCGTTGGGCGTGGTACAACTCTGGTCGGAGGCCGACTGATCGCATATCGCCCGGCACGCTGATATACGGCGCACTCTGGAGCTCGAAAAATACCAAAGCTCGGCGACTCGCGTTGTCTCCAATCCCTTATCTAATGTGCAGTGATATATGCGTATCTATTAGGCATCCGGCATAAACCACACGCTTTCTTGCGCGTACGTACTTGGTCCACCGGGGAAAGAACGCCCCAAGACCGTTTACCTAGGCGGGTCTGGTCTGCAAATCGCCGCAGTAAATGCAGATACTGCAGTTTCATCATGCACTATTCCTCGCCCGGTGAGTCGGTGTCGGCGATAGCTGGCTGGAGGCTGGCTGGAGCTCATGGGCCGTCGCCATCAGGATACGTTGTGCGACGTGAGCGCCTATATCGGCCGGCTTTTGTAAGATAGCTCGATATCATTGCTAATGGCTTGTCTTCTGTGGTTCAAGGATTTGCACTTGTGATGCCAAACTGCTAATATCCAGTCGTTGGTTAATTGCGGTTTTATACGGTCGATGTCCATAACCCTTGCAGGCTGCTACATATTTAAATCCACCCGTGGTGACGAACCAACAGCTTGACGAGAATGGGGAAGTTTGCCATCGATGGATCCTACGTTGCTTGAGCAATAGCAGTCTCACCAGTTTTGTCCTGCTATCAGACTCGAAAGACCACTGGGTGGGACAGATGTTACGTCCCTGCCTCGTCTTACTCTGTTCATTTGCCTAAACACTGATCCAGACGCGCTGCAGTATGCACGACAAGTCCAGGAATCCTGGAATGAGTAGCTTTAGCATTGGAGCTAATGGCTTTGCATTGCTGGACCTATACCCTGCCATAGTTCGTATACTATATGCCAATTGCCACAGCGTAGCACTCCGTTTATATAATAACTTATTGACCGTAAATGTATTTTAGCCCGTTTCGACGCAAGAACGGATTTCGATTGTTTTATCATTCAATACTGCCTCGAGAATACCTGACGCTGTCTATCCTTGAACGACCTCGTTCTCTTGTCGGCGGTCTCCTTTCGCCTCGTTGCAACCAACAACAAACGTAATAATGGGAGGGGTACCCTGCAAAGGTCGCCCAACAGCAGTCCGACCACATCCAAGCCCAGTGCTTGCGTACCAGGTTCAGGAGACTCGGCGACCGGTGGCGGCCGACCAGGGCGAGACCGACAGTGGAAGTAACGCGGCGTTTCCATAGTAAGCGTTTTAGTAGATAAAGTATCTGTTTGAGGGATAGCTGGTAGACTGGACACCGATAGCACCGTAATAGAGAAGCCGGTAGGCAATAGAGATAGCAGAAACAATATGCTGTCCATAGCTGATGCTGTATCTACTGCTGTACAGTTGGTGCGTACATACAGAAGACAGGACATGGCAGCCTATCGCCTCAGATATCACGTTAACGCACTAATTAATGTTATCCAACTAGGTATGACAATCGCAATTTAGGTTGTATAGCTATACTGTTCCCAACCATATACCAACAGTAATGTAGATACACAACCAGCCTGGCCGATTCCAATCACGCCTGCTCGCTGTCAGCATCGACCCTTTATGACCTCAATGGCTTATGCCAGTCAAGCCTGCTACCTGCGCAGTCTAATCGAGAATGTACGTATCTAAACATAGCCTGGTCAGGACTCCGGCGTCGTACAGATCCTCCCACCACAGCGCCGCCAATAGCCCGGCCCCAAGACACATGGTTCATGAGCGAGACGCACAGCGCCAGGCTTCGGAGTTTGATTGTCAAATTGGAGCTCATAGCCGGCCAGATGGCGTGCCTTGCCTGCTTGCTGTGCGACATCGGGGTCTCGTCTCTCGCATGAGGAAGTCGGTACGGATATAAGTATTCGCATTGAGGTCTGGCTGCCTCATTGACAACTATATTCCGTCTCATAATGACCACTCGACAATGGAGATAGTTTAACACTATACAGAACGAAATGCCTGCGAAACACCACAGCCCAGAGCAGAGTGAGTCGCCAAAGCAGGATCCGACGGAGCGCAGGAGGCTGCAGAATCGTCTCTCGCAGCGGAATCACCGTACGTCTGCTTTCTCCTAGACAGAATACCTACTTACCTTGCTCAGGGAGGAAGATCCGTGATCGCATTGCCAAACTCCAAGAACGAGTCATCGCCAGCGAACTGCGTGCTGCCGCAACGCTGCACGGATGGCACTCGGCGCCCTGCATTCCGTACGAGGTGAAGCCATCGCCGTCCTCTACTTCGTCGTCGTTGTCGCTGTCACCGTCGTCTCCCCCTGCAGAAATGCAGTGTCCACCGGCGTCGTATAATGTCGGCCTGAACACTATGCCTCAGCTCCCTCTGTTCCCTACGCCAGGCGAGTACGACGAGACAGGGACTGGAGTCAGCTCTCTGAGCGGAAGTGGCACGTCCAGCCCAACAACCCTAGTTCCTCCAGATATTGTAGCTGGCCCTGGCCTGGGATTGTCACAGGGTTACGGACTCGATACGGTGCAAATGTGCGAGCAATGGGGGTTCCAAGGATCCGTTTATCTAGCTACCGGTATTCCTCCATGCTGTCCACTGTGCAGGTCATATACTGATAAATGCAGAGACATCTCTGCCGCAGATACTGCAGACTCTCGGCCCGTCGTCGAATGCGATTATACTACTCCAGACCCCGGGGTACTCAGTCGGTGGAGGCACAATGGGATATACGTCGCAAGAACAGGCGGATATGAGCGGGTGCCAGTGTCAGAGCCTGGGATGGATAACATGCCCTCTTCACCCGATGGGATAGAGTATTAGGTGCTACCAGTGAGTAGAGTTGCAGGAAGAATTCGCCTGTGCGCACCGGTTGTGACTATAAATTCATAAAAATCGATGGTGTCTTCATCTGCCAGGCAGCGATTTATATTAACACGAGGTCTGCAGTCAGCCGATTATTTTAAATTCGCTGAAACAGCTTTAATTGGACCGGTAATTTCCGATAGCAGAAGTAATTTGGAGGTCGTCCGATATCAGGACGTGATAGCCTCCCCCTATATCGGGGTCGTCTCGTATTGCTGTGCCAGCTGACGGCAGTTTATGACTGAGATATGCAGAATGATTCACGATCACGATATTGTGGGCATGCCTCAGTATTACTCTGGAGATATTTTCATATTCTTGGTAGGCTATTCTCATTTTTAATTAAGGCAGGTCTCGACCAGGTGTTTGGAATGCTACACTCCGAAGGCGTCAATAACCCTGCGATAAGCACCATTCCAAACAAGCCATTGACAAGTCGTCTTGATTTATTGCCAAGGTCAAGCCAACATAGTCTGGCTTCGCAGCCAATAAAGGCCCTGGCACGGATACGGGTGGTTGCACTGAATGGACGCCCAACTGGGAGCCAGATATCGGCCAGCCTATCGCTTCTCTGCAAATGCTGCTGATCTGCAGGTCAGCCTGGGCACGCTGGAATGCGCGGGGTATGTTACAGTCTGCAGGATCTAGCGGCCTAGCCTGTCCGCTAAGCACTGCCAGGCCTATATCAGCGCTGATATACCTGCGGCTTAAATACGGGATGGGATGGCTGGCCGCTTATTCAAGGCACTCTGCGGTGCGTCCTTATTGCTCGAGGCTGCCTTTAAAGGCGTCCAAGTTCCGCTGATTTTGTGTTTTGTCCTTCTTTCTTGCTGCGTCCGGATTCTGCTTCAAAATGGCTGAAGAGACACCGATTGAGCCCAAGGAACATGCCGATATGACGGTGAAAGGCGATGATGTCGAGATCCCGTCGCTGACACCAGAGGAGGACAAGAGGATTCTACGGCGAATCGATCTTTAGTAAGGGTGTCCAGATCAGCGATGCCGCAGTATAGCTGACAGCCCAGTCTCCTCCCGATGATGGCTGTCTCATACATGTTCCAGTTTCTAGACAAGTCTGCCATGAGCTTTACAGCTATCCTGGGTCTGCAGGAAGATCTGAATCTTCAAGGCGAGGACTACTCCTGGGCAAGCAGCATCTACTATTTCGGCTACCTGGCGGCCTCCTACGTAGCGGCTGTCCTGCTGGTTCGGTTCCCTGTTGGCAAGATGATTTCGACTTCAATGTGAGTCTCTATTCTTCAGGCCTGGATACCTGCTTACCTGTTCAGCGTCGTCTGGGGCGCTGTACTGATGCTGACTGCGGCCTCGTTCAACGACAAGGGCATCATCGCAGTCCGTTTCTTCCTCGGCCTCACTGAAGCTGCCATTGCTCCGGGTCTCAGTATTGTCGTTTCCATGTGGTACAAGCGATCAGAACAGCCTTTTCGCCACGGAATCTGGTTCCAGGGGATCACCATCGCCGGTATCTTCGGTGGGTTGCTTGCGTACGGCATTGGACATATCGAAAGCATTGCTCCGTGGAAGGTACGAAAGAACCCTCGCCTGTCTTGATCTATGACCTGACCTGCCCAGGCCGTTTTTCTCATTTTCGGCGCCATCACGATTGCCTGGGCCCTTCTTCTTTTCTACTGGCTTCCAGACCACCCGCTGAATGCCAGGTTTCTCAGCGATGAAGACAGACGCAAGGCCGTCATCCGAGTCCAGGAGAACATGACCGGCATCAAGAACAACGAGTTCAAGATTAACCAAGTTATCGAGGGTCTTCTCGATGTGAAATGCTGGGCATTCTTTCTCATTCAGCTGACATGTTCCATTCCAAACGGCGGAGTCTCCAATGTACGCAGACAAACCAAAAAGAAGAACGCTGAAAGACTAACGAAGAGTGACAGTTCGGTTCTATCATCATCGAGGGCTTTGGCTTTAGCACGCTGAACACACTGCTTGTTCAGATCATAACCTACGTCTTCCAAGGCGTCCTCGTCCACCTCTCCACCGCTGGTTGCTCGTGGTTTAAGAACAGCAGAACATACTGGATGGCGTGGAATTCGGCGATCTCTATCGCTGGAGCTGCGATGGCGAGACAGATATCTCCAGAGAACGTCTGGGCCCGGTTCATGGGCTACTGCCTGGCAAATGCGTTTTCCTGCAACTTTCCACTGACGCTTGCTATGTCGACAGGCAATGTCGGTGGCTTTACGAAGAAGACGACTGTGAATGCCATGGTACGAGCAATCTTCGTATTTAGGGGTTTATATACTGACTCGTCCAGGTCTTTGTCGGATACTGCGTCGGAAACATCATCGGACCGCATCTCTTCTTCTCCTACGAGCAACCATCGTATCCATCTGGCTTCCTGGCGATGATGATTTGCTTCGCCGTTGGCTTTGTAATTCCCCTTGCCCTGAGATACTATCTCATCTGGGAGAATCGCCGTCGGGACCGGCTTGCGCCTGTAGAGGATGGCATTTCTGCGGAGGATCTGGATGCTGCGGTTCTGGACAAGACCGACAAGGAGATCCTGCAGTTCCGCTATGTCTATTAGAAGTATTATTATTAGTAGCAGACTCAGACCGGAAGAGTTGACTCCAATATAAGAAATCCTGCGCTCGGGATGTGGACCACCCGATTGTGGAGGGCTGTATACTTAAGAATGAATTCCCCTCCACCTGAAGCTTAGGTATGATAATAACTCTAGCTAAACCGTCATGACGTCCCCAAAGTATAGCCACCATTTCTCTGTCAATAATCTGCCGTACGGGGTTGCCTCGTCTGCCTCTCAGCCCCGACAATGTGCCACCCGTCTCGCCAACACCGTCATCTTCCTCGGCGTCCTCCAGCAATCAGGGTTCTTTGACAAGGTAGACTCTCTACCAAAGAATATATTTTCCAACGAGACCCTGAATGAGTACGCTGCTTTGCCAAAATCCGCCCACGCTGCAGTCCGCGCCCATCTGCAATCCGCCCTCCGCGAGCCTGGCCTGGATGCCATCCCAGCAAACGCAAAAGCAGACATAACAACAGTGCAAGTACACGTCCCAATCTCTATTCCCGGATTCACAGGTAAGTAAACACCCCCAGTTTCTCTCCAGCTGGGATAAATCTCATCAACTCGCAGACTTCTCCAACTCCCTCAACCATGTCCAAAACGCCGGCCGCGCAATCCTCAACGACCCTTCGCCACCCCCAGGCTTCTTCCACTTCCCAATCGGATATACCGGGCGGGCATCGACGGTCGTCGCGTCTGGGACCCCGATTATCAGACCCTCCGGGCACTTCTATGACCGGACGAACCCGGTTCCCAAGACCGTTATCCACGGCCCTTCGCGCGCGCTGGACTATGAGATGGAACTGGGTGTTGTCATTGGAAAGCCCTACGAGTGGGGATCAGGGAAGGGGGTTAATGCGAAAGACGCAGAAGAATATGTCTTTGGGTTTGTGATTGTGAATGACTGGAGTGGTATGTCGCGATATACCATGATTTTCCTGGACTACGTATACTAACGTATGCAGCCCGCGACATCCAAGGCCTCGAGATGGTTCCACTAGGCCCATTGAATGGAAAAGCATTTGGAACATCCATTTCCCCCTGGATCGTTACGACGGACGCGCTGGCACCGTTCAGGGCCTCTGCGCCAGAACCGCAAGCTTCTCTGGCGGACCACCTACAGGATGAGAAAAAAGGAAATTATGATATTGTCATGGATGTTGAGATTTTGCACAAACCAGCAACTACTACTACAGATTTAAGTGTAACTACCGACGGAGACAGATACGTCTCGCATATTGCCACCGGTCCAGCGAGGGAGCTATTCTGGAGTCACCGGCAGATGGTGGCCCATCTTACGAGTTCGGGATGTGACTTGCGCACAGGAGACCTCCTTGGAACAGGAACGGTCAGTGGGTCTGTTGATGGGTCGCATGGGTGTTTGCTGGAGAGCACGAAGGGGGGGAAGGAGAGAGTGAAGCTCTCCGACGGGGCAGAGAGGGTATACCTGGTTGACGGGGATATCGTCAGGATGACCGCTGTACTCGGTGATGAGCAGTCAGGAGTTGGATTCGGGGAGTGTATTGGCGAGATATTGCCAGCCAGGCTTGATTGATCTAGATTAACTTATTTTGCAACAGATATCTATTCTAATAGATCACTGCTTGTCCTGGTACCCGTGGATAACGACCTTGATGACGCTCTCCTTGCCCTGCCGTACCAGCTCAAAGGCCTCTTCTGTCTGCTCGAACGTGAAGCGGTTCGTGATCAGCTTCTTGACATCGATCTTGCCGCTGGCAATGAGGTCTACAGCCACCGGATAGCAGCCTGTCGAGTACCGGATTGACCCGCGGATGGTCAGGTCTCTGATGCATGCCGTCGTAATAGGGAAGACAACGTTCTGTACAGTTAGTTTCTATACAAGAATCAGATATCGAGATAGAAAGTTACCTCCTTGCCCATGCCCGCCTGCACATATGTGCCCCCCTTCTTCGTCAGATGAATGCCAGTCTGGATACAACTCTGCGCCCCCGTCGCCTCAAGGACAACATCTGGTCCTTCGCCCAGGTTGAATTTATCTTTAATAAGCTTTGCAACCTTCTCGCTCCACTCCGTCTCCTCTACGCCCTCCGGTCTGGCCGGTGGTAGGAACACGCCGTCTGCACCGAACGACTGCGCAAAGTCCAGCCGGGACTGGCTGATATCAATACCAATGACCTTCTTCGCAGCGTACGCCTTGCTCACGGCCTGGCAGAGCAGACCGATGGGTCCGCACCCGAAGACAACGACTGTCTGGTTCGGACGGACATTGCCGACCTTTGTGATCTGTGCTGCAACCGCCACGGGCTCGACCATGGCGCCTTCTTCGAGGTCCATGTGGTAGGGGATGGGATAGCAGAAGTCGGCTTGCGTGATGTAGTACTTGGATAGGGTTCCATCGTGCGGTGGCGTTGCTGCGAAGACGGTATCTGGGCACAGGTTGTAGGAGCCACTGCGGCAGTAGTCGCAGCTAGACAAGTCAGCTATCTGGTTACTTTCATATATCTTGTATAGAGGACATACTGTCTGCAGGGAACCCCCGGCTCAACAGCAACCTTCTGCCCGACCTTGAGGTTCTTCACGGCCGACCCGACCTCTGCGATAACGCCAGAGCTCTCATGCCCGAGCACGATGGGCGACTCGAGGATGAAGTCGCCGATACGGCCTCGCTGCCAGTAATGTACATCGCTGCCGCAGATTCCGGTCTGGGCGATCTGGACGCGCACGTCCCAGGGGTCTTTGAGCGGAGGGACGTCTCTGTCTTCGAATGCGACATCCTTGACGGCGCGCAGGACGAAAGAGGGGTTTGTTTCCTATCCTATTAGTACGAATAAATTGGGAGCTGGTAGGTTTCATACTGTCATTCTCGAGGGTATCGTGGATAGAGTGGAGGAATGGTTCGCGATGTCAACTCCTACGATATGGATGTCTCCCAGCTCGCCATTACTTATACCATTCAGATCAAGAAAAGCCAGTTGATGGCATTCCCCGCGCATCCAAGCAGCTCTGCCCCTCTCCGCTGTGCAACGTCATTGCAGTGAAGCTCCAGTCCGAGCCGGACGCCCCACCCCGTTCGATCGCCAGTTGTCTGGACGTGGATTTATTATAGTGGATTTATTTGCCATGTGATGGTCTGATCAAGGAATAGTGTGTTTCATATTCTAGTTGACTCCCAGAATACCAGTTTTGCCGTGTTCTGATGTATATCCGTGATCTTGATACTCCTATACAACAGTAATATGAACATAATTTGATAGCTACACTTCTCTCAGGCTATTTACAACTAATTCCACCTTCCCCAGCTTCTCCTTCACCATCAATCCATTCAGATAGTCATTCTTGTCCACCCGCGCAAACCCGTCCTCCAAACAGCCCTCGATCCCAGCCTCGACATGTCTCCTCGCCAGCCTCTCTCGCGCCTCCTGCAGGTCCACATCTACAAAGACGCGGTAGTCCACGAGCTGTCCAACATCCCTCCACTCAGGCTCGTCAAGCAGAGTGTAGTTGCCCTCGACAATGACAACCCCGACGTCGCTATCAATCGCCACACCAGCCGCGACAGGGTCTTTCGTCGCATGGTCAAACGTCGGCGCATACAATTTCTCTGCAGAGGATGATTCTCCATCTGCCCATTTCCGTAGACTCTTCATAAATGCAACAAATGCCTTGACGTCGAACGTCCACGGTGCTCCGCGGCGGATATACGCTTGTTCGCGCTCGCCGTCTGGAAGGGCATCCAGCGCCGAGCGCGGAAGGTGAAAGCCGTCCATGGATAGAACCATTGTTTTGGGAATACTGCCATTTGTTTCTCCCTTCTCTGCTGCTACTTGTCGGGCCCTGTTGATCTGTGCACCAACAGCCGTGGCGAGTGTTGTCTTGCCAGACCCAGGTGCGCCGGCGACAGCGACAATATATCGGTTTTTGGAATGAGACGAGGCGCGTTGTATTATTGTCTCTGCGAGGTTGGTATATTGCGATTCCATATTGTAGACTCTTCACTTGTTAATACTGTGACATTAATAGACGTAAGGTTCCGCTTACTGTATATAAGGAAGCACGAAGGGGCGAGGAGGTGTCTACAGCCAGGATTCCAGCATAAATCCAACAGGATGCCCCTCATCGAACAAAAAATTAAATGAAGCTCATGACCGACATCCAAGCACTGCATCCAAACAGACACGCGGCGGGCGCCCACAGGCCGAGCGGATGCAGCCCTCCGTGCGCGGACGAGATGTCCGTCTGCTGCAGCCACTCCGTCTGTTACCGGTGTTGATCACGGCGGGGTTCCAGTTCTTGGGTTGATAATAATGCTTTTAAAAGTCGCAGTCGCGGGGTAGCTAAAACAATCAGTCAAATATCATTGTGCTCTGAGAATCTTCGAATCTGTTCTATATACCCTAATCCCATACAACAAAATGGTCCTCTCGCAACCGCAAAACCAGCACGTCACAAAGGCTTTTGACCTGAGCGGAAAGGTCGCAGTCGTTACAGGTATGGACTATTTCAATAACTCCTATCTAGCTCTAATGAGGTCGCAGGAGGAGCACGCGGTATCGGCCTCGAAGTCTCCCGGGGTCTCGCTGAAGCAGGCGCAGATGTACGTATACAATAGTTTATTCCTATCCAATTCTATTCTGCGCTAACAGACCCAGGTAGCGATAATCTACAACACATCAAACACAGCCGACGCGACAGCCACCGAAATCGCATCCACGAACAAGATCTCCGCGCGCGCATACCAGGCCAATGTCTCCAACAAGGACCAGATCGAGAAGACAATCGCCCAGATCAAGAAAGACTTTGGCAAGCTCGACATCGTCGTCGTCAACTCGGGCATCGCATCCTCTGTCCCGGCTGAGGACTATACCACCGAGCAATGGCGCCAGATCATGGACGTGAACCTCGACGGCGCATTCTATACCGCACAGGCAGCGGCAAAGATCTTCAAGGAGCAGGGCCATGGGAATGTCATCTTCACGGCGTCCGTCAGTGCGACGCTGGTTAATGTGCCTCAGAAGCAGGCGGCGGTATGACAACGCCCTATCTCCTACAGCCGCTGTTGTACCGAGCGTTCTAACAGCACTGCAGTACAACGCTTCCAAAGCCGGCGTCGTCCAGCTAGCAAAGTGCCTCTCAGTCGAATGGGTGGACTTTTGCCGTGTCAACTGCATCTCGCCTGGATTCATCGCGACAGAGATCCTCGACCACCACCCGAAGGAGTGGAGGGAGAAGTGGAATGAGATGATTCCTGCGCGGCGGATGGCCCAGACATATGAGCTGAAGGGGGTATGTATCTCCATTCTTGATACTTGTATATTGCTAACAGCTTAGGCGTATGTGTTTGCGGCATCGGATGCGTCGAGTTATATGACCGGAGCAGATATCATCATTGACGGCGGTTACACTCTTCCTTAGATGTCATTATCATTATTTCATATGATCTATAGACTGAATTTAGATTGGGTATCATCATTTGCACAGGGGAAGTCAAAGCCTAGAATCCAATGTTGGACAAGGTATACTAGAGTCATTAACAGAACATCAGTAGCAAGCAATTGTGCAACAAAAGCCAAACCAACTGAAATTAGACGACGAAAACAGAAGCAACATGAGAAGTATAGGTCATTTTCTAAATCAGGTACACCATCTCCCACTTGAATCTACCTTCGAGCTTGTCTGGCTCAAGGTGGACACAAGATCCAACTCGACGCAGAATATGCTTGTAGTCAGAAGGCTCCACAACCAGCAAGAATTCGTTAGACTCGCCCTCTCTTTCTGAACATGAAAATCCGATAAAAACGACCTTGAAATAACCAGAGATGGTTTGCTCATTTGCCAAGTTGAGGATTGCAGTTCCAACGTTCTGGTCTGCCTCCCCGCCATCCTGCACAGCCACGTTCCATTCCTCGCCGCTTCTAAACATGAACAAGTCGAATACAGGTGCTTTAAAGGCTATCAGATGTGGCTTAAGCGTATCTGGAAGACCGTCAATCACGGCAGGGCAAGGATGCTCGGCAGCTAAGCTTTTCGACGACACCCCGGTAGCCGTGTCTGGGCCATCATAGATCATTTGAAACTGGAATCCCCCGGGCCCCTGTACACTAGAGGTGCAGAAGTAAGTCACAGGGTGTCCTATGGGCTCGAATCCCCATCGACTATGGTAGTCAAGACCAGATGGACAGGAAACAATCCAACCTTGCCACGACCAGCTGGGGAACTTCAACGACTGGCGACGTCTGCCTGATAATATAGAGAAGCACAAAGCTTGCGCGAAAAACCTCAGAGGCAGGTCGTAGTGGTATGTCGAGCCCAGAGTGTTCTGTAATTTGCTTTTCACTCCACTAAACCCTGCGGATAGATCATCCTCCTTTGTCACGTAGCGGTGAGAATATTCCATTGCCTTAGCAGCGTAAACGTCGAATCCTCCATCCCAGCCTTCATAGAATGACCAAAAGTCGTCAAGTTCGGGGAGATCACTGGATATGACGGCTTCCTGGTCAGGCTCTGAATATGTATCCTCAGAATATACCTTGTTCTCGGTTTCGCAGCAAAAGAAGGCTTGATGATCACTAAGAATCAGCAGCCGGCGAGATACATTCCATTCATCATAAGTCCATTTCCGCTTCATCCAGCCAGTATTCATCATGGAATAGTCGATAGAGGGTTTGCAAACAGCCAGGGAAAGATTGCCCACCGTTTGCAAAATCTGGCGCCTGGGCCGTGAAGAATGCGGTCGGACGCCTTGCAAGCCGTAATGGCTATTGGGACCATTGCCCACAATCGTAAGATACGCAGCTTCGAATATCTTCCTGATGCCTCCAGGTTGCTTTTCAGCGGAGTATCCTGGCCCCGTTCCCCAACACAATGCATCAACCCATAGATACCGGATTCCCAGGTCGCGGCATAGTGTTATTGCATCTCTAACTGTTCTTGGTATTTCTGTGTAGACCTCTGTTAGGCCTCCAGGCTTTGTGAGCTGCGGCTCATTCTCTTTAGTGAGTTCAAATTGTGTCACGTCGCTCCGCCCCCAGGTGTAACTCAATGCCGCATACTCGCGAGTAGACGGCATTTCCTGGACCATCAGGCGCTTGGTATCTATAACACGCGCCGGGCGTGCGTCTACGTCTGGCCGCTCAAGGTTGCACGCAGATGCACAACGCTCAGAACAGGTGCCGACCCAGCGCTTGACCAAGGGGATGTTGAGGTTCTGGGGCAGCGTTCTTCCATGGAATAGCACGTCATCATCGCCCTCCTCTTTCACCAACATAATGTCACCTTCATATGATGTTCGATCCCAGGAAATGTGAGTCCGACGTTGAAAAAATCTTTCGTCTTCTAAATCCGGCAGAGTGCCGTACTGAAATACGGTGGAAACCCGCAGACGATACGTTCGCTTGACTGAAATCGATGGGGTCTCTATTTTAGTAGAGACAGGGGAGGTCTGGAATGTATACTTTCCATAGAGAATGCGCGAGAAATATATATGTCTATTCGGCGCGGGAAGACGACGACAGCCCTCCCGCTGGAGTGCTGCGCAAATCAGTTGGCACATGGAGCAATCAGAGCCCTGTATCTCGCTGAAGACCCGGTTCATCACTGCCCCAGATTTATACGCTGATGGCGAGTCATTTGACTGGGCTGGAGGATCCCAGAAGCTCGAATCGGCGAACAACTGGCCACAATGTGAACATAAGTTACTGCACTGGCTCTGCATGATAGAGGCAATATACTCTGTAAGGGGAGAATGTTGAAACAGGCGCAAATTTTGAAGTTGGGCGAAGGAAAGTGAGGAAGAAAAGGGCTGTGCGGCTGAGGATGAGGCTATGCTGCTTGGCAACTGAGGCTGAGATGGCCACCATAGTACAGATCATGATATACATGATTACAATGGGATTATTATTCTGAGATTGTTCCCAACTTGTACTGGCGGAGCTTTGCTTTAGGGTTCCTGAAGCGAAGATTGAAACTTGGGGGTGACACTGTATCACTCCAGCACAGGCAACCGGTTCATAAAGTCCATAATCGTCGACTCTTGTCTGTACAATGTCAGTATCAGTATAATCAGTATAAACAGCAGACTCACATAATTGTATCTCCTCCATCCAGCTGCCCCATCTCCAACGTCGGCCACATCAGCGGATACAAATTCGCCAGCTGCGTCTGCGGCGACTCCTCCGTCGGCCTCCCCCAGCCATCAACACTGCTGGGCTGGAGATAACTCCCACAGAGCGACTGTATAACACCAAGACAGCGCTGCGCCGTCGGATTCAGAAGCGCCATCGATTCCAGCACCTCGACAGCCTGCACGACCTGGTCACGCCAGCCCTCGGCCAGCGGCGACTGCGGGTCATTCCGCAGACAGATCACTGGTATCAGGATGGCCTGGAACAGGAAGTACAGGCCGTACCAGCAGGCCATCATTGTGCGCTGGTCAATGCACACCCGCCAGAAAGTGCAAATGAGGTCGACGGCTTCCCTGGCGGCGTGGAGACAGCGCTCGATCGCGAAGCCAATCTGGGCGTCGCTGCTACCATTGCCACCACTGGGGGCTTGCCCCGTTCGCGTACGCGACATGAGCTGGCCCACTAGGAACGGGCGATACATCAGGATCCGGAAGTTCCGGTACCGCCATCGGAGGATGGCGTGGCAGAGGGTGAATTTCGGGGGCTGCAGCGCGGTTTCGCCGAAGAAGGGAGGGAGCCCGGCAACCCAGCCGCCGATATACTGGTCGTCCAGGGAAATGAGCTCGGCGGCAGACGGAAGAGGGTGCGAGATGATCTTGGAATAGATGTGGCTGGTGGCGAGGTGGAACTGGGCCTGGGCTCGTAGATGCGTGTAGATGGTCGTCTCTGCGGCGGAGATGGGCATCCGTCGTGTGCCGGAGGTGATGTCCTGTTACTATCAGCTTGATACTGGTTATGGCTGTTTCAAATTGACAAGCTTACGCTGTCGTGCGCGTTCAGTGGCAGCTGGACGTCGACGCCCTGCTCGGGAAAGTCGAGCGGGCGAGAGAAGGTGATTATGGCGCCGATATCAAAGATATACAGGCCGTACCACACCCTCCGCCTCATTTCCAAGGTCAGTAGAGTGGCGTCCCAGGTTGGGAACTCCTTGTGGAGCCCGATTCCCATTGCTACGCGCCGGGCCAGGCCCATATAGTTGTACCCCGAGTTGGGCTTATTTCGCTTCTGCAAGTAGTTTGAGATAAGTGTTAGCGCCTGCACCAGGACTATATTTCCCGTCTCCAGCACGTCAATTGACAGTCTCTCCTTGGCTGCGTCGAATAGCGCAAAGTCGATATCGGTGGGCTGGGTGGCGCTGGTGAAGACGCCCAGCGCCGATATCACAAACAGCAGAACATGCCATGCGTTGCCAGATGGCCGGGGAATAATCTCCATAAACTGGGCACGGAAGGTCGCCTCGTGGACAATGGGATACGAGCAGTGGTAGAGGCGGAAGTAGGCGTCCACAAATGGCTCCAGCTGGGACATGGAATTCAGGGCAAACGGGACGCTGGCCTGGCGATGGTAGTCTGGCTGCGTATCAGACTCGTACGCAGTGGCACCGTCTGATCTCGTATCTGTCAGTCGAAGCAGGGCAGCTCCAGATGCCGAGCCTGCGAGTGTCAGCTCTTGTTAACGTCTACATACACAGGACGTACACACCAAGGTAACCTCCCTCATTCGACCTACTCGTCAGACTGGCCATGCCATCCACGAACCTATCCCCGCCGACTGTGCCTGCCCTCTCGTCCCATTCGAAATTACTACTCGACGGCGGCGTCTCCAGCGAGAACGCCGTCGTGCCGATAGACCGCGACTCCGAAACAGGCCGCATGTGTGTCCTGGGATGACCCACTGAATCCACCACTGGATTAGCAGACACTCTAGTCCGATTCTGACTCTCCAAAGAGGACGCAGGAAGGCGTATCCCATGCCGACTGGGGTTCGGGTTCACTTGGGCAGCGCCGGACGAAGGCAGGCCGTGATCAAGGACTGGCTGCTGAACGGACTGCCCGTCCGCATTGTAGTTTTCACCATCATATCCAAATCCAGCACCGTCCAGACGATCATGGCCATCCCGCTCATCGTCCTGCTGTCCCTCAGGCATAAACCGATGCAGCAGCGCCCTGGTCCGGGCCAGCTCGCTCTCCACCTTGGACAGGTACGTCCGGGTCAGCGGGGTGCGCGCAGACTTCTCATACGTGCAAACACGAGCGAACTTGCCACAGAGACGACAGATGGGGATTGTCCTGTCGCATTTGGACTTCCTGCGGCGGCATTCCCGGCAGGCCTGCTCTGCTGTGCCCGTGCGGCCGGGCAGGGGGTCGGAGTCGGGCGCCGGAGTGCGACGACCGGGCTGGGCGCTCATTCCGGCAATCGGGATCGGATCAGCTGAAGGCTGGAATGCTGGAAGGCTGTGTAAGACTAGGAGGTGAACTGGAGTTGGAGCTGGAGGATGGACTGAGGCCGGACTGCTGCTGCTCCGATCTCCCCGGGGTGTGGGGCTTACGTGATCGGAGATTCCCCGGTATGCAGTGACGTAGATAATTATAATGTAGATACTAAATGCATATTACAGACTTGTATTGGCTGAAGGTGCAATGTGGAGTGTAGAGTGTAGAGTGTAAATGGTGGATGGTGCTATACAACTGGGCGCTTGCCCTACTAGACATACAGAAGCTCAACAAGTTCAACGAACAGAACAGCAATTCAAAAAATTAGGCATTCTCTGAATGCTCCGCAGTCCCCTTGACCCCCTCGCCTTTAACTCCGAAAACATCTCTGGATGTGACCGCTGCTGGCCCGTCAAACACCTCCGCAATCTCCTCCAGCGAGTGCCCCTTCGTCTCAGGGAACACAAAGTACGTCACTGCGAGGACTACCACGTCAAACGCACAGAAGAAGATGTAATATCTCCAGCCAATATTATCCAGGGCCACCGGGTTGACAAACGCCAGGATAATCAGCGAGCTGTAGACGGAGAGCAGCTCCACCGTCAGGCCCTTACTTCGCGTCGTGTAGGGGAAAATCTCGGTTGGATAGCCCATCAGGAGAGGCGTATAGGCAATATCGTAGTGGAAGTAGAAGATAAAGACAAAGGCAATCACCGTCCGGCCCAGGGCTGAGACTTGCGTGCTGTCGAAGACTGCTGAGCACGCCGTCCAGATCACGAAGGAGACCAGCATTCCGGCGGCAGACCAGAGGAACAGAGTGCGTCTGCCCAGGCGATCGACAAACATGGCAGCGCTCAATGCGGCAATGAAGTTGAAGACCTGCAGGAGGCCATTGATGAGGGTTTGCGTGTCTGTGTCTGTGACGCCGACGGTGTCCAGCACCAGCGTGAGATAGTACGATACAACCGCAACACCCTGCTCAATTAGCACGATAATAGAAGTAGAAACATAGAGTACTCACGTTCCACTGCGCAAAGGCACCGACGCAGACCGCGATGAACGTGCGCTTGCGGTTTCCTGGGGTCTTGACGAGTGCTGTCCAGCCTGTCTCTGCAGCCTGATGCTCCAGCTCAATCGTACGCACTATCTCTGCCATTTCAAATTGGATGAGAGGATGCGATGCTTCTCCTGCCGTGTGATGTTGTGCAAGGAGCTCGCGTGCTTCCTCTGTCCTGCCTTTCGCAACAAGCCATCTGTCTTGTTAGTATTCAGAATTCAGATATCCAGGAATATTGGAACCAACCGTGGAGATTCTGGCACAGCCCAGAAAAGAGCAACTTGGACCAGAGGGAATCCGGCCTGGACGATTGAAGGCACTCGCCACGTCCAGTCGTTGTCAAGATGCTTCTGCGTGCCATAGCATGTCCACGACGCCAGGATGGCGCCCAGATAATACATCGTCCAGAAGGCACTGATCCGTCAGTACTGACCACAGTATTGTCACGATATACAAGACTCACCAAGTATACTTTCCACGATGCGTCGGATACGCCAACTCGGTAATCAGCATGGGAGACGGCTGCACAACCAGCATCGACCCAATCCCAACAAGCACTCGACTAAACACAAACATGCCGTATTGGACCGATGCCGCTTGGATGATTGATGCCACGATAATCACGACGGCTCCGCTGAGGAGTGTCCAACGCCGTCCAATTCGATCCGAGAGTATACCGACCACCGGCAGAGAGATGACGCTGCCGATGGACTGGGCTGCGTTGACGACTCCGAGGATCGGTCCAGCTGGGTTGCCGAAGTAGTCTTTCCATTGGGATATGGATTGGAGGCCGTTCATTAAAGACCCTGATAGGCATTAGCATCTCGATGAGGCGGGAGTCCGACATCCATACCATCGTAGCCTGCCACCGCGGAGGACAGAAGAGGAAGCATGAGGATCAGATTCAGTTTAAGAAGATGAGGAATTCGAAGCCAGGTGCGGTCATCCTGAGGGAGGACAGAGGCCAGTGCCTCGCCGACGATATCTTGGTCCTTCATGTTGAGTCTGGTGGATATGGGGCTCTGGGGAGAGGAGAAGCCGGAGAAACCGATATACGGAGACCAGCTCTATATATACGACGGCATCAAGATCCTGGCCAAGAGGAACAAAGCAACGAGGAGCATGGGCAGGCCTAAATCCCTCGCGGTCTCAGCCACAGGATGATTTAATCGTCCCAAAACCGGCACAGGGACACCTGCTTCCCCCCTTCTAGCCGGCTCCTGGGTCTGGCATGACTTGGGTGGAGCAATGAAGCGACTAGCGCACGCTCCCCACGGGGAATGCACGCCAGCGATTGCCTGAAGTCCTTCACCGGAGCACTTCCGGTGCTGATCGAGACGGACGACATTGTCCGTGGCTTCGGGCCTGCGGGGCCGTTGTATAACCGCTTAACCGGCATCAGTCCACCATCCCCCCCGGTCTCTCGTCTTGACCCGGATGGGCCGTCTGTCGACTATCTTTTGGTGTCGTCCGTCCTCTACTGACTGTGAATTGGGTTCCAGCTTGTCCCTGCCCATCCAGCGGGGCCGTACGGACCAGGTGCAGGCAAGCGGACAAGCACCTTGTGAGGCACAATGTAGTCTTTAAAGTCTTTAAAGAGGGTAGAGAACGTTCTGCTTTCAGGTAAACTCTTCAAATCTGCTCTATTTTCCTATTTTACTATCTTCCTATCTTTTTCCTATCCCTGTCCATCCGTTAGCCCTATATCCGCCACAATGACGAACCAACAAAGCATCAAATGGCCCACCCCCTCGCTGCCCGATAGCGTCTTCAAGATGTTCGACATGCACGGCAAAGTCGCCATCATCACCGGCGGGTCTGGCGGAATCGGCTACGAAGTCGCGCGCTCCCTCGCTGAAGCCGGCGCCGACATAGCCCTATGGTACAACTCCTCGCCCGCCGACGACCGCGCAGCAACACTCGTCAAGGACTTCGGCGTGCGCGCAAAAGCATACAAGGTCTCTGTACAGAACTTCGACGAGGTACCATACCAACCACCCCTAGGAAGCGAAATAATGCTAATGCTAACCCACCCAGGTCCAAGCCGCGACCAACGCCGTAGTCTCCGACTTCGGCGGTCTAAACGTCATGATCGCCAATGCCGGAATCCCATCTAAAGCCGGCGGGCTGGACGACAAGCTCGAAGACTGGCAGCGCGTCGTGGACGTGGACTTCTCCGGCGCGTACTACTGCGCGCGCGTGGCGGGCGAGATCTTCCGCAAGCAGGGGCACGGAAACCTCATCTTCACAGCCTCGATGAGTGGGCATGCGGCGAATGTGCCGCAGCAGCAGGTGCGTCATTCTCTTATACCCTATGTACCTATATGGGATGGTAGTTGCTCTCGTGGGATACTGACAGGATATGTTGCAGGCCTGCTACAACGCCTGCAAAGCCGGTGTAATTCACCTCGCCAAATCACTGGCCGTTGAATGGGCGGGCTTTGCGCGCGTGAACAGCGTGAGCCCGGGGTACATTGACACGCCGATTAGCGGTGATTGTGCGTTTGAGATGAAGGAGGCGTGGTATGGCCTGACGCCGCTGCGAAGAGATGCAGACCCACGAGAGCTGAAGGGCGTGTATCTTTACCTGGCCAGTGATGCCAGTACGTATACGACGGGGGCGGACATTGTTGTTGATGGGGGATATACTTGTCGGTGAGGCTGGTACATAGACTAGATTATAGAAGTACGGTTTACGTTGTCTTGGTTTCTGTGGTAAACAAGTGGATAGAATGCCAGTGGCCATTGATGCGACCTATGCAAGATAAAATATCATTAAAGTATCATTGAATCTTCCCGTACCCAACCATATGCCACTTAAAAACGCCAGCCAGCTAGCCATCCGGCAGTAAATACTCACTACAACACGTTAACTCCATAGCGGCGGGTGAATATACTCCTGCGCCCGATCCAGGATATTCGGGATCGTCCACTCCCCACTTGTCGTGCTCTCTGGTGTCTGCGGCGCCAGGGGGCCCAGGTTCGGCGTCATTCCTGACGGCGGAAGTGGCGCCATCGGGTTTGCATTCGGGTGCATGGCCGTCGCTGGGCTGAGGTATGTCGGTGATGCTGCCGTTCTCATGACAGACGGTGAAGAGGCGTGGAAAGCCGCTTCCAGTTTCTCGAGCGCGCGGAGGGTCTTCGTCAAAGGTTTCGCCCATTGTGTTTGGGAATCGGCGGCCGCTGCCGCAGCAGCTGGAGAGCTCAGCGCAGCAGGCGACCCCGTTACAGGGTTCATGGTCGGCTGCCCGAGGGGGTTATATAAGGAGCTGCGGTCCACGGATGCATTTTGTGGCGATCCATATTCAAACTCGGCATTTGCGCGTTCGCTGATGATTGCTTTGAATTTGCGAAGGAGGGTCCAGAAATACGCGTTTGATTTGGATTCTTCGGTGACAGCAAGCAGGAAAATGGAGCTGATTGCGCGCTGTAGCGTGATCCAGGAACGGGACGCGTGGGAACTGACAGCGTGCATCTCCACATAGGCCTCGACAGTCGTCATCAAATGGTCAATGCAGTCAGCACGCATGCGGGCGGTTTGCGGGTCGCGAGTGTTGGCAGTCGCTTTGAGCGCTGGCCGGCAGAGCTCAGAGGAGAAGTATGAGGAATGGAGTTTTAGCACGTTGCGCTCAAGGTGTTCGGTTGGCGTCGTGCAGTATTGGGGATCTCGGAGGTAAGGGCGTGCTTCGATAAGGATTTTTTGAATTTGATCTTTGTAGTCTTGGATGTTTTCCCAGCTCATTTGTGAGTGTGGGCTGAGCATCCGACCGCGGACAACTTTGAGAACCAGGGAGATCACCCCACAAAGGGACTCGAAATATGGATAGTCGCCTGGTTTTACACCTTCGCGCTTCGCAATCTCTGGCTGGCAAACCGCGGTGGTGGACGGGCGATCATACGATAGCGAGAAATGGCTGTCTTGCCATGCCATGGACCACCATACGTGTCGTCGTCGATAACGCTCCGCAGCCGAGAAATGGCTGGATTCGACGTGCAAACCAAGCGCCAGACCCATTCGAAGTGTCATACCTAACCAGTCAGTGACGAGCAATCTCGACAGGAGAAACGACCTACCGAGTAAAACGTAGGAAATGCCAGGGTTCATATTATACGACAGGACGTTGCCAATCACAAGCAAAGTCTGAATAGCCTCTATCGTCGGGTGGGATAGGAAATTCGTCATTCGAAGGCATTGGTAGGAACAGCACACTAAACCGTCAGCATAATACAGCATTGCGCCAGAACGAAGGCATACCAAATACTTGGGAACTGAGCTCTCTCTCTTTCCCGGGTAAATCGGACGATTGACAGCCAGAGGCCAGGACTGCGAATAAAAGACCGAGGTACGCAATAGAAATTCCAAACGGCCTTTGCGCCTGATCGTCATCGGCTCGATAAACACCACCAGAAGCAAGTCTGTTTTGTAACATAAGATCGAGATTCCTTTCAAACAAGGGCACATCATCGATGACAGGATAGATTGCGCCGGCGATATCGCGGTAGTAGGTAAAAAACCTAGCCAGTTAGCCCAATATCCTAGAGCCAAGACAGTGATACTCACTCTTTGCATTGCTGGTCCGTCGGGAGGGCGCAGCAGACTGCGCTTATGTCAAAGGTAGAAATTCCAGAAGACCATAAATCAACAAATGGATATGTCGCAGACTCGTTATCCAGACCAAGCTTCGGCAGAATTCCACCCTCCAGCAACGTCTGTAGCTGATCGGAGCCAGACTTGTTGTTCAGAATATAAGCCAGGACGGATCTCGACCCAAGGTGCACGGTACCTTCGCCCAAGGTATTCGGCGCATGGATACCCTCTCGCTCCGGCGACGCCCCTTTGGACCGACTACTCGCATCACCGGCACTCTGCACGCTGCCCGTCTCCAGCGTCGAGCCAGAACCAATGCCCGCGCCCGCGCCAGCGCCATCTTCATTCGCTTTATCCAGGCCAGCGCGCATATTCGCAAACGTCTGCTCCATTTCCTTCAATCTCGCGCGCACATTATCCCAGTCCTCGCGCGCAATGGAAATCCGCCCTCCACCTGCCGGACTCGGCTGGCTACTCAATCCCAAGCCAGGCTCCTGCTTCAGTCTCAAAGATCCATCCGATAAACCCACCTCCCCGCCACTGGACAGCCTAGTGCCCGCACCATTCATATACCCAGCTCCCATTGTCGCAGTATGTCCAGCATCGGGCCCTATCGGAGCTCCACTCCTCCTCTTTGACGGGCGTTCATAAGAGCAAAGCTCCGCATGGTCACGCTTCACGCACCCATCACAGGGCAAGTTCCGGTCACATTTCACCTTTCGCGCATGGCACGGGTAGCAAGCTTTCGGCTCGCGCGCTTTTCGCTTCGCACGGATTATCGCATCGACTTGCGCTTGGGGGAGGTCGGTGCCGAACCCGTGCGCGGTGGCCGGCTCTCTGCTCGGTCCAGGTCCAGGTCCCGGCCCGTTGTCGGCGGGCGTCGCCGACGAGTATGACATGGACGTTTGGATGGAATGGGGAGAGGTGTGGTTGGCGCTGTCCATGGCTGTAGTGATGACTGACTCGATCGGCTTTCTATAATCCCCTCATTTCACGCGGGCATCTCCGGTCGGGTTCGCGGGTCTCTCAATGGTCACGGTTCACGGTTGATGGTTCACGATCACTAGGGCAGAGCTCGACTCGGGGGTAGGTAGGTGGAGACGCATCAATTGGTGGACTGTGTCGGTGGGTATTTCACAGTAGGCGGTTGAGAATGGCTGAGACTGGCTGAGAATGACAGGCAGTAATGGGATGCGAGTCGATCGTCTCGAACTCTCGATCGAGCATCGTGGAGGAGTGGATGACTCAGCGAGTCACGTGCATGACGTCACTGTGTCTACAGTATTAACGTGTCTTCACTCTTTCTCTAGGTAAATAGTCTTAGTATGGTTAATGGCCAATACTATGTCGATTATAATAGGGTCATGATCGTATGGTTGTAATTGGCACTAATTCTTGCCAGCGTTGCCAAGAAAGCGTGTCAACAATCAGAATATATAAATTCACTGACATTCGCAACACTAAGTTAACACCAACACCAACATCAACACGCTCAACGCTCAACGTTCAATCTTCCCACGAGCAGCAGCTTCAGCAACCAAATCATCAGAAATGGGTCGGTGTCGTGTTGACAAGCAATCATCCACAACAGGAAACTCCAAGCTGAGCAAAAGCATACTGCGATGAGGCGCATGCTGGGATGGGGCGGAGCAAGTAATTATCTAGGGGCCGAATAGACAACATAGCCCGTGAGATCTATTTAAGTTATTTATTTCAGCCGCGCTTACTTACTTGCAGATAAACTCCACCTGGGGCTATATCGATCCTCCGCCCCTGGCCTGAGACCGGAGTTTCTTGCGGAGGAAAGTAAGTCAGGCCAGGATGTACCGGTCGTTGTATAAAGGCGCTCGCAGACCTGCAGTGTCAGTCTCGATCAGTTCTATCCATCATTCCAAATCATTCCAACATGTTGTCTACCTTTCTCTTCGTCGCCGGGGCCCTGGCTGCCTGTGTCCCCTCTCAGCAATTCGACCAGTCGGCATATGCTGCAGAGGACGTCGTCGAGCGGGACTTTGCCATCATCGGCGGAGGAGCAGCAGGTACCTATGCAGCAATCAGTCTCGCCGACCAGAACAAGACCGTCACTGTGGTTGAAGTGACGGACCGACTTGGTGGAAACACCCGGACGTTCCGCGACGAGGCCACGGGGACCAGCATCGACATTGGCGTGCAGCTCCACCAAGATATCCCTCTCGTCCGTGACTTTTTCGAGCGATTAAACTCGCCTCTGGCGCCTTTTCAGCCCTCAGATTTCGGAAAGCCCAAGTACTACGACTTTTTAAACAAAGTGGCCCTTGCAAACCACACCAAGCCGAATGTCGGGCCGGACTATGTGGCCGTGCTCGACAAATATCCTTTCCTCGACGACCTCAATAACCTGCCGGACGATGTGCCTGAAGAGCTGCTTCTGACCTGGCCGGAGTTCGCCAAGAAGCAGAATCTCTCCTCTGCATCAGCCGCGGCGGGTCTGTTATGGCCAGCGACCCCTGGCAACCCCCTGGATGCCACCGCGCTGGCTATCTTCAACGACGGCAATCACATTGAGGTGGAGGAATACACCGGGGCAGCCGTTCGCAGTGCCACTCACTACAACTCCCAGATTTACGACAACGCCCTGGCCGAGTTGAAGGAGCATGTCCTGCTGGAATCCTCCATCGTTGCAGCGCAGCGTGGATCTTCCCGCAGGGACGGCGTACGACTCGTGGCCCAAACTCCGTCTGGCAGGAAGCTCATCAAAGCCAAGCAGCTCATCCTTGCTATGCCGCCGGTCCTGGACAACACCCAGTACTTTGGTCTCGACCAGCAGGAACATTCAATCCTGAGCAAGCTCTCTGGCAAGCACTACTACGCGGGCGTTGTGAACAATACCGGGCTTGAGGCGGGAGTTGCGTACACAAACGTCGGCAAAAACACACCGTACCACGTCGCCAGCCTTCCTGGAGTGGTAGAGATTGCTGGTGCATCTTCTCCTGGGTACTTTTTCTACTGGTACAACTCGGTCGACCCTCAGACCCAGGAGCAAATTGAGCAGGCCACTCGAAGCACCATCCACTGGCTGCAGCAAGAGACCGGTGCCGAGCCCGCGGAGCCAACGTTCCAAGACTTTGTGGACTACTCGCCGTTCCATCTGAGTCCTCCGACGAGCGACATCGCGGACGGCTGGTATGGCAAGATGAAGGGCCTCCAGGGCCACAGGAACACTTGGTATATCAGCTCGCTGTTTGTTGTTGGCTCGACTCAAATCTGGAACAACACCCGCAACATGCTTCCGGAGATTATCGATGCTGCTCGGTGATGTCCTACTTGTTTAACCTTTAGATCATACCTGCCTTGATATATTAATTCAATAACACTATTTATCATTGTATTCACTTCACTGTACACTTCTCATAGCTTAGTCATCACTGAGTCAGCGTTGTCTTTGTCCATCAACACAACACAATATCGACTGTTACTTGAATGTTTCACCAATTCATCAATTCATCATAGAACTCGATATGTCCACAAACAAGCGCAAGCGTGCTCGAAAAGCGTGTAATCCGTGCCATCAGCGCAAGCGAAAGTGCGATGGCGAGTATCCGTGTGGAATGTGCTCCACCTACGAGTACCAATGCAGGTACGACGACATCAACAACACTACGATTGCGGATCCCCCAGCCAAGCGCGCTATTGTCGAGGGACGTAACCCCGTGGACGAAGGCAGCCCATCCGCTGGCAACAATGCCAAGAGCCCTGGCATTTTCGAGGAGCACAAGTCCAGGTACACCGGCGCATCGGCCGCCATGGCCTTCCCGCATATACTGGGCCTGGCTCTCGGATCTACCAATCCTCCCAAGATCAATTCGGCGGCGTACAACTTTGGCATCCGCCCGGAAGAGGCTTCCAACACGTATGGTTTGCTGGGAAGCCTGATCTCCGAAGACGACCTCGCCTTCTACTCGGAGGTATACTTCTCTGCAATGGGCTCCATTCTAGATGTCATCGACCCCAGGATCTATGCTCAGCGGTGTCGCGAGTACTATCATGGGCCCGGCAGTCCGCCGGTCGCATTTGGTGCTACAGCCGCTGGTGTTGCTGCAGTCGGGTCGTTCCTCTCGTCAGTTAGACACTCGCGCGAGTCGGACCTACTGCAGTACGCGAAAGCCATTCTCGATGATCCGGCTTCGATGCGGATGCTGAGCGTCGATCATATCATCGCGTGGGGAATGCGGCTATTCTATCTCCGAGCCACAACCCGCCCTAGCAGTGCCTGGGTGGCCTCCTGCACGCTCATGCATCTCTGCGAAGTCGTCGGGCTGCATGAGGAAGAAAACATCCAGCGCATGGCGTCCGTCGCTGGTGCCGCTAGTCTCGGTCATGATGCGGACCGGCTGAGGCGCATCTTCTGGATCCTGTGGGCCGCGCACCAGATGCTGTCCTACGAGTGCGACCGGTCAGCAGTAACATTTGCAGCAGTCACTACGCAGGCGATCATTGCGATCCCAGGATCTGTAGCCGACCAGTTCGTGCAAATCATCCAAATGATCCCGTCGCCGAACTCTCCGTTCCAACTGGACTCACGGCCTCCATCTCCAAGGGAGGACCTCTCTGAGCGTCTTACGGCATTGAGTAAACTACATTTCACGCATCCATTCCTGGTTGCCACCAAGGCGGAACTCGCATTCTGCTTCTATCGACGTATCTACCAGTTCAAGGCAGGCATCACGGATGAAATCCTCCAGGTTGTCATAGACAGCGGCAGGGATGGACTAGAGGCAGCTGAGCAGCTCGCCAGCCAAGGCCGGCTACTATGGAACGTCATCGGCAGTGTCTTCCAATATGCTTGTATCTTGTTGGCCATCGACACTCCGGCCTCGTCTGATCACATTCCTGCTGCTTTTAAGAGGCTGGAGAATCTTGTCAGGGCAGCGGATACAGCACTCACCCGACAGGCGCTCTCTATAGCACGGCATCTCCTCAGTCTCAATATAGCGAAGAAACGAAAGGAACTTTTACAGTTGGAAGCTGTCGAGGCAGGATACGAAGCCTTTCAAGAACCACCGGAACCCGAGCCCAACACCGCCGTGCCAGATCTTGTTGGCTGGGGGGTGGACTGGGAGCAGTTTCTCGTGGAGCCATATCTGTCGATGTTTCCCGACATTCAAATGTAAATTACAGCGAGTCACATTTCAATAATCTAACGAAACATTATTACATTAACGATCTAAACCAACGTTTCCTGCGAATCCCTCTTTTCCGGCACCCGTTCTATCCTGATATTAAACCGCTCCGCAAAACAAAAAAGCAAGGCAACAAACACGCCTATCCCAGCGAGACCAACACCCATGTAAAAGGCCCCCCGGTAGCCCCGCAAAACATTCGTCCCTTGCTCATTGACCTGGCTCTCGACAGTGCCTGCAAACCCAAGCCCAATGGAAATGGAATAGTTGACAAACGTAGTCACCAGCGATGCGGCCAGACCCTGATGCTCGCGCGGCATGGCTCGATTCAGAATAATCGTGGCAGCGGGAAACGACGAGTCCATGCCCCAGGGAAGCACAACGATCCCCACGAACGTCTGCGCCCAGTAGATCTGGTCCACGGGCATCGTCGCGAAGATGACACCCCCCGCGAGGAAGAAGGCCATGGAGATCAGCATCACCGTCGACGCACGGAAGTTGTGCAGAAGCAGGCCCGTGGCGCCCGCAGCAAATAGCCCGCTTACGGCGATGGGTGACATCTGTGCAGATGTGAGAAGCGGCGTCTGCTCCCTGATGACCTCCAGGAGGTTCAGTGTGTAGAAGACGAAGATGCCGAAGCTGGACCAGCCGGCGCTGATGCAGGCCAGGGTGAAGAGGGAGTCGATGCGCAGGATGCCGAAGGGGATCAGCGGATGACTTGCTCTCTTCTCGAGTAAAACAAAAATGACAAAGACGAGGATGCCGATGACCATGGTGAAGTAGGTATACGGCGTCGTCCAGCCGACCACGGGGCCCTGGTTCCAGGCAAAGTTGAACAGGACGAGGGCGGCCACACCGGTGATGGAGCCTGCGACATCGATACGACTCCAGACACTGGAGCCTTCGGACTCTGGGGATATCGGGGCTGGGGTTGCAGGAATGGCGACGAAGCCCAAGACAGCCAGCCCGAGGCACGCAAAGGACAGGACCCAATACGACCACGGCCACCAGAGTCTCTGGGAAAGCAGGCTGGAGAAGACAGCACCAAGCAAGAAGCCGCCAGGAGCAGTGGCACCGAACAGGCAGAAGATCATGTTCTGACGCAGGCCTGGCTCGTAGCAGCGACTGACAATGGCGATGGCGTTGGGCAGTAGGAACGCTGGGCCTAGTCCCTGCATCGTCCGGCAAACGATGAAGAAGGTAGGGCCGCTATACACAGCGACCCCAGCGAGACATGACCACAGGGCAAACCAGACATAGCCGCCGACGAAGAAAGGCTTGTGCCCAAAGACATCACCGAAGCGGCCTGCGATGAGGATGAAGGTGCCGACGGTGAGCGAGTAGCCAGAGGAGAACCAGCTCAGCTTGCCAGGCTGGTCGTCGATGCCAAAGGAGCGTCCGATGATGTGTTGAGGGACTATGCTAAGGGCCAGGCCGGCTTGAGTGAGAAGCTGCGAGGAGCAGATGATGGCGATGAAGAGGACTTCGTTGGGGAGAGACTTGGGACGTTGGACTTCATCACTGTACTGACGGACTTCACTGTACAGATGGTCTTCACGGTCTTCAATCTCTCCACAGACATCGCAAACCTGACGGAATTGACGGTCAGGTTCGCTGGGTAGCGCTTGTGGTGGTTGTTCAGACATTTTCAGAATGATGTGGTTGACAATGCTGGGGATAGCCCTAGAGACTTAGAAAAGGAGGAATGGGGACGGAGTATTCGATCGCAGGCTGTGCTCGTCAATTTGTCTACTCCGACATGATTACTGTTCTTTGATCCAACATTAACGGGCCGTCTGACTGCAACTGTTTCATTCAGAAACTTAATTGGCTGTCTGCCTGTTTCTTTCATTTGGCCCGACTGTTTCTCAACAACTTAACGCCGCCGGGCGGACATCGTGCGGCGATTGCGGAGTTACGATGTTGAGTGCGGCTATTGCGGAGTTCCCACTGCAGCGCCGCAAGATGGAAGAATATAAATAAACCGATTCAGCTGCTGGTCCTCAATCTTGTTCATCATCTTTCATTCAATCCTCAATCCTCTCAATCATCATCCGATCTGTTCATCCAATCTGTTCATTAATCAATCTCAATTCCACACAATGTCTTACGCTCAAGATCAACCCGCCGGCTTCACCAACGCCATCGAGAAAGTCGCCATTGTCGGTGTACGTACCCCAAGTACAATATGCAAACAGGATGAGACTAACAATTACTAGGCTGGAGGCACTGTTGGCTCTGTTCTCGCTGAAGCCCTGCTGAAGACTGGAAAACACACCGTCACTGCCCTCTCGCGCAAAGACAGCGCCAACAAACTGCCCGAGGGCGTTGTTGTCGCCCCCATCGACTACAACGATGAAGTCTCCATTGTCGCTGCCCTCAAGGGCCAACAATTCTTTATTATTACTGTCGCCCCCACTGCGCCCCGCGACACCCACAGCAAGCTCGTCCAGGCCGCCGCCAAGGCAGGAGTCCCCTACATCATGCCCAACGGATACGCCGGCGACATCGAGCACGTCCGATTCGGCCAGGATGTCATGCTCGGCCCCGTGGCCCAGGCCAACCGCGACGAGATCGAGAAGCTCGGCATGCAGTGGATCACCGTGTGCTGTGGCTTCTGGTACGACTACAGTCTCGCGGGCGGAGCGGCGCGCTTCGGGTTCGACTTTGACAAGAAGGAACTGACCCGCTACGACGATGGCAACACCAAGACTTCCGTCTCGACTCTAGCCCAGGTCGGGCGCGCTGTTGCGACTGTGCTGAGCCTGAAGGTCCTCCCCGATGACGAGAACGACAAGAGCCTGACTTTCTCGAGCTGGCTCAACAAGCCCGTCTACCTCAAGAGTTTTGTCGTCAGCCAGAACGAGATGTTTGAGAGCGTCAAGCGCGTGACTGGCACGACCGACGCCGACTGGACGATTTCCCAGGAGGATGCCCACAAGCGATACGCAGATGGTCTGGGGCTGGTCAAGACCGGCAACATGGCTGGCTTTGCTAAGCTGCTCTACGCGCGAGCATTCTTCCCAGAGGACGCTGGCAACCACGCTGACAAGGCGCAGAACGAGCTGCTGGGCTTGCCGGAGGAGAAGCTGGACGAGGCCACCCAGGTTGGGATTGATATGGTCAAGGCGCTCCAGAGCCGTGCGGAGCGCATGGCTTCATAGATGTACATTCTTTTCTTAGAATTTAGCTTTCAGAGATATACACTGTTATTTCTTAATTGAAATCGTTCGTGTTTGATCCAGGTGACACAGCATAATAGCTTAAACCAAGTAGTGACCTAATACAGATTGTGTAACGAGTTATCTTTCAGCTCAACCCTGAATCTTCAGCTGCTGGGATAAGGCAGACAATGACTCTCATTCGTCTCTGAGAGTATAAGCTCAAATAATTGCCCGGGGGCTTAGATATACCTGCATAATCTGCACGATCTAAGCCCCACCTATTTTCAGCATTATACTAGTGGATAGTGTAGAGTAGGCTTGCAGTATTTGGGGGCTCGTGCTATCTAACATAATCTAGACTAGATTCTGTCGCTTTCGCTATTTCCGCTACTCTTACCCCTTATATCTTAAATTACACAGAGGGCCGAAGAGAGGAACAGTATTAGAACTATAGATACCTAGTCAGTATGTCTATCCTAATGGCCGATCGAGTTCGAGAGATATGTGTCGGACTGGGCCGCCGCCCGTTGATCAACCATGCAAGCCTCCTTGGCCGAACCATAACAATGCTTGCAAGGAATACACAGCCATTGTTGGCCATTGTTGGATTTGGCAACACGAGAAACGGGCCAATGGCAAAAATGCCGCAGTTTCAGCTGGGACCAGCGTACAGGGGCCAAGGGCGCGATACGAGACGACATTCGGCCTAGGGGCCAAACTACAGCAAGCCCTAACAGCTGAAACAGTGAGACCTGGGGCAGAAACCAACACTGCAACGGAATAATTCAACTCCTGGCCGAGTCAGAGGCTCAGGAGCTAGAGCAGACCAAGCTTCACTGTATAAGCGTCCGGAAAAAGTCATGTCCTGCGCGTTATGCTGTTGTACTGCGCCCTCGATGGCTGCGCCCTAGCTCGCCGCCCATCAGCACATGGGGGATGGCTGACGCGAGATGCAGCCAGCTCCACTTGGAATTCAGAGTATAGGGCTCGCTCTGATGTACTTATATACACTTCAATACCTAGATCTAACCATGGGTTAATATATCAATCGATAGAAGAGAAGAGATTGCACACTCCAGACTGATTCAAGATGGTGAGCCAACGACAACAGCCGGGAATTGCAGTAGGTCTCATCGTCTATTCAGCGAGGTCTATACTGACCGAATGCAGTGCGAAGAGTGTCGACGGCGTAGAATCCGCTGCGATAGGAGACGACCTCAATGCACAGCATGTGCTACATCCGGCGTCGAATGCATAGTGCGAGACAGCTGCCCGGCTCGAGGGCCCAAGAAAGGATATCTCAAGACGTTGCAGAAGAGGATAGAGGAGCTCGAGGGCCAGCTGGAAAAGCAGGGGACCTCTCCAGCACCAACCTGCCAGACCGTGGACATCGACGGCAGCGCAGACAACGAAATCCAGACCGCAACGCCCGAAACAACTGATTTCCTGCAGTGGCCGGCAGTACCGGTCGAATTCCCATTTCCTACGATGGAGCCCTGGGAATGTTTCGATGGTTCGTACTCGGGCTCGCTTCTTCCATTGCCGCCAGTGGATAGTGTGCTAGTGGACAGTGTGTCAGAGCTGGTCCAGATGCCAATGGAATGTGGCCTCATGATCCCTCCGATGATGCACAATGACCTGTACGTCTTACCCTCCTTTGATGTCGCCAACAGCGCTAATATGGCGTAGAGACCAGCTGTATTTTGACCGGGCATATGCATTTGCACCAATCATCCATGCCCACCGCTACCGTGCATGGTCTAAACTGCCAAACAAGAGCAAACAGAGAACATGCCTGCAGTACGCGATGTGGACATTGGCTTCGTCACTATCCAGCCAGTTCCATGTTCAAGGTGGCAAGTTGTACGCGAAGACGAGGCAGCTTCTGCACGAGCTCGAAGCAGAGGAACCCTGCCACCAAATTTCTCTGGAACAAATCCAGGCTTGGGCATTGGTCTCAATCTACGAGCTGACCTGTCAGGACTTCCACCGAGGCATGATGTCCGCCGGCAGAGCTCTTCGTCTGATTCAGATGATGAGACTCTACGAGATCGACATGCCTCGATCACCTCACACTCAGGTAGACCAGTACCAAAGACCGCTCAGTCCGAGCCAGGAGGACTGGGTAGATATCGAAACGAAGAGACGGACCTTTTGGTTTGCATATCTCATTGACCGCTTCACGAGTATGGTGGACGGGCTACACATGTTCTTTGACGAGCGACTGGTTAGTCTGATCCTTGAAAAAGAAAGTACAGATATTGACTCATCTAGATACGAGCACGCCTACCAGCTCCAGAGGCCAACTTTCTCAGCAATCGCCCCACGGACATGAGTTTCCTCGCGGACGTTGTTCCCGATGGCAGCGTCGAGTGGCCACACAACAGCTTATCGCCCTTTGCAGAGTGCATCATCGGGGCCACCATGTGCGGCCGGGTCCTCCAGCATAAGCAGAACGCTCCGACAAGACCGTGCGAGGAGTTCTGTAATCGACATCGAACGCTGAATGCACTACTGGCGCAGCGGATCCGGATGCTCCGAATCTACGCATCCCTGGAGTACCCGGACCCCATCATCGCCTTTGTTGCTCTGACGGCACAGATCGATGTGCTGATGCTCTACGACCTGATTGAATCCAAGCCGTTAGGGACTGGAGTGGAGGGAACGCAGCTTGCCCAGGCCCTGCACGCAGAGCACCAACAGCAGGCTCTCGATGCCGTGAACGATATCTCTCTGTTAGTGGCCGTTCTTGGCCAGCACTTCCAGGTATGCCAGTCTAGTGTGATAAAGTGTAAGCTGAGCTAAGATGAGCAGATGCACCCTTTGACCCCGATCCTGCTCCTGTTGGGAGCTAGATTCTCTCAATCCCACCCCGAGCTGAACGACGCCTATATCAAGCTTATGCCAAACATCTTAACAATGTTGCAAGCCTCGACGGGCCTCAACAAGCTTGCACAGGGGTTTCTTCAGATGTTAAATCCCCAGGGCGACACGTGGTGTGGGTTTACTTAATTTCTCTCCCTCTCTCTATGTAGATTTCACGAAGTATGATCATGATTAGCTTGGACGGTGCTTGGAGTTTGAGTTTGGTTTTAGCTATTTAATCCTGTGTATAGAGGGGCAATTAGAATGTTTCAATTCCACTGTTAATTGTTAATTGTCCATTGTCCATCAAGTGGTGATTCATAGGCGTTGGGGCTGACAGCTGCATGACACAGCCCGCGTGGCAGGACAACAGGCTGCATTAGTTCAGATCTAAATCTGTCCAGTATCTTCAGGTACTCAGGTCCCCGGGTCCTTACGGCAGAGCGCGTAATAGCCCGTACCCAGTACTCGGGAAGCTAGGGTGATTATGCGAGGGACTTGGAGGACCCCACGTCAGCGTGAGGGGTGGCCCTTACACTCTTTCTAAAGGCTAGGAACAGGGCGAGAATATCGCTAGTAAAGAGGAGCGATGATACTCCGGAGTATAAAAGTGTTGCTGTTGGAAGGAGGTTTGTTGGAAGGTGTTGGTAGGAGCTTGTTGGTGCAAGAGGTTTAACTATACAAGCAGGATGGACATTAATCAGTCCGGAGGAAAGAGAACAAACGAGTATAGCTGTTGGAAGGCTTTATTGGTAAAATTTCTAACGCTCTATACACAAGATAACAACAGTACAATCTATTAGAGGCAACAATACAATCTTCAGGCGAAATGCCTGCTCTTCTCCGCCACCAACCCAGCCAACGCATCCAGACTGGCCGTCTGCAGGATATTGAAGATGGAAATGTCCGCCGCCGCCTGCAATGCAAGCATATTCCTCAGCTCGACTGCAATCAGCGAGTCGACCCCAAAGTGTGCCGGCGGCTTACTGAGATCGATCTCCGCGATAGGCGTCATGAAGATGTCTGCAAGCTTCTCCGCAATAGCCGCCCCAATGAGCCCTGCGCCTTCTTGCGGGTCACTGGCTTCTGCGAGTTGTGTCGCAAGCGAGGCACTGCTGTTTTCGCCCTCCTGTCGCGCTGAAGCCTTGCTGTGCGGTTTTAGCGCCGCATACCGCGCATCACGGCCAAGCTGGGACCGCCCGTTGGGATCCCAGTGAGGACCCGGGGAGGAGGTAAGACCGACAATGACCTGAGACCGGCCCAGGGGGTGTAGAACCGCAGCGTTGAGGGCACGGATCACAATAGCCTCGTCGAGCATGGCGAATTCGCCGTCCTTGCGCAGGCGCTCAGCGACCCTGGCGTCTGTCGACACGTAGCCAATATCAGATATAGGACCTAGGTCAATGGCCACGCCAGGCAGGCCCTGGGACTGGCGCCAGCGAGCCATGGCGTCCTCGTAGGAACCACCGGCGGCGTAGTTGCTTTGCGATGCGATGCCTGCAACGCCCGAGACAGACGACAACATGACGAAGAAGTCGAGCGAGTCCGGCTGCGAGAACTCGGTGTGCAGGTTCCAGGTGCCGTACAGCTTGGGACTCAGACCACTGCGCCAGTCGTCGAGAGTCATCTGCTCGAAGATAGCGTCGCGCAATAACATGGCGCCCTGGATGACGCCGCGCACTGGGGGGAAGCCGTCGTCTTCGCAGGCCCTGAGCGCCATGGTCAACGAGCTGGGGAGCGAGACGTCGCAGCTGACGGGCTTGACTCGACAGCCCATCTGGCGCAGCTCGTTGATGAAGAGGGCACCGTCGCTGTTCTGGTTCTGCTCGAGATCGAGATTGCCAGCACTGCGAGACAGCAGGATCAGATTCTGGGCGCCGTGAGCCACCAGCCAGTGTGCGACTGAACGTCCGATGCCCCCAACGCCTCCCACGATGAGGTACGATGCGTCAGGGCGTAGTTGAGCTCGAGATGTCAAGCCCTTTGGTCGGGGGACCACGGAGACCTGTTCGTCGGGTCCAGCTGACAAGACAACTTTCCCCATCTGGTCGCCGGTCTGGACGAAGCGGAAAGCCGCCTGGACATCCTGTATGGGGTAGACAGTAACAGGCTGAACCGGCTTCAGCTTCTGCTGTTCGACCAGGCCGGCGATCTCCCCAAGCGCACGGTGCACATCGGGTCCTCGGCGCTGCAAGAGAGTCGGGACGTCCATTGATATGAACGAGATGCCGCGCGAAAACGACTCGAGCGCCATAAGGCTGTTGCTCTCGACATCTGCCTTGCCGATATGCATCAAATAACCAAGAGGCGCAACTGTGCTGAGACTTTGTTGCAGTAGTGGACCAGAAAGCGAGCTGAGCACGAGGTCCACGCCGCGTCCCTTGGTGGCAGCCAGAACAGCCGGAGCAAAGGATGCATCGCGGCTGGTGAAGATACGCTCAGAAGAGATGCCGTATTCGCGCTCGAGCAGGTCTCGCTTCTCAGGGGAACCGACTGTAGCGTAGATCTCGGTGACACCCAGGTGCTTGGCCAGCATAATGGCGGCCTGTCCGATGGCCCCAGCTGCAGCATGGATAAGAACGGACTGACCGGCTGTTAGGCCTGCACTCCTGACGAGTCCAAAGTAAGCAACTGTAAAAGCCAGGGGAAATGATGCAGCGCTGGCAAAGTCCATGTCCTTTGGCATCTGGACGACCCCATGCCATGGGACGCGGACAGTGCTGGCGAAGAATGTGCCGGTCGAAAGGGCCATGACACGGTCACCAACTCTGTATCCCTTGGCCTCAGCCTCAGAGCCAAGTCGCGCAATGATACCGGCACATTCGAAGCCCATGGACTGGTCCTTGAGCTGTCCCATGGCGGTCATGACATCGCGGGAGCACACCCCGTGAGCGCGAGGGGTGATCTCTACAAGCTCTGGCGATAGATCATGGACTTCCTCATTGTCGACAAAGGCGAGCGTATCCAGATGTCCTGGGATGCCAACTTGCAACCGGAGTGGTCGGTCTTGGAAGAGGCGCTCCAAGGGAAGGCTGCTCTGGTCACTCCAGCTCGGCACAAGCGGGCCAGTGACCATGTTGTTGTATTGCTCGTCCTTGTAGTAGCGAGGAACATGCAAGAGACCGTTTCGCTCGGCGTACTCGAACTCGGCTGGCCCGGTTTGCGTGCTGCCATGGCCGAATCCCTGCTCGAGGACCTGCACGATGGCCGACGCGGCGATATCTGAATCCGCACCAGCACCTGCATGAGGGTCAAGGTCCACGGAGATAAAGCGGCGGGTTATGTATTCGTTGCGCAGCACACGCAAGAAGCCCTGGTGCACTGCCCGTTCCGGGGCCTCGCTCTCAACAGTCCCCCCAGTCGTGACCCAGAGCAGACCACTGCACTTCGTGACCATTGCACGGAGGCCTTCCATGCGCACTGCGTCGAGGTCCGTCATAATGGGCCGGTCAATCTCGCCAATGAACACACAGATCTTGTCCTTGAATGCGTCGCCGCTGCTCTGTTCCAGCACGAGGTGCGCTGTGGCGGTCCCGGTCAAGGCCTGGATGCGCTGGCATAATTGGTCGACAACGGCGGGTGAAGGAGCTGTCTGCATGCTGGAAACAACTGCGAAGCTGTCTTTCACCTTACTCAGGTCGGCTTTGCCCTCGACAGGCACAGTGGACATGATGACACTGCTGGCATGGACATCGCCCTCCGAGTCATGAAGCTCAATGTCGACACCACTGAAGCCGGCATCTCGAAGCACGGCGTCCGCATCAACCTGGTCCTTCGTCGTCTCTGCAAAGAGTAGCGTGCCTCCTGGCTTCAGCAGAGCGTGTACATGTCCCAGCGCACTGGCCGGCTGGGCAGTGTATAGGGCATGCAAGGATACGACAACGTCGTAGCTCTCTGGGGTGAACTTCTGCTTCGATGGACTCTGCTCGATATCGAGCTGGTCAAACTGGAGCAAGTCCTCCCAGTCGGCAAGCTGAGCACGCGCATCCTCCAGCGCTTCTGCCGATGGCTCCGTGATGTGCCAGCTGGCCACCAGGCTCGTGTTAACGCTCTCCAGTATGCGTCGTGTGGCGAGGGCATCAGTACCGCTGCCAATCTGGAGGACGCGAATACCTGGGGTCTTGTGTGCAACTATCTGTATCAGAGCAGAGAGCTGTCTGAGGGACGACTGATGCATTGAGTCGGCGCTGTATTCATTTGTCAAGCTAGACGCCAGCTGCTTCTTCATCAGCTCGAAGGCCAGCGGGCTTCGAAGCGAAAGATCCGGCCCCCAGACAAGCTTGCTGCACACCTCCTCCGAAGTGCTGGCTGAGCCCGAGCTGCCCCTGCCCAGTGACGCCAGCTCGACGCCCTCCATCTTGAGCACTGCATTGTCGGTCTCGCCGTCGAACACTGTAATATCGGCCCTCCCGCGCTGGGGGTCGTCATGAAGAAGGGACGTGTCGCACTGCAGCGTGTGGCCGATCTGGCGGCTGATATTGCTGGATATCCACATCGATCCAACAGACCGCGGCAACTTGGGCTCTTCCTGCAACGCTCCGACACTGGGGAGGGCGGAATAAAAGGCCACAACGACAGCATCAAGCGTAATTGGGTGCAACAGGCTGTTCTGCGCTGCCACCTCGGGGTCTGTATCAGACGAAGCTTCGTGGCGGACCGTGATGTCGCAGATGGACCGCGGCTCACGGCCATCCTGGATGATCTGGTTCGTGTTTTGGAAGAGAGGGCCGTGATAGACACTGCGTGCCCTGAGATTGGCAAACAGATCCTGGGGGTTTGGCTGGCGAGTGTACGTCGACAGTGGGCGACGACGTTCAGTCTCCACGACAGCAGACTCTATACCAACCATGCCTGTAGCGTGCAGTGTCCACTTGTTCTCCAAAGTGACTGACGAGACCTCGAAGCGCCACCAGCCTTGAGCCCCAATCTCACGCTCAGGGACAGCCTGCAGCGTGGTCCGGATCTCCACGCCATCCGCGTTGTCTGGGATAACAAGGGCAAACAGGAAGTTGACATCGCGCAGGCGAACTCCTGAGATTGTCTTGGCCTGGCTAGTTAATTGCCTAGCAGCCTCGATTGCAAGGCAGATATAGCCAGCGCCTGGGTACACAATGCTGCCTTGGACCATATGGTCGCGCAGCCACGGAGTCTCAGTGACACGCAATACCCTGCGCCATACGGACGCACTGGGGTCATTTCCAGCAACAGGCATGCCGAGCAGCTCATGAGGAGGCTGGCTGCGCTCGCGAATGGCACGGTTGACTCTGGACTCTTGCCAGTGGCGCATCGTGTGGTTCCAGGGATACGAGGGAAGATCAGTCAAGACCTTGGGCTCCTCGTCGTATGCAGGCACGGGGAAGTTGATCTGGTCCATGACAAGGGCCTGTCCTTCACGGAAGAGATTGATTGCAGCGGAGCGCATACTGTCGCCCGCGTGCTCGTCGCGCACCAGACAGCCCCAGTATGGAAGCTCAATGCCTTCGAACTCGGGCAGGGACAGGATCTCGCGGATGGGACCTCCCAGGGCTGTATGAGGACCAACCTCGAGAAGGACATCAACGCTTCTACCCGTCGGGTCATCAGGATCCCCGAGGACCAGCTCGGTCAAGGAGTCGACGAACTCGACTGGCTGCACCAGACTGCCGACCCAGTGGTCGGGGCTGGCAATCTGCTTGATATCGGTGATGCGCCCGCCAGTGACTGCGGAGGAGAAGACTGCCTTGAGCTGCTGGTCGCCTTTGACTGCGCTCTGGGCCATCTCGATTCGAAGACGCTCGCGGTAGGCATCAGCAAAGGGGTCCATGTGGTGTGAGTGGTATGCCTGCTGGACCTTGAGACGACGGGCAAACACGTCGTCCTGCTTGCACAGGTCGGTGATGTCGTCAACGGCATCTTCATCGCCAGAGATGGTGACACTCTGAGGGCTGTTGACGCATGCAACCACCGCTTTGCCCTTGGTCAGCCTGTTCAAGTAGGGCTGCACTGCGTCAACACCCAGCCCGACTGCCGCCATAGCACCTGTAGCAGAGTCCGGTGCGCGCAGTGTCTCGTCTGCTACAAGGACAGCACGGAAGTAGGCTGTAGCTATGGCCTGCCTATGCGTGAGGGCTCCGACAGCAAAAGCCGCTGAAATCTCACCGGACGAGTGGCTGGCGACTCCTGATGCCGTGATGCCCCAGGACTCAAGCAGACGGACCAGCGCAATCTGCAGAGCTACACATATGGGAATGCTGATCTTTGTGTCATGCACCTTTGATGTCTTCTTGTCACGCTGCAGCTCCTCGATCAGGGACCAGTCAGCCCCAAGGGCGTTCAGGTACGTCTCAGCCTCTTCAATGGACTGGCGGAAGACAGGGTACAAGGTCAGTAGCTCACGGCCCATAGCATACCACTGCGCGCCCTGGCCGGTGAATACCATGCCAATGCGAGGGCTCTCAGAAGCTCGACGGGCTGGCTTGAAACGAGGCGATTCAAGGGCCTGGATGGCAGAGTCGAGAGTCCCGTTATCAAGACGGACTTGGTGCGCTGCAACCCACTGGAAGAGGGTCCGGCGCTCGCCCAGGGTGTAGCTTAGATTCTGCAGCAGCTGTTCAGCTGCTTTAGCGTCCAGCGACTTGTGTCTTTCCAGATAGTCCTTGAGATCGGACACCATTTGCTGGCAGCCTCGTTCGTCGCGCGCACTGAGGACGAGTACTTTGGCGTCTGCGACACCGTCCGTGCCATTGACGAGTTCAAAATCCAGGTCTGATGCCACAGTCCAGGGGTCGGCGTTCTCCATAATGACATGGGCATTGGCACCGCCGTAGCCAAAGTTGTTGATGGACATGCGACGAGGGCCATCGACCAGACTGTCAGGCCACTGCTCCATCTTCCTCACCACCTGGAGTCGCCACTCGTCCAGCTTCAGTTTGGGATTGGGCGTTTCGTAGTTGACCGTAGGCGGAATCAGTCCTTTCTCGAGGCACAAGACACCCTTGATCATGGCAGCAAGACCCGACACGGCCTCGGTATGGCCCACATTGGTCTTGACGGAACCAATGCGCAGATAGTGGTCCTTGTCGTCGCGGCCCTGGCCTTGGCTGAAGATCGTAGCCATGGCCTGCGCTTCAATTGGGTCACCAGTCGGCGTTCCGGTGCCATGGGCCTCGAAGTATTGGGTGCCGCGAGGGTCCAGGCCAGCACGGCTGTAGCATTCCCGCATGAGATCTACCTGCGCTGCACCGGATGGCGTAGTAATTGTGTCCGTCTTGCCATCCTGGTTCAGCGCTGTCTCACGGATCACGGCACGAATGGGGTCATTGTTAGCCAGGGCATCCGATAGTCGCTTGACGATGATGGTGGCCACGCCCTCTCCGCGGCCATACCCATTGGCACGCGAATCAAACGAGAACGACCGCCCATCAGGCGACAGCATCCCCAGTGATCCGATGGCCTTGAAGGTGTCCGGATTAAGCATCACGTTGGCGCCAGTCACCATGGACATGTTGGCCTCGCGGTTGCGCAGGGTCTGGACGGCTTGGTGCAGGGCCACCAGCGTCGTCGAGCAGCCGGTTTCGAGGGTCATGCTGGCACCCCGGAAGTCAAAAAAGTGCGAGATGCGGTTGGCTGACATGGGACTCCATGTACCGACGACGTTGAATCGGGGCAGTCTGTCTTCGTCGCGGATGATTCCCTCCTGGTAGTCGTGGGCGAAGACGCCGGCGAAGACGGACGTCTGAGACCCCATTACGCGGGACAGGGGGAGGCCAGCTGAACTAATTAGCCAATGTCAAGATAGCTGAAAGCAAGGACAGACCGTTTTCAAGCGCTTCATAAGCGGATTCAAGCTGCAGGCGGAATTGAGGGTCGACCACCTGGGCCATCTCCGCCGAGTAGTTGAAGAAGGCTGCGTCAAATGCTGCGACATCTTCGTCGAGAAAGTGCCCTCCTTTGACATGTGTCTGACTGGTCAGTCGGCCTCTAGGGTATTCGTGCAAAGAGCTTACCGTGCTGGTTCTTTCGTGGTTTGCGTGGTAGACTCCTTTGAGGCTATACCGGTCCTCTGGAATCTCACTCCAGCCGGTCTTGCCTGATGCCATCAGGTCCCAGAGCTTGTCTGGATTGCTGGCACCGCCGGAGAACTTGCAGCTCATGCCGATGATGGCAATCGGCTCACTGGCCCACTCGCTGTCGGTGTCCATTGTAAGTAGAGTAGTAGAGTAGAGTATTTAGTTGCGGGTAGATAGAGCAGCAGTATGAAAGATGGCAGAGGACAAAGGGCAGGGATTGAGAGACTAAAATATTGTGAAGATGAACATGCTATATACATGTATACGCCTTTTTGATTCACCGAGCTTCTCAGACTCTGACAGTAAGAATGGGGGCTATCCATGCCAGCCCTAAGCCTGGGGCTGTGTCGCTCAGAATAGTTACAGCCTCAGCGCTGCATTTTTTGTCCGCACGCGACAACTTCGACCGATCTCACGTCAGGCGGAAATACGATCTTGATGCTGTACTCCGTCTGTATTTAAGGGATGTCTTGTAGCTCGACATCAGCCAACTTCCATCCTCAATCACTCTACAATCTACAACCACTACAACCACTACAACCACTCCAATACAACATGCCTCGAAACGGAACTCCCCTCCCTGCCAAACTGGCCGGCCCCCCTCTCACCGACCGCGAGGCCATCGAGGACGCCTGCTACCGCGCCTTCGCCTCCATCGACCACGCCAGCGAGGAGTTGCTCGAGTCCACCGCGACGCCCGACATCTACACCGACATCGCCTTCAAAGCATGCGAGGGCTACGACGAGCTCAAGAACAAGGTGTGGATCAACGTCGCCGAGCGCGTTGACACCGTCCACTATCTCTCCAACGTGCGTGTCAGCGTCGACACCGAAACCACTGCCCGCGTCACCTTCAACGCGCAGGCAGTGCACTGCATCTTGGGCCAGGGCTACGAGCCAGACTCGCCCAAGTTTATTACCGGCGCATTCTACGCCTGCGATGCGGTCAAGGTGGACGACCTTTGGAAGCTGAAGACGATGAAGTCGACTCATGTTTGGTCGACTGGCGATCGTTCGATCATGAAGCCCCCGAGCAGTGAATAGATAGTCTAGATATTTAATCTACTCGACAATTAGATACTCTTATCTTCGAAATCCAGTGTTGCCTGTCTCAATTCTTCAGTCAGTAAGTTGCTTGGTCACCGAGTAGAGTCCTTAGCAATGTCTGCTTGGAGCAATCAGCAATGTATCAACTTCACAGGACAGGATTAAAACAAACAGATGGGCGGGATAAGATGAAAGGATGCGTTCATTGCACAAGAAAGGACAATTGATTCAAAGAACTATCAGACTATCTACATTTCCGGTGACTCCTCGCCAACGCACGCAGCTCCGGCTCGAGAGGCGCCAGCACATCATAAGTCACCACTTTCTCCCAGTTCTCCTCGAGCTTCTGCTTCATCCGCTGGGGATCGCGGCCTGTCGGTCCGTATCTCCAGTGGTACATTTGGCCCATCTGCCGCGAGTGGTGGTGGATCCACCGGCCTCGCTCCAGCCTTGCTGCACTGTACGTCTGGAGCGCCTCTCCCAACGCCTCCTTCAGCTCTTCCCCAGCAAGGGCCTTGTGCTGCACCGACTCCAGGAGCGTGCAGATGACGATGGCGTCCTCAACGCCGGTGCAGGCCCCCACTCCCATATACGGGGTGCTGGCGTGTGCAGAGTCGCCGACGAGACAGACTCGACCGCGGGCATATGTCGAGGGCGGGTTATCTTCCAGATCAAAGATCCCCCATTTGACAACCTTCTCCGGATAGAGCTTCCAGATGTCAGCGACCTGAGGGCTGAAGCCCTGGAACACCTTTGCAATCTCGCTGCGGTCGACTTGGGCCGTCATCCTGTCGGGGTCAGGAAACTCCGACTCGTCGTAAGCAAAGACGGCGATGTTGAGCACCGTCATCGACATGACTGGATAGCAGAGCAGGTCCGCATTTGGACCTAGATGGTTGCAGGCGTTCTTCGCAACCTTCTCGCCCAGGGCCTTAATGCCCACATCGATGGGGACCATGGTGCGGTACGTGACGGTGCGACTGAAGCCTGCCTTGCTCTCGCCCCCCAGCATGATTCTCCGTGTGGCTGAATGGATGCCATCACAGCCGAGCAGGACATCGGCCTCAGCGGTGCTTCCATCGTCGAAGTGCAGAATAACCTTATCGTCGACCTCCTCGTAGCCCGCGAGCTGCTTCCCAAAGACCGTCGCGTCTTCCGGCAGCATATCCGCCATCCCCTTGAGGAACTGCGAGCGTATGCAGCCCCAGAAGCTGAGGTTGTTTGTAGGCGTCCGGAAGAGCAGGGACTTGGACTCGTCTTCAGCTTCCTCGTTTGTGCGAGGGTGGAAGCCATTCCAGTAGGCGTTGCTGGTGGTGGCGTCGGACTTGCCGCTCATGCTGCCCAGCAGCTCGACGAGAGCTGGGTCGATCATCTCCATCCACTCTCGCGCTGCGCCGCTGAATGCAAAGCCGGCACTGACCTCGTGCCAGGTCCGGGCTCGCTCGTAGATGATTGCGTTGATGCCGCGGCGACGCAGGCCGATTGCTGTCATGACGCCGATGATGCCGCCGCCGACGACGGCGACTTGGAGGGGGGGTGCAGTGCTTCCCATGGTGTTAATGAAGTGAATGGTGAATGGTGAACATTCAAATGGCACCGGAGAGATCTATACCTCTATATATCCATGTCCAATTACTATAAATATGCCGGAGCTGAGTCCGGACTTTGGATTCCCCTGTAAGATCCTTCCACCCCCGGAGTATACGGAGTCTATATACGGAGTCTATATGCACGAGCCTGTAGGCAAGCGGAGTCTTATGACTCGGAGCAATAAATGCATGACAATATGCGGAGTCAGACCGCGTCAAGGTAGATCGAATGCTTCCACATGCTCGACAGACTCACATATCTGCCTTAACGTTACCCCGGCCTAACATGTCCAGCGTAGAGCAAGAAACATGAAGCATTTTGCTTAGGCTGATAAGCTTGGGGCTGAGTCGCTGATACTTTGTCCGGATCGAGTCAGCTTAGGATATTGCTTGGTAGCCCTAAGTGTCTACAGTATTTATACAATTGCATGGACTTTCCTGCCAATGTATACCATTTATTCCATACCATTTCTTCATTTATTCCAGTATAGAGGCCCTACACAACATACACAATGAAGCCAAACACTCCAGCAACAAGTCTCATCTTCGGAGGGCACATCGGCCCCCAGACCAAAAACTCCCTGGAAGCAGAAGTCCGCAAGATTGTCAACGGCCCCAATGGAGGATGGATACTCGACACCCTGGCCGGCATGCCACGGTACTGGGAGGCCGTGACAGAGAAGATCCCCGAACTGGCCAGTACGATGCAGGGCCCTCGCCTGCTGGCCGACCTTGAGTCGTGGTTTCGCGGTTCTGACTCGGTCGACTCGCTCGCTCCAGACACGGAGCTCCCAGATCTGTGGCTCGGGATTCTGATGGTCACCATCCAGCTGGATCAGTACTGGCGCTATCTGGAAAGTCGATTCGCCGACAAAGCTGTCGATGACCTACAAGCCGAGCTGGTCAAAGAGGACAAGGTCGAGGCAGTTGGGTTCTGTGCAGGCATGATCGCCGCCGTCGCCATTGCCAGTTCCCACACTCGACAAGAATTCGAACAGTACGGCGCCGTTGCCCTGCGCACCTCGGCTCTGATGGCAGTCCTTGTCGGTGCCACCGAGGAGTGGACCAAAGCCAAGGGCAAGGGCAGGTCGGTCTCGCTGGCCACAGCCTGGAGAACCCGCAAGCAGGGTGAGGATCTGGCACGCATCGTCTCGAAGCTGTCTCCCGATGCCTATATATCTGTTATCCTCGACGACTCCCGAGCCACTGTGACAGTATCAGAACGCCTCGCACCCAAACTGGCCCGGCAGCTCCGAGCAGCTGGCGTCACGGCCATCCAGCTCGCTATCAAGGGCCAGCTGCACTCCCCGACAGTAGAGCGCGCACGCCTGACCGAAGCTGTGATCGAACTGTGCCAGTCGATGCCCGAGCTGCAGTATCCTGACGCGGCTCAGCTCGCACTGCCCATAAACCAGGTCTCGGGGCACGAAACGGGTTTGGTGGGGATGGTCCTGCGCTCTATGCTGGTGACGCAGTTGGACTGGACCACCACCGCTTCGAAGCTGGGCCTGAGCAAGGACGAGCTCGCACGCGTTGAATTTGGGCTCGACCGACCCCTTCCTCCCCCGGTGGTGCGTGCCTTTGGTGCGAAGCTGGAGTATAGGGAGATTGATGTACACGACAACAAGGAGCCTATCCACGATGCTGAACCAGTGGTCCCTACTGAATCAGTGCAAGCCGCAAATCAAGACGACAATGTAATTGCAGTAGTGGGAATGTCGCTCAAGGTCGCAGGCGCCAACGACCTGGACGAGTTCCAGCAGATGCTCAAGACCGGACAGTCGCAGCACCAGCTCATCACCGACGACCGCATCACGCCCAACATGATGTTTCGCGACAAGGATCCCAGCCGCAAGTGGTATGGCAACTTTGTGCGCGACCCAGACGCCTTCGACCACCGGTTCTTCAAGAAGAGCCCGCGCGAGTCGATGGCGATAGACCCCCAGGGCCGGCTGTCCCTCGAGGCTGCCTATCAAGCGCTGGAGCAGTCTGGATATTTCAACGAGCTGGGTATGGCCAGTGCTGCTGAGCAGGAGAAGAAGAAGCACGTCGGCGTCTACGTCGGGCTCTGTTCCTACGAGTACGATTCCAACGTCCACTGCCATCCCCCCAGCGCCTTTACGACGACGGGGGAGCTGCGAAGCTTCATTCCCGGCCGGGTCTCGCATTACTTTGGATGGACAGGCCCCTCGTTGACCTTTGATACTGCTTGCTCCTCGTCAACCGTCGCCCTGCACAATGCCTGCAGAGACCTGCTGTCCGGGGAGATCCCAGCAGCGCTGTGTGGTGGCGTCAACGTCTTGACAAGCCTGCAATGGACGCAGAACTTGGCCGCTGGCAGCTTCATCAGTCCGACGGGCCAGTGCAAACCCTTCGACTCTGCTGCAGATGGATACTGCCGAGGAGATGGCATTGCCTACGTCTTCCTGAAGAAGCTCTCAACCGCCGTGGCTGATGGCAATACAGTCCTGGGGACCATTCGCTCTACAGGCGTCAACCAGAATCTCAACACCACGCCGCTGTTTGTGCCCAATGTGCCGTCCCTGTCGACACTCTTCAACGAGGTGATTCGCAAGGCAGACGTTGACCCACGCGAGATTTCCCTGGTCGAATGCCACGGCACCGGCACGCCTGTGGGAGACCCTGCTGAATGGCAAAGCATCCGGAATGCCGTGGCTGGTCCTCGTCGAGATACGGTTCTGCCCATTGGGTCTGCAAAGGGGCATGTGGGCCATACTGAAGGCGCATCCGGCCTGGTCTCCCTGATCAAGGTGCTGCTGATGATGCGAGGCAACTTCATCCCTCCACAGGCCAGCTTCAACAGCATGAACCCCGGTATCAACGCGCAGCCCTCGGACAATATGGAGGTCGTCACTGCCTTACGGTCATGGCCCGGTGCTAGGAAGGTGGCTCTGATCAATAACTACGGTGCCTGTGGATCCAACTCCAGCGCCATCGTCTCTCACTCGGCGCACAAGCCTGCCAAAACTCCCTTGTCCGTTCAACGACTCCCTTTCTGGATATCCGGTCTCGATGCTAGAAGCATTGCAGCGTACAGCACCGCACTGGCTCCATACCTACAGTCGCAGGATCCCGAGACGAGCCTCGCCGATGTCTCGTTCAACATGAAATGGCAATCGAACCCCAGTCTGCCTCAAGGAATGATCTTCAGCTGCAGCTCTGTGGACGAGCTGCAGGCCAAGCTTGCCCAGGCAGCCACGGCTACCAAGGACACAGCCCCCAGTGTTGGCATTACGCCGGTGAAGCCTGAGCGGCCCGTGATCCTGTGCTTTGGCGGCCAGGTCTCGACATTCATTGGACTGGATCGCGCAGTATATGACGGGACAGCAGTGTTCAGACACCATCTAGATACCTGCAATGCCGCTATCACATCTCACGGTCTGACGAGTATCTATCCCGACATCTTCTCCAGCGAGCCGTATCAGGATACTATCAAGCTCCAGACTGCTCTCTTTGCCGCGCAATATGCCTCGGCCAAGACCTGGATGGACTGTGGGATTGCCGACAAGGTGGTTTCTGTGGTGGGACACAGCTTCGGCGAGATCACAGCCCTCTGTGTTGCCGGCGTGCTGAGTCTGGAGGACACGGTCAAGCTGATCGCCGGTCGAGCCAGGCTGGTGCAGACCGCTTGGGGGGCTGACTCCGGCTCCATGATGGCCATCGAGGCCGACGAAGCTGTGGTGCAAGCACTACTACAGGAATCCAATGCGAAGTCCGACGGAACTGCCGGTATTGCATGCTACAACGGCCCCCGCAGCTTCACCGTGGCTGGCTCAACAAAGGCCATTGACGTATTTGCCGCCACGCTGCCAGGAAAGGAGGTCAAGAGCAAGCGGCTCAACGTCACCAATGCCTTCCACTCAGCCTTGGTAGAGCGCATCGTCGACCGTCTAGGCGAGGTTGGCAAGGGAGTCACCTTCCACGACGCCGTCATCCCGATAGAACGAGCCACGGAGCATGGCGGCGACTCTGCGCCAGACTGGACCTTTGTCGGCTCGCACATGCGCCAGCCGGTCTTCTTCAAGCACGCTGTTCAGCGACTCGCAGAGAAGCATCCCGAGGCCATCTTCCTTGAAGCGGGCTCCAACTCGACCATCACCGTCATGGCATCGCGGGCCCTTGCCAGCCCTAAGTCGACGCACCACTTCCAGCCCGTCTCCATCACCAACACCAACCAGGGCATCGACAAACTCACTGGTGCCACAGTCGATCTCTGGAAACAGGGCCTGCGGGTGTCGTTCTGGGCCCACCACCGCCTGCAGAAAGATGAGTATGCGCAGCTCCTCTTGCCGCCGTATCAGTTCGAAAAGACACGACACTGGCTCGAGCTCAAGCCGCCAGTCGAGCAAGCCTTGAAGATTGCCCAAGTCGAGGATATATCCAAGACTCAGCAGGAAACCATCAACCCCAAGTCTCTGGACATGTGGACCTTCCTGGGCTTCCAGGAGAAGAAGAAGACCAAGCTGGCTCGATTCCGCATCAACACGTCCTCAGACAAGTACCAGCGCCTCTTTGCAACCCACTTCATCGCAAAAACGGCGCCCATCGCTCCAGCCACGCTCGAGATCGACATGGCCATCGAGACCCTCTTCAGTCTCAATCCGGAATGGAGACGTGATGGTTTCTCGCCAGTCATCCGCGACATGCTCAGCCACTCGCCCATGTGCGCCGACTCGACGCGCGAGTACCTGCTCGACCTGGAGCCACTCGATCCAGAAGAAACAGAGTGGCAATGGACTATTCACAGCACGGGGGCTTCTGCGAATGACAAGCACGCCGAGGGCCGCATCGCCATGCTCTCACCATCCGACCCGGCCGCGCTCCAGGAATTCAGCCGCTGGGAGCGCGTCGTCACATACGAGCAGTGCCAGGCCGTCCTAGCACTGGGTCCACACGATGAAGGCGTGGAGGCCCTCCAGGGGCGCAATATATACCGAGCCTTCGAAGAAGTGGTCGAATTTGGGCCTGTCTACCGCGGCGTGAAGTACATTGTAGGCCAGGCGAAAGGCGAGAGCGCAGGAATCGTGCACAAGCAACACTCCGGCGATACCTGGCTTGACGTCCCCAAGGCAGACTGCTACGGCCAGATTGCAGGCATGTACGTCAACCTGCTGACAGACATCCCGGCCAGCGACATGTTCGTTGCTACCGGCCTGGAGCTGGTGATGCGCGCGCCAAAGGCCCACACTGTGACGGAGGGCCGGGAGAATGGTCCAGATGTCTGGCATGTTCTTGCTCGTCATGCTCGTCAAGGTGAGAAGGCGTTCGTGACTGATGTCTTTGTCTTTGATGCCTCGACTGGTGCGCTGGCGGAGATCATCCTGGGCCTGCAGTATGTCCGCGTCCCCAAGGCTGCAATGAGTAAGATCCTGGCACGAGTGACGACGGACAAGTCGTTTGTAAGAAGCACAGCGTCGCTTCCATTGCCTGACCGAGCTCAGCCTGTTGACCGGTCTCAACCTCGTGCTGCTCCCAAGCCAGCACCCAAAGCAACCAAGGCAGATGTCAAGACAACACCTGCCAGCGGCGCACGCAATATCGCAAATGAAGTATGCAACGTGGTTGCCAACGTTTCCGGTATTGATTCCAGCGAATTGAGCCTCGACAGCGAGATGGCCGACTTGGGCATTGACTCCCTGATGGCGATGGAAGTGGCGCGCGAGATGGAGAGCACTTTCCACTGCACCCTCGACAGCACCGAGACCATGGTCGCCACGAGCATTCGCGACTTTGCTTCCTGCGTATCGAATGCACTCGCGAAGTCTGGAAGTCAAGACGGCGACTCGACCAGCACCGAGAGCGATGCGGTGCTCTCCGACTCGGAGGACGAAGACACCGTCTCTGATATCTCGACTCCGGATAACGTCTCAGTTGCCAGCAAGAGCCACGATCTGGTGAGTGGTCCACTCGTCCCAGCGATACAAGATGCTGATCGTGGCGATGTAGCAGCCCGTGAGGCAGAGGCCCTGCGTCTAGTCGAGGCCTATACAGCTGGCTGGGAGTCGCCGGCACTTAACGCCAGCTGCGCCACCACGTCCGATTCTGGAGCTGTGGTGATCGTGACAGGTGCATCTGGTAGCCTGGGATCGCATATCGTTCAAGCCCTGGCTGAGCGCCCCGATGTTGCAAGGGTCGTCTGCATCAACCGCGCGGTCAAGGACACTCCCCCGGCCAACCGACAAGACGAAGCCCTAACTTCCAGAGGCATCACACTGTCGCCAGCTGCCCGCGCAAAACTGCAGGTCTATGGGACAGATACTTCAAAATCCCAGCTCGGTCTCTCGAGCCAGGAATACACCTGGCTGATCCAGCATGGAACGCACATCATCCACAACGCGTGGCCCATGAGCGCTACACGACCACTCAAAGCCTTCGAGCCCCAGCTGCAGGTAATGCGGAACCTGCTGGATCTGGCTCGCGACATGGCCGTGGGAGCTGAGCCACGCAGGGTCGGATTCCAGTTCATCTCATCAATCGGCGTCACAGGGTTCTCGGACGAGTCTCCCGTCCCCGAGAAGCCCATGACAATGGCTGCGACAATGCCCAGCGGCTACAACGAGGCCAAGTGGGCGTGCGAGCGCATGCTGACCGACACGCTGCGCCAGCACCCTCAGCTGTTCCAGGCAATGGTGACCCGGCCAGGCCAGATTTCTGGATCTACTGCAAGTGGCTTCTGGAATCCTGTCGAGCACTTTGCGTTTATCATGAAGAGTGCGCATGCACTGAAGCTGTTTCCTGATCTACAGGGCGTGCTGCATTGGCTGCCTGTGGATAAATCCGCGAATGTCATGGTGGATCTGCTCAATATTGGCAGCGAAGACTCAGGCGAGGTCTATCCGGTCTATCATGTCGATAACCCTGTTGGCCAGTCGTGGAAGGAAATGGTGAGCGTTCTGGCAGAAGCTCTGGATATCCCATCCCATGGAGTTATTCCCTTTAAGGAGTGGATTCAGCGAGTTCGTCAGTCGTCTCTGCCACCAGCGCAGAACCCGGCGGCCATGGGGCTGGGGTTCCTTGAGAGTCACTTTCAACGCATGGCTTGCGGTGGGATCGTGCTGGACGCGCAGCATGCACAGGAGCACTCGAGAACTATGGCTTCACAGGGTCCAGTCAGTGCTGAGGTGGTCCGGTCGTATGTCTCGTCGTGGAAGGCAATGGGGTTTCTTCATTAATTTACTTGTCTACATAGCGTTGTTTATAATAGAATGTCAAACGTATCAAGTCATCGTCGTCCGCAGTAAATGTAAATATTCTATATCCAAGAGACGCATGTAAACATCATACATATTAGATCAGTCATCGTTCGAGATAACCATGTAATTTAACCCCCTGGCATATAATGCAATAGAAAGACGGCCTCATGCCGTTGGTGGCCCATGGTCGAATTGGAATATGTCCCATTTCATTTCGATAATGATGTGTCTGATATGTTTCTGGAGGTTCTGATTGATCGTATGCTATTGAACTAGCAAGCATGTCCATCCTATCTTCCAATCGTCCAATCCAGATACTCTGATCTGACAGCAGTATGACTCGAGGAGTTTTGAGCGGACTATTATAACTCCAGCAAGCCCTAAGGGAGTAACCACCCCCGAGGATACCAGAGATATCAGACGTATAAACAGCCTGGAGAACCCCCGTGGACCTGAGCAGCAGCAAACAATCATAGCCCTGAATTCCAAGATGAACAACGCAACCCTCCACCTCCCTCGCATCCTCTGCCTCCACGGTGGAGGCACCAACGCCGTTATCTTCCGGATGCAGTGCCGCGTGCTCGAAAAGCGCCTTGGCCGTTCATTTCGTCTCGTCTATGCACAGGCTCCCTTCACCAGCACAGAACCCGGGCCAGATGTAACGGCGGTCTACAGAAACTACGGGCCTTTCAGAGTCTGGTTCTGCGATCACAACATGTCCAAAGTCCTGACATCCCGGGACGTTGCTACAGCGATAGACACAAGTCTTGCACTCGCCATGGCTGCCGACGACGCCAAGGGGGCTACCGGCGAGTGGGTTGGCCTGCTGGGCTTCAGCCAGGGCGCAAAGGCAGCAGCTAGCATTCTATACCGGCAGCAACGGTGTGAAATCACCACCTTCAAGTTCGCGATTCTCTTTGCCGGCCGGGGGCCTTTGGTATGGCTCATGCCTGACCTCCCCCTGCCGCACGGTCTCGTCGACGCCGCTACACCGTTCACACACCCCTCTTCACCTTGGCTCACCATGGGCTCTGACGAGCACATGTTGCGGCTGCCGACAGTGCATGTCCATGGGGTAAACGACCCTGGCCTGGAGTATCACCGAGACCTGCTTCGGGAGTACTGCGACCCGGCACAGGCCACGCTGTTGGAATGGGCGGGCGACCATCGCATGCCAATCAAGAGCAGTGACGTCGATACCGTGGTCCAACGCATTCACCGAGTGGCGAGAGAGACAGAGACAGAGACTCCGTCTGTAATGATGACGGGGAAAGATTATGGAAGACCGGTCGAGAATGGCTTTTCGCTACAAAGTTTGAGCATGTACATTTGATTTCAGTTTATGATACCACAATACAATACCATCCTGCACACTATATGCATTATAATATTCTCTGCCAGTATGCTTATGATATACATTGTAATATTCTGTACCAGTATACTACACGATATACATTGTAAGGCTGACCCAACACCGTACTTCCTTCCCTTGACCTCTCTCGGATGCATGTCAGACCGGAACATTTATCTGAATATTTTATCAAAGTGGGTACTGTCTCGTCTGTCTTACATTCCGACGGGGAAACGATGTTGAGCGGACTTTCTCTGGGGCGAAGGACATGCAGGGGCCAAACACTGCCACTGGCTTCAGCTTATAAGACCACAGCATCCCACAAACGAGGAGCATTAAATCACAATGTACAGCTCATTAAACACCCTTGCGACCTCTTTCTATCGTACTTCAAGATATCTCAACCTCCCAAGACCCTTCTCACGGCTCGCCTACTGTCCTTCTCGCAAAATGCCTTCCATCACCACCAACCAGTGGCTCGAAGCCGCCTCCCAGCGTCGCAGTGTCCGAGCCCTGGGGGGAACCTCCAAGGTCTCAGATGAACGAGTTGGTGAGATTGTCGCCAAAGTCCTTTCCTTTGCTCCTTCGGCCTACAACACCCAGCCCGTCCGCATCTCGCTTGCCTTTGGGGAGAAGCACAAGGAGCTCTGGAGCATTATCCTCAAGGAGGCTGAGCCGATCCTCAAGTCCATCAATCCCGGTCTCTGGCAGAAGCTGGGCCCGGTTTTCGAAGGTCATAAAGCTGCATATGGATCCGTACGTTACCACTTTCTCTCTCCCACTCAGACCATCTAACAGTTGCAGGTACTCTTCTGGGAGCGCGGCGACACTGCGAAAGAGGCTGCCGAGACGCACAAGGCAACCGGACACATGTTTGGCGAGTGGGGAGAGCATGCTCAGGGCATCCACCAGATCCTTGTCTGGACTGCCTTGGACATGGAGGGAGTCGGGGCCAATCTGCAGCATATGAACGCCATTCCCCCCGTCGAGGCTGCCATCAAGAAGTTTGCAGGCGTCCCTGGAGACTACAAACTCAAGGCCCACTTGAACTATGGCGATGAGCAGGCTCCTCGTCCGGAGAGCCCGCCGAGGCTGCCAATTGCTGAAACGCTGACGATTCTGTGATATGGCATGATCTTATGGGTAGAGATATATTTGGTTCTTAGGATTTCCCAGAGCAGAGGGATAGTTTTCAGAACAAAATAAATAGCTTAGATATTCTAGAGAGAATCAATATCAATGGTCTTATAGAATAATATATCCGTGGCCTTGGAGATAGACTAATATTCGTATGTCTGCGGGAAGGTCCACGCGAGCCATTTCTCCACAGTCTGCGCCGGTCGCTTAGCGCGAGGATTATCTGTCTGGCATGATCAATATTAAATACCCCTTTGCATCATCGCCTGAATACTCTTTTCATCATTATCTGGCCTCGGATCGAGTTATCAGTGGAGCTTCTATCCTCGCCCCTCATACGTCTCCGGTCACTGACTTTGACTTCATCCCTTCTATCGCCCCTCCAACTCTGAATCAACATGGCCTCACGCGCAAACACAACAGTCGTCGTGGTCGGCGGAGGCGGCACAATGGGCTCGTCGACAGCGCTGCATCTGGTGCGCGCTGGATACACGCCGTCCAACATCACAGTGCTCGACACATACCCAGTGCCCTCGGCGCAGTCGGCGGGGAACGACCTGAACAAGATCATGAGCATCCGGCTGCGCAATAAGCCTGATCTGCAGCTGTCGCTGGAGGCGCTGGATATGTGGAAGAACGACCCGCTGTTCAGGCCTTTTTTCCACAGAGTTGGGATGGTGAGTTGCTTTTATTTTAATGGCTTCAAATCTATACTAAGAAACGAGATCGACTGCTCTTCAACAGAAGAAGGAATTGAAGCTTTAAAACGGAAATATCAAGCCCTAATCGATGCAGATGTCGGGCTGGACAAGACGAACTTCCTGCTGAGCGAGGACGAAATCCTAGCAAAGGCACCGCACTTCACCCGCGAGCAAGTCAAGGTATCTGAACCACACTCATAGCACCGCAAGTAGGGGATTATGCTCACCAGGCAGGGGTGGAAAGGCTTGTTTTGTGGCGATGGAGGTTGGCTTGCTGCTGCCAAAGCCATCAATGCCATAGGACAGCACCTCAAAGACCAGGGTGTCAAGTTTGGTTTTGGCCGGTACGTTGATAAAGCCGATACGGAAATTATTATCATACTGACAGTGCAGTTCTGGGACATTCAAACAACCACTATTCTCCGACGAGACAACATGCAGCGGCGTCGAGACCGTCGACGGCACCAGATACTACGCCGACAAGGTCGTTCTAGCAGCTGGTGCCTGGACTCCGACATTAATCGATCTCGAAGACCAGTGCGTTTCAAAGGTGAGTCCAGCAGCTATATCAACGTCAGCAGCTCATTGACTACGACAGGCCTGGGTATTCGCCCATATCCAACTCACGCCCGCCGAAGCAGCCCAATATAGAAACTCCCCAGTGGTATACGACGGCGACTACGGTTTCTTCTTCGAGCCCAACGAGTAAACTTTTCCCTCTATAGATTAATACAGTAACTAACACCACCAGGAACGGCGTAATCAAAGTCTGCGACGAATTCCCGGGCTTCACCCGCTTCAAACAGCATCAGCCCTACGGCGCCTCTTCCCCGAAGTCCATCTCCGTCCCAAGATCCCACGCCCAACACCCTACAGATACATACCCCGATGCCTCGGAGGTCACGGTCAAAAAGGCAATTTCTCGGTTGCTGCCCCGCTTCGCAGATAAGGAGCTGTTTAACCGCACCATGTGCTGGTGCACCGATACAGCTGATGCAAACGTGCTTATATGCGAGCATCCGCGGTGGAATAATTTCATATTGGCGACGGGGGATAGTGGGTACGTTCTATATCAATAAGAAGTCATAGGAATAAGACGGTGCTGACTGAACAGACATTCATTCAAACTCCTCCCAAGCATTGGAAAGCACATTGTCGAGCTCCTCGAGGGATCTCTAGCACCAGAGCTGGCTGAGGAGTGGAGATGGAGACCGGGCAGTGGCGATGCCCTGAAGTCTCGACGAGGTGCTCCTGCAAAGGACCTCGCTGATCTACCGGGGTGGAAGCACGATTAAAGATGTAGTTGATTTCATTATACAATAGTCTATGTAGGTATATGCTTTTGAGCTCGGAACGCATTATTAGGTATGAAGGAGAAAGAAGAAACGCAATTTCACGCTTCTAAGTCTAGGAATTCAAGATCCATGAAAAAACATCAAATATCACCAACCAGAGAAATATTTATGCCTTGGCCTCATTCGCCTGCTCCTCGTCATCGGCAAAGGCAAACTTCGAGAAACGGCGGATCGAGGCACCCTTGAAGTAGAAGACGTAGGGGATCGCACAGCACGCAAGAGCAATAAAGGCAAGCAGCGTGCTGGCCCACTGGTCGTTCAGACGCTCGTACATCTGCTCCGTGAAGAGGACTGTCGAGGCTCCCCAGATAGAACGCAGGAAGGTCTTGGCTGCGAGGGCAGAGGCGGCTTGGTGCTGGTACGTGTCCACTGGCGAATGTTAGTCTAGAACAAAGTATTCTTGTGTAAAACTAGGCACTTACCAAGATAGTTGTTGGCTGAGTTGTACAGGAAGATGAAGCCGAATCCGACGGGCCAGCCACCGATGGCAGGTCCAAACCAGTGGATTTGCGGGTACGAGGTCCAGGCGAAGATAAACAAACCAATTGGGATAAACCAGCAGGAGAGCATCATTGGAATCAGACGGGATTCGGCCGGGGGCTTGCCGCCGTATTTGGCATATAGCGAGAGGTAGTGCTTGTTGACGAAGGGGGAGCAGGCCGCGCTCATAACGACACCGATAGCAAGGGGAATGAACATGAGACCGGTCGATCCAGCACTCCAGCCCTTTCCGCCCTGGTAGACGATTGGGTAGGCAACGAAGAACATGTAGAGCAGGCCGTAGAGGACGGACATGTAGATAGAGATGAAGAGGACGATGGGCTCGAGGAAGAGGAGCTGGAAGGGGCGCAGGAGGAAGACGCGGAAACGCTCTCCAAGGGGACGAGCATCGAGTTCAGTCTCAGTCACATATGTCGAGTCGTTCTCCGTCTTTCTCAGTTTCTTTGCTCGTTTGGCGAGGATGGCAGGGGCAGAGGTCTCGGGGACGGTGAAGGTGATCAGGACCCAGGCGACGAAGGCGAGGATCAGGGTCAACCAGTACAGCCATCGCCATCCAGTCGCATCAGCGAGGTATCCACCGGCAAGAGGTCCGATTGCTGGGCCCAGGAAGGGACTGGCAGAGAACGCAGCCATGGGGACACCGCGCTCCTCGTTCTTCCACATGTCGGCGAGAGTCCCGCCAACCAGCGTCATCGGGGCACTGAAGGCGATACCATCAATTGCACGGCAGACGATCAAGGTACCGATGTTCTGGGCAACAGCGCATGGGATAATGAAGATGACAGCCAGCAGGAGAGTGACCGCGTAGACGGGACGACGTCCGAACATCTCAGACAGGGGGGCAAACGCCATGGGACCAACACCAAAGCCAACAACAAACACCGTCACAACGACCAGACTGACCTCGCGCGAGACCCCAAACTCCTCTGCGGGGCCTGGGATGTCGGCTGTGATGACACTACTGGCGAAGGCGACGACGAAGCAGGTAAAGGCGACAACCATGGTAATATACCACTTCTTCGCCTTGGACCAGTTCTTGGGATTCTCGGGGTCGTCGATCTTGAAGGTAACCAGCTTCCAGTCCTCTGTCTTTCCCTTGGCAGACGGAAGGGGCTTGATGATCTCGCCGGTCTGGGTCTCGTTGACATACTCCTCGATGTTGGCGTGGTCAGTCAGGGTGCGGTAGGGCAGGTCGGTAGGGTCGACCTCTCCTCGGGCAGATCCCAGCGAGAAGGTCTGGTGCAGTGCATTGTGGTCTGCTTGCTGTGACTGCATATTGGTGGTGGACATAGTCCTATACAGTATACTATAAAAGTATGTAGTGAGTAGAAAGGCAGTGAACGGTTAAGCAGGGGTCAGGAACGGGCTGAGGCGGGGTCGCCGGGTGTTATATAGCTGGCCATGGCCCATAACTCTGGAACTAAGTCCCGCTAAACAGAGAAAAACTCAGCTGAGACCAGAAGAATCGGCGCCTTCATCGCATTCCATCCTGACGTTTCGGGCCGATTTGCCTGAAGGGCCCCCGGTTTCCCGATCGGGACGGGCACGCTAGCCGTATCGGGCAATATGGTACGAGATAAGAATCGAGACTGCTCCAGCTGGCCCTCGAAGCCGTTAGCATCATCAGAATTATGGGCCAGGGGTTCCGAGTTCAAGAAGTCTATCGTCACGTCACTGCAGGGGTTTACGTTTAAATTACAATATCATGCTGGGTATCATCTCGGGCGTAGACTGCTGCCATGCTCATCGTAACTGTGATCACCTCTCAATCACCTTCTCTTCGCGGTAACGATTGATTTCGACTGCAAGGCATCGACAGCAAGGCAGCCCTGAAGTGAGTAAAGAAAAGCAAAAGCAGAAACTGCCATCAAATTGGCCCAAGCTCAGTCTCGGCCAGCTTTCCGTGCCAAGACTCGCCTTGCGCCACGGGGCATATCGCCAGATACGGTAATACCCTCCGTTTCCAAGGTCGGAAACTGCAACAGCAAAACGTCAGGGCAAGAAAAAGGGGAACGCGGAGATATAGAAAGTGATCCAGCAGGACATATTTTATTTTTGCCAGACTTTTAGCCTTCTGGGTCAATATTGCTGTATCCACCCTGCACCGTTATATACTATATGCTCCGCTGTGGGCTGCGATATATATCTCGGTCATCCACTACCACCACCACCACCAATCACCAAATAATCCTTCTTCCGATGGATCTTTCCAGCTCTTAATCGACGTAATGCAATCCTACATACCTAAGTTCAAGTTTGAACCTTTTCTACAAACGCGTACGGCGATAGTGAACGACAGCACGTGATGATAAGCCGATAAGCCGGAAGCGGACTAGCGCGGGGTTCTCAAGCAGAAATCGAGCATCGTGAATTTTCCCGCCGCCAGACGACGAGCAGCCCAGCTCTTCTCCTCGCTGAACGCCCTAATCAGTCGGAGCTCGCTCGTCGAGGAGTATCATCGCTCCAGCCAAACTCGAGGTCTTCATTGGTCCTCGTCTCGATCCCTCCCTCGACTTCCCCGCCTACTCTCGCCAACCTCCGAACTCCCCGTTGAGTCAACCACTCTCACAATGGTTTCTCCCTTCAACTCGGCGGATTTTGCCCTCCCGGGCTCCGTTGCTTTCTCCCGCTCTCGTGGTCGGGCGATTGCTACGTCTATCGGCGCGGAGGATGTCCGTGCCCAATGGATTCATTACGTCCACACCTCAGACCGTCTCGCCGAATTCCAACAAGACGTCCTCCAACAACTCCTTCACTACGGAGATATCACCGACATCCCGCCCACATTCAGTGCCGAAGACGGCGAATTTGATGTCTTCTACGTTTTCCCTCGAACCGGAACGATCTCGCCGTGGAGCTCGCAAGCCACTGGCATCGCCCAAGTATGTGGGTTGAAAAACTACGTGAAGCGCATCGAGCGTGGTATCAAGATCTCCTGCCTCCGTCCCGCGCTTGGAGAGTACAAGCCTGGTTTCAAGGATGTCCTCCACGACCGGATGACTCAGTTGATCAGTGACAGCGAGCCCGACCTGCACCTGATGTTCTCCGAACACAGCCGCTTGCCCCTCGAGACCGTTCCCCTCAGCGGCAGTGACAAGTCCCCGAAGGAAGTGCTGCAGGAAGCAAACAAGCGCATGGGTCTGGCATTGGAAGAGTCTGAGATCGATTACCTCGCCGCCGCCTATGGCCCCAATGGCCCGCTCGCCCGTGACCCCACCGATGTCGAACTATTCATGTTCGCCCAGGTTAACTCGGAACACTGTCGTCACAAGCAGTTCAATGCCTCCTGGAAAATTGATGGGATGGAGATGCCCAACAGTCTCTTTTCCATGATCCGAAACACCCACCGGAAGAGTCCTGAGTACACTGTGAGCGCATACAGCGACAACGCTGCCGTCCTACAAGGGTTCGACTCCGCCTTCTGGGCCCCTGACACCACAACTGGAGAGTGGAACCACACAAAGGAGCTCGTCCATTTCCTCGCCAAGGTGGAAACTCACAACCACCCTACCGCAGTGTCCCCTTACCCGGGTGCTGCCACGGGATCCGGAGGTGAGATCCGTGACGAGGGGGCTGTTGGACGTGGCTCTAAACCTAAGGCTGGTCTTGCCGGTTACTGTGTGTCCGATCTCCTCATTCCAGGCTTCAAACAGCCCTGGGAGTTGGACGTCGGTAAGCCCAACCACATCGCCAGCGCCTTGGACATTATGCTGGAAGCGCCCATCGGAAGTGCCGCGTTCAACAACGAATTCGGTCGGCCTTGTATCTCCGGTTACTTCCGTACCTTGACAACTGAAATTGATGTTGGCGATGGGCAAAAAGAGGTGCGTGGTTACCACAAGCCTATCATGATTGCTGGTGGTGTTGGAACCGTTCGTCCCCAACATGCCATCAAGAAGCCTGATGCCGTCAAGCCTGGTGCTTTCCTCGTTGTTCTGGGTGGTCCCGCCATGCTCATCGGTCTTGGTGGAGGTGCCGCCTCCAGTATCACCTCTGGTGAAGGTTCGGTCGATCTTGATTTTGCCAGTGTGCAAAGAGGCAACGCCGAAGTGCAGCGCAGGGCGCAAGAGGTCATCAACGCATGTGTTTCCATGGGTGACAACAACCCTATCAAGTTCATCCACGACGTTGGCGCTGGTGGTCTCTCCAACGCTCTGCCCGAACTGATCCACGATTCGGGCTTGGGTGCCACTTTTGAGCTACGCGAGATTGACAGCGCAGACAAGAGCATGAGCCCCATGCAGATCTGGTGCTGCGAGGCACAGGAGAGATACGTGATGGCTATCGGGGAGGATAGCATGAACAAGTTCACGGCCATCTGCCACCGTGAACGCTGCGGCTTCTCTGTTGTCGGTCGTGGAGGTGGAACCTCCGAGGAGGACAAGAAACTGATTCTCCTCGACCGAGAGTCCAAGGAGCACCCATCAGTCATCGACCTGCCCCTGTCAGTGCTTTTCGGCAAGCCTCCAAGGATGACTCGCACTGTGGACTCACGGAAACTGAAGCTCCCTGCTGTGGACTCCAGCCTCACCACCTATCTCCCCTCGCTTGCGCCAAAGCGCGCCGAGCTTATCGGCGAAGCTGCTA